CGGGGAATCGGTAGTTCATCTCACTGCCTCAAACCTTTAAAAAAATATAAAAAATATGTAATATATTAAATTGCTTTGTTAACATATTTTCAAATATATCCGTAGTTAAGAAAAAGTACCATTAAATAAAGTCATACACAAATTTATTTTTATATATACTATAATATTGTTCGTTTTACAATACTTATGTTAATCATCACTCATAATTATTAAACATAATATAAACTTCCGAGACTTTCTTTTTAGTGCACTCCATCGTCCCCTTCCTCCCCAACCCAAATGGAAAGTCAACGACTATGCGCAGGGGCGCCCAGAAGGGGGTTTTATTGCGCAAGTTGCGGCATCAAAATTAATGAGGAGGCACGTTTTGACGGGGTTTTAAATTTTTGAGAGGGGCACAATCCGACGGAGTTCTGAATTTTCAAAATGAAAAGTTTGAAATCAAAAGGCAAGTGGAATCATGAAACAGGCCACAGCATGAGTCATTGTATGTAATCTACGAATATTCAAATTATACTTTCGTTTGCACTGTTTTTAAGAAAACGAGAGGAATAAAATATCTTAGGAGGGGTCGGGGAAGGTTTATGCGCTATCGGCCTTGGGGAGCTCGGGTGCCCTCGTATTCCTTTGGTTCCTGAATTACAACTATTCTGAATTACTATTAGACCGTTTTTGAGAAAATCGCAAAAATGTGTTAGTTCATTATATAAAGTGCCACTTCCGGTTAGCCGATTTTGACGAAAAAGTTTACGTAACATCCTTAGCATATAAAAACTTTAAATATGCAATTTCACTTTCGTGCGACTTTTCGTTTTTGAGCTAGACTGTTAACACACACACACACACACACACACACAGACCATTTTGCGAGACTTTGTTATTTGGACTCACACGATCGCGTTGTTCACGAAATTTTCAAGAATACTTTCCTTTACTATATATTTCATATATATATATACAGTGAAAATAAAAATAAGCAGCAATAAACCTTCCACATCAATTAACAAATATTAATTGTAAGACATAAAACGTATATGTGTGTGTATAGTTTTCTTTTGGTTATACATTATATTATGTTTATGCACTTTAATAACAGTTATAGTTTTTTATTTTATATCTCATGAAGGTTTTTATTAGATTTCTGCCTAAAAATAGCAATCATACCACATGTAAACTAATTGTAATCACAAGCATGTTATCTTATTATGACAATGTTTTGTATATACATATAATAAAATAATTTTAAGTAAGTATACTAATACATTATTTGTTTGGAACAGGAATGCCTAGTTTTGTAGTTATCTTTCCCACTGGGAGTATATAAGACACATATTACTATATGTTTAGAAGACATAACCTTGGATATTTTATGTGTTTATTAAAAATATAAAAAAAGTTTCTTTCTATATCATTCGAAATCTCTAAGTGATAATAAACCTATTGATTCGAAGTCGATCTCCTCCATTTCATTCCATATCTTTTCGGTTGATTTTTAATTCATCCGAGACAATAAATAATAAATAGAGATGGATATATAGTTTACTGTTAATATTGTAAGGATGAAAAATATCAATACTTTAATTTTCAAAACCTAAACAATACGTGACAAGTATATGACAACCGTAATACACAGCGGAATTTTAGAAAAAAAAATACAATATATCTCGAAAACTGGATGTTTTGGAGCTTTAAAACTCAGGGTCTTAATGCCCGAATTGATATTTATAAAACAATTTATCTCTTCTTTATTTGCCGATTTTTGAAACCATACAACTCCTTCCAATTTTTTTAATGATATTTATCAAAACTCTTGTAGAAATTTAAGAATTGAATATGAATTTTAATTTAGAAAAACGTAAACAAAACGTGATCGCATGCCAACAGTAGCACCTGGGAGGCTCTCGTAACAAATTATGGCTAACACCATCTCAATCCATAGACTTACCAACTTCGTTTATTTGAAATTCCTACATTTTCAATTACTTTTATTGAAGTTGTAATAAGAATATGGGGATCGAAATAGGAATTTATCAATTCTTCATGAAATTCTCGTCCGGTTGATCCCTCATTCATGAGAGCCAGAAAAGCAATACATACTATCTTACTACATATACATCGCAGATCACGATGGATCCAGGATTTAATTTTTTTTTTTTGGGATGGAGGGCTTCAGCCTGAAAGCATTTTTTTATATATACAACGATAATTATTTTGGAAGAAAAAGAAAGAAACTAAACATCTAGATGAAATGGTGTTTAATTGATTCATGAAGTTCTATTAAATGTAATTACAGGAACTATAATACTTTTTGATATATTTTTTTCATGGAACTATAATACTTTTTGATATATTTTTTTCATAAGACATTTTTTATTTTACCATTAGGGCTGGGAGGAGGGAAGACTTCAGTCAGACCTCCTCTCCCCCAGTGGATCTGCCTGTGTTGTAAATTATTACTTTTTATAGTTTTAAAAAGAACAACGTTCACATGACAAAGCCTATTAAGTGTTTGCAGGCAGATATATGACTAAACAAGAAAAGAAAGTCCAAAGCAATATAGAAACCCAAATTATTATTTAATCGATGAAATCATCAATAATTTATTGTAGTAAATTTCAAAAATATGCATTAGAAAGTAACTGCCTAATTTAGTACCTTTTATGGTACTAAATTATTAAGTTTATCTACAAAAATAATTATAATGAAATTGATCCTTTTTATTCGATAAAATATTTTTTAAAGCAGATTCATTGTGAATTTATATGTAATACTTACAAATTCTCTGAGCCAGAAGAAATTTTTTACATATATTATATATAGGTTACTGTAAATGGCGTAATCAATGGGTGAGCTCGCCCCCTTCCTTCCTCCTGATGGACCCAAAATTATGGACCAAATAAATATAAATGGACAAAAAACTAATCTTTTATAATAGAAATAGTCTTTATATTTACATTTCTCCAAATTTTACAAATTTATTAAATTTTGTTTAAACCAAAAGTAGGTATTTGATCCTCAGAAAAAGGTGATCTTTTACTCCATGAGACAGCTTATTTAGTAAAAAGAAGATAGCAAGCTGGTGAGAAAGAAAATACAATAAAAAAAATAATATATATATATAAAAACGAATCATTCAACCCAACTAATGAACAACAGTAATTTATTTAGGGCAAAAAAAAATGTTTATGTATACATCAGCGATTTATTGCAAAAAGTCACTAACTTTTTTTTTTTTTTGCACTTACATTTATTTATCCACACCTGTCAATTATTATTGACAATCAGCAGATGTGCTGGCTTAGTAATGAGAGAAAAATAAAATAAAATAAAAAATAAATAAATAAAAAGGCTTGATAGGCATGAGGAATAGCAATACCCAGCGGTATCCCTTCCATGGCTTTTATTTACTAACATTATTTCATCAGATCCCTCATCCAGACCCTTTTCAGTCGTCTTCTGGAGTTCTCGGGCATACTAGTTGTGGCCATTTCTTTTACCAGCTGGTTGGAGTGCCCGTTTAACATGTCATGAAATCGTTTGTAGTACGTTCGTATGTGTTCATTGACTGTCGGAACGCGTAGGTCGGTGTGTAAAGTGTGATTGTTTACGTACCATGGTGCTTGAGTGATTAGTCGTAGTATCTTAGACTGAAAAGTTTGAAGTTTATTTATGTGAGTTGGTTTTGCAATTCCGTACATTAGTAGTCCGTAAGTCCAAAGAGGTTTTAAAAGATACGTGTAAATACTTAGTTTCTGTCTTGCTTTTAATTTGGAAGGTCGTCTTAACAGTGTATGTAACAATTTTAGTCTTAGATTTAATGTGATTCGTTTTTTCTTCACATGTGGACCCCATGTCATTCTCCTATCGAACGTAAGGCCTAGGTATTGTACTCTGTGTTTGTGGAATCGGTATGTTGTCTAAGTATAAAGGAGGGCATGTTTCTGGTCTTAGAGTTAATGTGATGCGCTGTGACTTTTGATAATTTATTTTAGTTTTACAAAGTTTAAGGAAACTTTTAAATAAATTTTTGTGGATTTAGATCATTTTTACAAAAATAAAAACTTTATTCAATAGGTCAATCATTAAAACCAAATTTTTTTGGTGATTCTATTCACACTTTGATGGGTAAAATAATTTAATTTTGACATGGAAGATGACTAATTTAATGAGAGTCAATATAGACATACTCAACCAAAATAGGCTTATCTTGTGCCTTAACCCCTACATGTAAGTCATTCTTTAAGTAGTTTCATATCGTTTTTCAGGCTGAAGAAATAGCTAAAATAGAAATAAAAATAGCTAGCTGTCTAAATATAATCAGTTTTCATTTTTACAACTTACGGGTATTCAGGAATTCAGATATTTATTGGTCATCGTCGATATAGCAATACTTTGTCAAAAATATCTCTCTGTTGTTAGTTCCAATAGGCCCTGAGAGCCGAAAAAAAAAATATGGATCTAAAAAACGATAACATTCTGCATCTACAAAGAAAAAAACATAGATAACTCTGGGCCCAGAGGAGAACAGGACCAGTGCTGGGAAGACCTCCGGATTCAGGAAGACAGGCTTAAATAATGAAGAAAATGAAGTGGAAAAAACGAAAAATGTAAAAGAGCTACTAGCTAGCTGTGTGCAGCCTTAAATATTGTATGATTATAATTGCAGTAGTGTGTTGTAATGCAATGCTCCAGATCACACTATTGCATACATCCGTAATGCCATAGTGGCATGGGAGTATGGAAACAAATTAAAAAAAACTGGCTTTGTTTTTAGGTAGAATAAGAAAAAAATTCACGCATATATTTTAATGAGTCAAGGGCAGATGTAAAGAACATATTAAAAAATAAAGCAACCAAGTTCATATATCCTTTCGCTATTTCAAAAAACCCTAATGCCAGTTTTTCAAAGAAATAAAAAATAATTCAGTTTAATCATTTTACCTAACCGTATTTCTACCATACAAGCAAACATTAAAATACATCAAATAGCACAATTTAGACTCTACTAGGTCAACATCAATTTGAAATTTAAGACGATATGTATAAAATTGTTTAAATATTTTTATTCCTTTAAAATCTAGCAAATGTGTACGAAATTAATGTAAAACAGTAGGGCAAGAATGACAGAGTGTATACCTTCGTACCACTTCAAAACTTTTTATTGGCTTAATGTTTTGGGTTAGTAATCATTTGTCATAAGTATTTAACTATTTTCATTCCTTTATACTTTTTTTTTAAAGGAATGTTTAATACATTATATCGCTTATTGATTTATTTACTCAAAATCTCATTCCTCCTTAATCTGCGTTTAATTTGTCTTTTATTCGTACATTATTATTACTGTATTCCTTCATATTAACCCCAACGCATCCAAGATACAACTTGAGTTTTATAAACTAATGTTATTTTTGAGACATATTCTGTATCTCTTTAAAGCTATTTGATTAACACATTTCTTTTTTCCTTTTTTACTGGAATTTAGATTGAATTTAATTTCCTCCGATTCGAAGGTGTCGAAAAAATGGTTTTCTTTCTTTACATTTGCAGTTAATTTTCTGAAAAACTTTGTTAATTTCAAATGTTAAAAAACATAATTCTAGAGTTCTTCGATTATCTTGCCCCTTCTAAGGAGTGACACTATTAAAAGTAGATTAAAAATCTATAATACATAAATCGATAAAAATTATTTTTGATATCCGATTTTGAATCAGGATTTTTAAATTAACATATTGAACTTTCCATTAAAAAATATATCATTTAATAAAGGCTTTTCAATTTTACACAACCAGATTCATGTATTAACATAATTTTTAAGTCACAAATTAATTCTTGAACTATTAGTCAATTGAAACACTGACTATTTATTTTACTTAGTATTTACACTATTTAACAACCAATAACACTCCTAAAGCGGAAAACATCAATTTTTTCCAGGATTAATAGAAGTTATATTAGTTCATTGGATAGCTACAGAATGCTGAACACAACTCAATAAAATATTCCATCAAGTCTTAGCAATGAATATCTCTTAAAAAACATGAGATACTAAATTAATATAAAGTTAATCTATAATTTTTAACAATACATGACATCCAATAAAAACATAGATGGCAGGATTTACGAGTCTTCAAAATATAGAAATAGTGAGCAAACTGCTATTAAATTTCAGTTTTTATAAAATTTATTTTAATCTTTAACAGAATTTCATAAGCACATAAAAAACTTGTATAAAAAAAAAATATGCTCCAAAAAACAAGAAAAATAAATAATAAAATTTAATATACATCTCAACAAGTATCATCGATAAGAACACGTGAAGAAAGAGAAGCATTTTTATTGTTCGTCGAAAAGTAATTACTTCTTCTTTTATGGCTTTTGTTTCTCTTTCCTAATTAAACAATCCCTCTTCATTCCACCTGGATTTTCCTTCTATTATTTTTTCCTTTGGACTCAAAGTCAGTTACATCTATAGAAAATAAACTGATTATAACATCTTAGAAAATAAGACTTTTTCTTCAGTTAAACCATTCACAAATACTAATGTTGAAAAACAAAACCTAACAATATATATTTATATATTTTTAACTTTCTTATACAATGAACAACCTAATAAATATATTTATAAATCATTTACTTGCCAATACAGTCAAACCCCTAAATTAATGATTCAAATGAGACTTAATTTGCAAATAAATAATTTTTTGTCTAAATTAATCATTTTTATGATGAATTATGATTAACATCTTAATAACCAGCCATTTACACTACAATTCAAATTTAAATGGAAGAATAATGAATTTTAAACTTTTATCGTGATCCTTGACAACCCATTAATAAATATTTCTTCGTAATTTATTCTAAATTGACTATTGTTTTCAAATTCAAATTGTCTTACAGCCAGCTACTAAGCTAAGGGGTATATACTTCCTAATCAGTACAAGCTAGCCAGTAATGAATATTCCCTGAATTATTTCACTAGTCATCAGAGCATATCTATAACATTAAATTCAAAATATAACGGAAAAAAAAATAGATAATTTCATTAATTCAAATAATGAGAGCCACATTTTGATCACTGGTAATGATTGTTGAATTATTAAATTCATCACAATCATGAAACAATAAGAATTATTATTAAAATATTAGTTCCGAAGCGCAACTTCAAGGTGGTAGCTGGATTCATATCAAATCGTCACATTGCTGGTAGTTCCCGAAGAATGATGAAACTCGGCCAGAATTTACAATCATAATCACGTATAATATACAATAACAGGTGTTCTTGATAATATGAAACAGTAATTTCAGCAAAACCAGATACTATCTATCTGCAGATGTATCGAACTTTATGTAGAATTTGTATCTGATTTTCAAGATACTGTATCTCAGTAGCAGTTCCAAATTTTACTACATACATACAATAACAAATATATTGAAAATTTAAGGCTCTTTAGATTTGGTAAAGATATATTTTTTTTTTGTACAAAATGTATATTAAATGATTTACTGAGGAAAACCTATGATTGCAGCAGTGTCTTAACTTAAAGCACTAAAATTAATTATAATTTAATTCATAGCATTGCAATTCATAATTACTGTGCCTAATAACCCGGAATAGTACAGGAGAATTGTATTACTGAAGATAGGAAACAAGTTAGTTCACTTTGTTATATATACAAAACAAGTGATGGTGGACTAGAATTGATCTCATTCAACAAAATGTTCTGTTTTAAGCAAGGATGAATTTCCACTAACATGGCAGAAAATTTACTAACAAGATTTGGGAATCGGTTGTTTACACCTTTCAGAATTTATACACAACATACACAGTAATCTCGGACCCTGCCACCATCTTGGAGCAGCACTTCAGAATTAGTACCATCAGTAGCTTAATTTCAACAATCCAAATATTTTTCTTGTAGAATTGCACACAATTTTTGCAATTCCTGCTTTTTTTTTTTAAATTACTGATTATCCACCAAAAAAATAAAGCATGGTTAATTCCACATTTCTTGTTATATGTGTATTCTTTCAATTAACAAGTTATAAAGGCATGATTATCGTAGGCCAGCTATATCATATCATGCATGAGATTGTTTCAGTGATTATTATTATTTATAGATCTTAAAAAGAAAAGAAAAAAAAAGGAAAACTTTTTAAAACTATATTTTACAATTAATAAAAATGTTTATATGTAGATATCATATAAACAAATTTCTTTAGTGAGAATAATCTATCTACTGTCCAATTTATATATATATATATATTAACTATAATGAAGAATAACGGGCTAAAAACAATTTGATCAGTTGGAAACAAAATTAAAATTAAATAAAGCATAAAAATTTGTAAGGAGGATGAAATAGAAGAAAATAAATAACAAATAAACAAAACTAAAGAGTTTTAATTAAATTAATACACAAAAGCTGTAAAAACATTTATTATATAACTATAAATTGCCAGAAAATTTACAAAATGATATATAATGAGTACTTAGCCCGAGATTCTCCATTTCTATACATAATTATCTTAAAAGTATTATTATGTGCATGATTTTTAAAGTTATATATACAAGTCTAATAAAAATATAAAGAACTATCAAACTAAAGTGAAAATGAATGGCAAACAAAACCATAGTCTAGAATCTTATGAATAAACATAAGTGAAAACAAAATGAAAAAAAAAAAAATAAACAAAAAAAATTCATTGCTTATCTCGATATGGTCTCTTTGAGAAGGGTATACTATTATTTTTTTTTAATTTAATTTTCATAAATCCAAATGATTAACCTAATAATATCGAAAGCATAGAACAATTAATTTGAACTAAACAAAAATACAGGTAACGATAAAGTTATCCATTAGGAATCAATTTGGAAAACCTAAAACATTTAAATTAAAAGTAACAATGGTTTAACGACTGAAAAGTTATTACCAGTTTTTTAAACCACAAAATATCTTTTTAAGACGGAACCTAATTCACTCTTTTTTTTTTTTCTTTTTTTTCTAGAGGAAAAATATATTCATAACAAACCTAAAAAGTATTTGTAAATTTATTTTACATTCTTTAAAAACTAAATAGTTTTCATAAATAACAGATTTTTTTTTAAATATAATTTTGTGAGCCATATATCAAAAGTGAAGTTGCAACTTTACAACGTCAAATTAATTAAAAAGAAAAAAAAAAGATGGAAAGGAAAATGAGAGTCCAATAAGGTAAAAATTCCAAATTATAAAGTAAATCTATTTTTCAGAATCATCATCATGACCTGAAGTATGCCATGTCAATCTTTCTTCATAGAAATGTATAACTATTTGGGGACACCTCTCGTTGGCTTGTTTGGCTGGAACTAGGTCAGCCTCTTCTGTACCTTTCCTGAAAATTAAATAATCAATCAGCAAATACAATACAAAATACAAAAGCTTTAGGTGATAAGCATTTATTCAAATAAAACTTCGATTAAAAATTGTTTGAACAAATTTTATACAACACGTATTGTTCACTTCCAACCCTTAGCGAATGAAATTAGCAATAAAAACATAAAAACAACAATATCCTAGCAGATATGATTTTTAAATTTAAAAACTGGTGTGTCCACTTGCACAACCAATTTCAGAAAAATACAGTTTATTTCTAGCAAGATAATATAAAACAGATCCATTAAAAAAAAAAAATTAATTAATTTCCAGGATACTGGAAAAATTAAAAAACATTTAGAGAACGATTTCTTTCATAAATTATAGACGGCCATGTGAACTATCATTAATGTTTTGCAGAAGAGCATAAAAATTAATTATTTCTTTATGATTTATGAGTATAATTTTATATTTTATTGCCCTCTACTATTTTTCGTAGTAGTAGACTATTATATCAATTGTAGACTACATAATGTCAAAAATAGAATAAAAATTGAAAACTTTTATGTACGAAATTTGCACTAACAGTAGTGATATATACTTAATAGGTATGTTTTCACTCGTAAAATGGATAGAACAAAAAGTCCATAGAAAAAATTCAACCTTTTGTTTGTTCGGAGTTAACGAGACCAATGCTTTTCTTCAGTCAGAACAAAACTAATTCAAGCTGGAATATAAAAATATGAGTGAAGTAGACACAATTTTGATATTTAAGCAGAAAATCGAGACCACAACAAGCTGATTGAACTTCAATCGAAATAAACACAATCACAAATAAGACTTTTTTTTTTACAAATTCAGAGTAAAAATTACTTTAAATGTAGTGAAAATATCACGAATCTGTATAACGGGAATATGTGTCATGCCAGTAATGCTTGGAATCGACTAAACAATACAGTATAAATTAACTTTTTGAATAAAACCTACAATTTTAAAACCACATAACAATATTGTAATAACCTAACTCCCACTCCATAAGATCAGTGCCTTCCACATTTCACAACCATTATATTGTTAATAATTATTTATTTTAATTTTAAGTATTAAATGGAGTAGCAAGTGTCATGGTCGCAAGTGCAATATCACTTTCATGTCGCTCTGTATTTGTTGCTTTGTAATGTGCTCAAAATTCAAATTTGTGGAGTAATACTTAATCAACAGTGAGCTAATAAACAGTTTTACACTTTTACGTTGACGTACACGCAGGTGAGGTACTATTTATTAACAATAAACAATTGATAAATTGGTGCTCATTTGGTTAGATCGAGAGGCCGTTAATTCCCTTACGTGCCTTATCATACTCCGATAAGCTCAGGGCCAGGGGCTCTGTTTACTAACTTCCTTCAGTCATCAGGTCTTCAGTTCGAACTCAAGACATTATATTTACGTTTTTTTTTTTTTTGTTTGTTTTTCCAGAGACTGTTTTATTTTATTTAAATGTTTATTCTAAGAAATGTTTTATTTTATTTCTGATAATAGTTATGTATATAGTTTATTTTTTTTTAAATACTTTATTTCGTAATTTTCAATCTTTTTAATTGTCATATTCAGGAGTAGATATATATAAATTTTTTTTCTCTCTCTCTCTTATCATAATATAGAAGATATGAATTTAGATAAGAGTTCGTCAAGTGAAGATTCGGAGGACAAAACGCCGTTTTCTGAGGTTAGCGAAACAGATTCGCAGTATTTAAAAAGACGCACACTTCAAAAACGTCATCGAAACACACCTCCTGGGTCGGGAGCTAATTCACCCAATAAGAAAAAAAAAAAAAAACCTAAACAGTTAGCAGAGCAAAATAAATCTAAAAAATCAACTGAACAAAGTAAATCTACTAAAACTAAACAATCAGCCAAGCAAAATATATCACTACCTCAAACCAGAAGCAAATCAATTACCATAACATCAGAGCCAACTGCACCAACCACCACTAACACCAATAATCCTGTTCCCATTAATAAAATATCAAGCAAGATTCCGGAGCCTCAAGAGTTTTCTGAGTCCGAGCTGCCACCTATTTTCATATCAAAAGTCGATCTTTTCATAATATTTTTAGAACTGTAAATAACGATTTCCTTCCAATCTCATCACAATGAAGAACAACTCGTAGAATATACCAATATGGAGGAAGCCAAAATAGCAATTAGGAATTAAAATTGTATAAAGCAGTTGGAATCGACAATATTTCTCTAAACCAAATTAATTGAGGTATATCACAGTGGGGCAAACAGATTTAGCAGTACAAAACCCAACGATGTAGCTATCATGAAAAAATTCTATTTTTTAGAATTTATTTTATTATATTATAATTGAAATTGAAGTATTTTTTATAAAAAACCTGATATTGTTTCAAAAATATTTACATAAGAAATATTTTGATTTAGTAAAGAGAAATATCATCAAAATTTGCTTTTCTAAAATGTCAGTTTATAACATGTCACAATAAAAGACAACATTTTGCCATAGGTTTTTTAAAAATATTTAAAATAAGCAAGTTCAAAGCTTTTAAAATATAAATATTAATAATTCTGAATTATTTCACATAATACAAACCATTTCATAAGAAACATAAGTTCTCCGCTTGCATCTGTAGCTCCGATAATTTTTTCAGGCTCAAGATTTCGTTCAAAACCCCGTAGTTTTAGTTCTTCTATTTGCTATAATAAATAAATACAAATTTAATATAATATATTAAAAATACCAATTTTTTACATTTTAATTTACTGATTTATTAGTAGAAATAAATACATTATAATAAATCATTTACTTCTAAAACCGCTTAACTCAATTTTTGATGAAAATGAGTTATGTAACCACCTTAATTCATTTTTCACATCTAATAACAAATGATTCTCATTCCAACAAACTACAGGTCTTGAAAAGGAGGAAAAATTACAAAAAATAAAACCACCTTATCATTTATTATCACTCCATGATGTTGACAACGTAACATAAACCAAGAACGCATTTAATTCAAGTCTCCTAGATCCTTAGTCTCATTCTTCCATGGGTAAATGTTTTAAACATATAAAATAAAAAAAAACAGTTGTGATGATGTATCTATTACTTGATTAACTTCAATTATAATCATAAGTTGGAAGAAATGACTGGATTCAACCGAAATATAGGGTGCCCGACACCTAAGATATTATTAACTGGATGTTTTTATATAAGACTCCAAGAACTTCTTAAAATTTTAATTTTCCTCAGGATTGTCCGTCTCCACCAAAGTAAATGGTGCACCCACCCATTCCCGAAGAAATTGTATTGCACACCTAACCTTAAAAATTGTGCGAGAGAATTATAAAAATTATAGTTTGCATTATGTCGTTTCATGTGAAATGTCAGTTTTCACAGGAAAGGTTATTTAGTAAAACAACTGGTACTCCTTAAATAGCCGGACTGGACCGACTGCTATCTGCCAATGTTTATAACCTGAACACTGATAATTCTGATAAGACATTAATTAGCCTTCTGGTAATTCTTATCTTCGTATTCATATTTATCCCCAGATATATTATTACAGACTCGTAATCGGTTTTGTATCAAATATAAGCTCCTATCATGCTCAAATATCATGAATGGGGTACCATTGGATTCAGAATTTTATGGGTGTTAGCGAATCGTATTCTCCACTTTAATTTTTCTTTCTGAAATAAATAAAGTCGATACAAACATTTTGCTAGGGTTTAATACTGGAATAGTGGCAGGTCTGTAGATCGATACGCGATAAATTGGACTTTGAAGATTCTGATACATACAGCAAGACCCGGATAGTTCCTTCAAAGGAACTATCAGATCCTGCATTTTTAAGCCCCAAAATGTACTATTTTCGAGATAACGCAAGGCATAGGGTTCGCATCCATGCAACCTTACGTTCATTAGAGTACTGTCATTGAATACATAACTCATTTTGACGACTTGAGTCATCTATGATCGAGAGAGGATTTTATACTATTTATCGATGGTGTTTTTGATCGGCAAGCCATATCATTAATTCTTCACTAAATCTCGAGATTGAGCCACCGATTTCGAAGGCTTCCTTCTCCTCCAATCAAAAATTCAGGCAAACAAGTTATGAAAGAAAACAAACTTTATTTGTGAATAACTAAAAAATTATACACTTTCCCCTTGGTAATACCCATGATTATATAAAAGATTACTAAATTCCCTACAAAAAGAAAAAAAAAATCCTCTAAAAAGCTGTCATTTCCGCCATAAACATGTAAAAATGACAGCTTGTTAGGGATGGGGGATAAACATGATAGTGTTACGTTACCAAATTCATGGGGGTCAATAAATCATTACTGAAAAATAAAAAATCAAACAAAAGTAACAGCATACCTTAGTTTTATTAACAGGTTTAACAGCTTTTTCTTTCCTTTCAGATGTGGGCTGTTTTTTCTCTACAGTAGCAGCTGGGGGGGTTGGAGGAGGATTCATATTGCTAACAGATTTCCTCTTTTTATTGCTTTCTTCTTTTTTAAGTGGTTCGATAGCAGCCACCTTCCTTTTCCTTTCGTCTTCATAAGCTTGTATTAAATCTGGACAATCTAAATTTTCTTCTGGTTCCCATGTGTTTTCAGCACTATAGTAACAAAAATAAAAATTTGAATTAAAAAAAATACAGTAGCAATAAAAAAAATGCAGAAATGTGTGTACTTTTACTTTACTAGGCAAGAACAGAAATAAAAATCTTGTTTATAGTGATTGGAAGCTATAGTTAAAATTCTTCGGAACTAGTATTTTAAACCACCAGCGAGTATCGATTGTGCATAATATATAAAAATCAGCCTAATCTGTAATGTTTGATAATGCCAAAAAGAGTGCTTATTTTAATAAAATTGTATGCATTATGTCAGCTTCTGACTTTGTTTACTACAGTCTTATCTCTCTCATTAGAACATCTGTTACTCAAGAGATAATCAAATAACATATATGCAGTTAATTTAAAGTCAAGGACCTAATCATTCAGGTTATTTGTCACAAATCATATAATTAACACTTTAACTTAAATATATTGTAATATTGGTAATCTTGGAATTTATATCAATAGACTTTAACATCCCACCCCAATTTGACAATGGCTGTATAGTTTACGGTGGCCCCTCAATTGTACAGATTGAAATCTCACGTGCTCCACCTCTATGACAAGTTAAAATGGCTTGATCCCTCCCTCCTTCTGTCAACATTTCCTTGGATCTTTTATAAACCAATCTATCCACTACCAGCACTCTTTCTACATCTAGTCCTTTACAAGACTTCGTCTCTCAAAGCCATTGTCTCACTCTCAGAAAACATGATTCCTAACTAAACAGATGGATTTCCTCAAATTTTATATCAAGAATACGAAATCTGTGGAGGTCCTGAAGGTTTAAAGATACTTGCAAAGTCTATAATTTGCTAAAACTCTGAATTGAAATGCAAGTACTATAAATCATTTTTAGCAAACAAATTTTGAGGTGGTGCGTTTATTTTGTCCACCTGCGTACATGGGCCAAATACTGAAGAGATGACTAAGGCTGGTAAAATTAATAGGAAAAAAAAAGTTAAAAAGTTAGTTTTAAAAGTTAAAAATTCTAATACATACTCCGAGTATCCTTTCCATTTAAGTAGATACTCAACCCGGCCATTCCTAAACCTCCGATCCAATACTTTTTCAACTGAAAACTCCTCTTCTTCAGCAGCGGAATCGGCAGGCGCAGAATCATCTTTATCTTTGCTCTTCTTGTCACCTGTAAAATTATAACTTTAAATTCTGTACTACAATATATGTCAATAATTTTGACAAAAAATAAATACTAAGTAGGTATATGATGAAACATCTGAAATATGACTCTTGGAAGCAAGAAAGCAAGCTCATGCAGCACTAGCAAGGGGAATTAACATCAGTGGCTCACCAATTTCAACCAAATTTTGTTTGGTGACACTTCATCGAAAAATATTACAACAAATATCCCAGTGTTCGTTTCAATTGACCTAGTATTTAAGAAAAAAAATTTGTTTTTTCTTGAGTCCTAGAAGCCATTGGAGCAAGCATCTAGAAATGTCTCGAAAATTTTCTGATGTGTCACCCATAAAAAATTTTGGTTGAAACCTGTGATCCACCTACTGTAAACTCCCCTTGCAAGTTGAAATTATTATTAAAGGACTTTTCCACTACCCTGGTTTAAGATGTTGACATAGTATACGTAAGAATATTATGGTATTATCATCCAATTAATGAATTAATTTGTACGTAATATTAGGTGTAAGAATAAGATGAATTGGAGGAAAAACAAAATTTAGTCATCAAAATGTAGTCATCATCATCATCATAATTCTTATCCCTCATGTACCGCAGCACAGTGCGGGATTACAATTTGTAGAGTCTGGACCAGGTGTCTCGCTCTTGGCCAGCTCTCTTCTACTTCAATCCATACCTCGCCACCTGAAAGCCTCTCTAACACTCTCCTCCCAGGATGTGCGCAGTCTCCCTCTTGGCCTCCTTCCCTCCATACGAGTCTCGTATGTCTTCCTGGCAGTTCTCTCCTCATCCATCCTAAGAAGCTAACCACCTTAGCTTATGCTCCTCTATCTAGGATAAGCTTGGCCGGCTTGACTTCGAGGCCAGTTCGTATGGTGAAGTTCCTTATCCTATCTCTTCAAACCTTTCCTTCCACTTTATATAGATAGCACATCTCCATGGACTATATTCAACTCTTGTGTTTCGAGGTGAGTATCCATGATTCGGAAGAGTGATAAAGAATAGGGAGGAATGTTGATTTATAGACCGACATTTTTGACTTCTTAGTCACTTCTCTTTTGCCCAGGAAACCCCTCCTAAGCAAAAAAAACACAACTGCACCAATTCTGAGACACTTCCTCTTCAATGTAGCCATTTTCTATATCTAGATGAGCACCTAGATATTTATTGACCTGCTCTAATATTTCTCCATTTGCTTATATGACTCATTATTCTACTGGATTTCTTTCCTATTCCCAAATAGTTGGGTTTTTTCTGGGTTGATTGTCTTATTGATTGCGGCTGTTTCTTCCTGGAGAATATTTATATTATATTGGAGGTCTCTGTAATTAGAGGACAGTAAGACTAGGTCATCTGCAAATGCTAACATGGAGAATTTTAATTCATTTCAATAATTTTTTAACAAAATTTTAGTTTTAACTTAATATTGCATGAGTTCGCTAACTAACCGTTCTCCAGCTATAAAATTTTTTTTCCAGTTGGCTTTACGAACCCATCTAGATCTTTGACTGCCTAAACCAGTCTTCTCCATCGTTAGATAACTTGGGCTATATTCTTTTTTGCGGGATTCTTCTCTGCAGCATCTTTGTTGATTTAGTCTAACCATCTGGTTTTTGTCCTCAAGGATTTTCAAAGATTGAGTGGGTTAGTATGTAGATGGTCCCGAATTTCATCAAATTATATCTATTAATTAGGCTTACACAGACATTAATGGATTTACATAGAGACGCCTATACTTTAAAAACGGCTCATTCACCTTGGTCCGAAATTGGAGGAAAGTCAGGGATTAGTAAGAAATTATGTTGTGTTTCTGTTCAAGTATGTTGAATTTCAAATCCATCTAGTACTTCCAAAACAAATGTATGCAAATGGATCCACAAAGTTGCAGAGAAGTTAGGGATTGGTGAAAAAACTACCGACTAGCCATCAATTTTATCAAATTCCATTCACTGCCTTTAAAAGATACTTTATAACAATGGATGTAGAACATATTTTCCATAATAAATCTATATTTCAAATAGCAGTTCAATAGAATACGTTAGAAGTTAAAAGAAATGAAGGGAACGGTGTACAAATGCTGAACTATTTATTTCATTAAATTACATTTCATAATTAAATTAATGAACCTTGATAAGAATATGATAGCAGTGAAATATGGCAGGCAATGAACATATGGACAGGGAGTCTGTACTTATACTTTAGTTTTTATTTTTCATTGACACTACTCATCTTTGGCAGTGCGATATGGTATTCTTATGGACAAATATTGCTTGCAGGCCAATATCAATTTTATCAGATTCCATCTACTTCTTTCACTTAGGCATGCGGATTTTTCTTGACATGAATAATAATAGATTTATCCTCAGATAATGAATAGTTTACCTTGAAATATTGGTAATCATGTAATCGAAAGGAATGATAAGGAAGCTATTATTGAGTGTACTTGTGATCAGGACTTATGTTGAGTGAAATATAAAAACGCTACAAATTATTACACAATGTTTTATTATTTCGAAACAATTATATATCAAAAGTAACATTACCTTGCTTGTAGTAACATATGAAAAAAATGAATAAAAGGTGATTCCTAATATTATCCTAAATAATTTTTTATTTCATTATTAGTAATTTTCAAGGAAAAGAAAATACATATTGCTTAGATTGATGTAACAGTTTCAGGGTATTAAAAATCAAAACATAGGAAGGTATCAACTTGTATGATATTATGACATAAATAACAACAAAAAATTATTTCTTTAAATAAAATCAAAATAAATAAAATAGAACAATAAGTTCACATACCCTTCATCATTATAGGCACAGATAACTTTGAACAAGATACTTTCAGCTTTCTCGAGCTTAAGAATTCTGAAAAAAAAAAAAATAATAAGTCTTATAATTCAAATCAAATCTATTCTATAAACACAAGTAGTTAAATAGCTCCTTAAGAACTTTTAATAATTTTATAGCTAGCTAAATGTTTGTGAAACTGAAGGGTTTATTTTCTTCACTTAAAGATATGTTTACAAAGAAAAAAGTATAAAGGATTCCTTGTTAAATATAAATAATGAATAATTAACTCAACAGCAAAATAATGATACTCCTCCATTCAAAATATTCCTCTTCTCTTTACAGCATTCATAGATGAAATTCCTAAGATATAAAAGAGATTGTCAAAAATGCTAACCTTATCCCAATATTATCACTAGTGTTAGTCTTGGCAGGTATTACAGTCCTCATTGCTGATTCAAAGGAAAATTTATAAAACTTAGTTGAATTAAGAGAGGAACTACTTCGAAAGGGGATGTAACAAAGAGCAAAGTGAAACAGAATCGAATAAATGATTAATTTAATATCACCTACAATGGAGTTTGCCTGGAATGAGAAGAGTCCTTTATACTTGGACACCCTTGTAAGCAAAGACAAATGCATAGACCAAGAAATCTTAAATGCGGTTAACAAATCAAATTGAGTCTGTGACCAGATTAGTGACACAATAATTGACAAACAAGAGGTCAACAGAGGAAGGCACTAAGCTAGTGATCTTTATAAGAATATTTTTGCCTGTTTTTCTATATCAACCTTGGACGGCCAAGGAGAAACATTTATTAAGAATAAACATTTCAGAGATGATTTTCCTCCAAAGAACTGTAGATAAAACTAAAAATGGCTGCATCCGAAATCAAGCCATTCGGGATGAACTGGATATAATATCACTCAATATGAAAATAGAAGAATGTCAACTTAGGTGGTTTGTACATGTGTGCAGAATGCCCAACATTAGGAAGCCTAAATGGTACATCCAGGCCACACGAGGAGACGAAGACTGGAAGAACAAACAAGGATGTTATAGAGGGAGGATTGTAGAGGAGAGGAAGTGGTAGCAGAAGAACCAAACGGCGAGACAATAGCGAGAGGCAGATGCGGACTGGGGGTAGGGGTGGAAGAGAAAATGGCAAACGTTTGAAAAGAACAGTTCTCAAATGAATGAACTGTTCTTGCAAATGGATAACAACTGCTGTTTTTCGTTTCGTTTTTCCAAACAAAACAAAAGCTCTCTCTGCTTTCCAACAAACCTATCAATAAATCATGAAAATAACCCTACAGTTTTTTTGTAAGGCATGTTTCAATTGTTAAGTTTAGGGATGAAATTTTTAGCTCCCATTATTAATGAAGGCTAGAAATAAATAAAAACTTGCATCATAGATACTACATTACTAAATTAACTTAAGCATATTTGTAAGCAAAATTAGTTTATGATTTTAGATGTCTTGCATACACCTATATTAGTGTCTTGCAGACAGAAAATAATTATTGCAATTGCATAAATATGATTATAATACAATACTCTTCATTATACACAGAGTTTAATCAAAACCGTTGGAGCCGTTTTTGAGAAAATTGTAAAAATGTGTTTCAGTGCTGATATAAAGTGGATTTTCCGGTTAGCTGATTTCAAGGAAAAAATTGCTGTCACAGGTAAGGCATAAACCTATCTTAAATACGTAATATCAATTTCTTACGGCTTTTCGTTTATGAGCTAGACAGCTTACATACACACACACACAGACCATTTTTCGGGACTTGGTTGTTTGGACTCAGGTGACCTCAAAACGTGTATTTCCGTTGAAATCTCAGATTCAAAAATGTTCACGATCGCAATACTTACCCTTACTATATAATACATTCATAGGTAAGTAAAAGTAAAAATGTTCTATGTGTAATAAATAATTTATAGTTATAATTAGTTAAAAAGTAATTTTTAGGATTAAACATTCATGTAATATTAAAAATAAATTCAAAGGTTATCAATTTCAAGCTCGAACAATGCCAAACTTCATACATAAAACGATTCATTCATTTCCAGACTTGTTATTAAACGAATATTACTCCATGAATCATTGCGTTGTTCCATGAACTATTTTTTTTCAAGAGTTCTTAAGACCTTATTGGTCAACTAACAGTTCATTTAGAAACGCCCACCTAACGGGGGCTCCATAAAATGAAAAGGACCTGTAGGGAATTTGCTTACATACATCGTGATCTAAATAAAGGCAGCTGTTCTAAGAATTCCATTTATATATACCGTGATATACCATTTATAGTGTGTACAAGTTTACCCACTAAATAAGCAGGAGTGACATTTTTACAGAGGTACCTTACAAAGTTTTAAACTTTTTTTTTGCTTCGTAAAAATTTAGGATTCCACAGATGCGCATTTATAGTTCTCAGGTTTTAATATAGATGTTGAAAATCACAAAAATGATCAAAAAAGAATAAGTATAAGGGTTTAAACTGTAGTAGAATAATGGTAGTTTGAACGAGTGCCTATTTCATAGGAGTTGTAAAACAAAGATCAGAAGTTCGAATGAAAACCACACTATGGAAAAGATCTATATAAGTCTAAGACATGTGAAGAAACAAACAAAAATACGGCACAATGATACAGCTTAGATGATACACCTTTATTTGTCATACACTAATTCCTGTAATCATAAACACATTTTAAAATTCACTTACATAAATACAAGTCCATATTACTGCTGAACACCTGACAATATTTCAGCATTGCAAAAATTTTAATGATGAAAAAACATTTACAGAAATTGAGCTGATTTACTTTGTAGTCACTAACTTTCTCATTATTAAGAACAAAAACAAAACACAAACTATAGATCAATGAAGGAAGTGATCTAATACATAAAACAAAACAACTTCGGGATAAGGAAAAAGAACAGGAAAATCTGAAGGATATTCACGGGACTAAAAAATCATCATTGAGAATTATTATTTAAAAAGTTTAAGACATACATTCAACTGCATATAATCAGTAGAACCCCCAGATCACATCTGAACGACATACCACGATTTGATTCTTATTACCAAAACTAAGTTATCAATTCAAAATTCACTCAATAGAAAAAACATTGCTTTCAAAATATTTTCTATATACAAAGATAAGACACAATAAATGAGGAATGGCCTTAATGCAACCCAGTTATCAACCTAGGAAAATATTATATATATATTTTTTTTACCAAGGTAAACAAAGTCACACAATACAACACAGGAATTGTTTGATAATTTAATATTATATGAACCAATCATGAATCAACAAACATACAATTCTTCATCCCATCTATACATACCAGCTTCAGTAAAATAAATAGCTTCCTTGAAATAAACTACAAATTTGAATAGATATAGTTCATGTACATAAACATTTAGTATAGAGAGAAATGTATTAATAATTTTTTTTTAAATAAAAAAACTTGCTATGATCGAAACCAGTTATACATGGTATCAAAACAGAACACTAGCCCACTTCTAACAGAACACTAGCGATTTAACAATGATAAATTCATAAATAAGGTAATGTAAAGAACAATTATATTCACAAAATACATCACAAAACATTGCGCGGTATCAAGCGGTAAAATACGCACCAAGTGAACCTACACAATTTATGAAAAAAGTAAAATTTAAATTACCTCTTCTTAAAATATTAGATTACTGCCATACATAAAACTTAGTGTAATCAATTACAGATAAAATCCGTTGATGTTAACCCAAAATAAAAACAACGCTATATTTCAGCAAGCGTCCAACTATTGGAATACAAGATGGAGCCGTTTACAAATGATTACGTTGGCATAATTCAAAAATGTATACTTATGACTAATTTTGTTATTAAATTTAATATTTAGTAATAACTAATTTTATTTTAAATTTAACAACATATAATCCAAAATTTGAAAAGAAATCAAGTAATTAATGAGCCAGAATTAATGGTAGGTAATCACTAAAACAACCTTTCATCAAGGCAACCACTGTTGTCGATTGGAATTTAAAAAATAAAGAAATTAGTTTTAATTATCGCTTTTAATTTTTCATGTTAATATCTTACTGTAATTGTGTTATGTTTGCAATAATTTTCTCCAGCAATATAATTCTCATCAAATGTCTTTTGATTTTTCAAATAATATAGAAGATGATGAAATAAACGAACTTATATCTGTAGCACAAGAAGAAAGCTTACGGTATAATCAATCAATTATAAAGACCTAAATTAAGTATCCTGTTTTGTTATTTAACATTTTTATTGGTGTAGGCATTATAATGAAGTCGAACTGCCAAGACTTCAAGAGAAGAAGGGTTCCTGCTCAAACAAGTGTGACGTTTCATACTCCCAGTTAGTTTTTTTATATAGCTAGTGCTTTTTTTTCCTTTTCTTTTATCTTGTATTGATTATTGTGTTTATTAATTCTTCAAACTGTTCCCTTAATTGCTGGTGAATTTTTCTTTACCAACTTTAATTTGTTATGAAGCAGTATTTGAAGCTATTCATTATTTTTTTAGGCTTGGTGGAAAGAGAGGATCTATTTTGTATGAGGGTGCTGATGCAGCTGGTTTTCACTTGGATGCAGGAAAAACTTATATATATCCCACCAACTACCCTGTCAGACAATATCAAGCAACAATGGTTAAAACAGCATTATTCAAAAATACAATGGTCAGCTTGCCTACAGGTGACCAAATACTTATAATTTTATAAAGTCAAGTATTCACTTGATAATATTCTAGGCATAAGAATATATTATAATATGACTCTGTCAACTCTCTCTGTATATCTCCTACTATAATAATAATAATAAGGCTTAGCGAACCCGAAGGCTCGATGCCGACACCACCAATCGCTTGTTACACACCTCCCTCCACCGTTCACCGTCCAAACCCAGTCCCTTCAGATCGGCTTTAATGCAATCTTCCCACCTTCGCTTCGGTCTACCCCTCGGACGCTTACCATTCGGCACAGCAAATATTAATCTTTTAGGAATTCTCTCGTTACTAAGCCCAACAACTTTACAAGCCCATTTGATTCGCCGCGATGAAATTACCTCAGTTATATTACCCGGATACAGCTCACACAATTCGGCGTTGTGTAACCGTCTGAACTCTCCGGTTAACTCATCCTTCTTCGGTCCGAATATTTTACGCAATACTTTATTTTCAAAAACCTTAAGACGCTGCTCATCCCTTAATGTAAGCGGCCAAGTTTCGCATCCATAAAAAACTGTAGGCAAGATAATTGTTTTATAGATTCTAATTTTTAAGTTCTGGGACAAGAGGCGCGAACTAAGTAATTTTGTCACAGAAAAATAACAAGCATTTCCCGCCTTCAGTCTAACCTTAATCTCTTCTTCAATTTCGTTTTTTCTAGTTATCGTTGAACCTAGATACCTAAATTTATCTACCTGTTCAAACATATTACCATCTATATCGATATCACCAGTAGTATCGCCATTTTTGCAGCTAACCATATATTTTGTTTTATTCACGTTTATTTCGAGTCCTAGTTCTTTCCCGTTAAATCCCTATATTTCAACTTGTGCCATGAATCCCCTAAAGCAGTCCCCACCCGGAGACCCGAACGGGGGACTAGTTTACCTCCGGATAATGAGCGTTTTACCTTAAGGAGATCCATGACTTTTTGTGGTGTTTGGTGAACTAAAGATATGTGAGTAGGGCGTTCAATCCTACGTCACACCCTCCAGCAAGTCTGGTGGGCCCCTACCTCCAGCAAGTCTGGAGGGCCCCTCTCATTGTTGGTCAGCGAGTCCATCGGACTTAGCCGGGAGGAACTTCCAAGGAATTTCCACCGACCATCCCCACATCCGCCACCCGTGGGACGCTCCCCATACGCGGTAATGAGCCCGCGCAAGGTATCTCCTACTATAAAAGATGTAAATTAAATGTGATCCAACATTATTTAATTGAAGTTTATAGTTATCTTAAATTTATGACAAATACCTACCAACAGACTAATTAAAGAAATTGCAATAGTTGACTTGCCTGGAAATATAAGGGAAAGGGTGGCGATTATAAGATATAACATTTGATAAAAAAAAAACAACCCATACAATCCATGGGGCGTAGGGAAGTGGCGACCCCATCGCCCAGTCATGTGACTGCAATCAGCCACTGGTCCTCTAGATTGAGGCAACAATAACTCTGACACTCATAAAGTACACCATATACAGCACACTACATACACCACACATTAACATTCAAAGTTCATCAACAGTACACACCCTAGGACCACCTTCCCTAGGTAGCCACCCCGGACGGGTGTGTCAGGATGTTCTAAGGAGGCAGCCCCTTCACCAGAGATAAGCCGGACTGAACCTAAGGCAACGACACGGCACCTGTCTAATGGATTTTAAACTTGGAACGTGGAGAACTCTATCACTATACCGACCGGCAGCTCTAGAGCAGCTCCTAACACTATTGGACCTATATAAAATAGACATAGCTGCAATCCAAGAAATTTGGTGGACCGGCCAGGGAATATTTAACAAGAAAAATCATGCTATCTATTACAGCTGTCATGACCATCTGCATGCCTATGGATCTGGATTCGTCATCAATAAGAAGTTGGCTTAACTCGTTAGATTTAATGCTATTTCTCCTCGAATATGCTATCTCCGAATGAGAGGTAAATTCTATAATTTCAGCATTATAAGTATCCATGCACCAACTGAGCCATCGGAAGAAGATGGAAAGGATCGGTTTTACCAAGATCTTGAAAGATGCATTGATAGGTGCCCGAGAGCTGATGTAAAGATTGTGATTGGGGAATTCAATGCCCAAATAGGAAAAGAAGCTCAATACAGACCCACAACTGGTCTACACCCCATTCATAATGTCACAAATGAAAATGGTCAGAGAACCATAAACTTTGCAGCCTCAAAAGATTTGGTAGTGAGAAGCACAAGGTTTTCTCATAAAAGGATTCATCTGGTAACTTGGCGGTCTAACAACGTTGTCACTTGCAACCAGATAGACCATTTATTGATGTCCTCTAGACACATTTCAAGTCTACAGGATATCAGAGTTTACAGAGTGGCAAACATCGACTCTGATCACTACCTCACAATCGCCCGGATCAGAGCCCGAATTTTAATGGTGCGAGTCCAGTGAAGAACGCAATAAGCTAGGTTTAACGTGGAAGTGTTCAAAGATTATGAGGAGAGAGAAAGCTTCTCAAGGCATATGAATCATAAGACAAGAAATCTCAATGAATCCGGAGACTTAAATCAACAATGGAATAGTTGTAGGGAGGCAATGGTGGTTTCGCAAATGAAACAATTGAATATCAAGAAGTTACACGGAAAGCAGGATGGTACGATGAGGAGTGTCAGAGAATCACAATTATTAAGAATAAAGCTTATCGGCAGATGGTCCAGCGAAGACACACAAGAACTTCTGTAGAAGAATACTGAGCCTGAAGAAGAGAAGAGAAAAGACATTCCGAGGAAGAAAAGGACCTTGGAAAGGAAACAACTGGAAGAGATAGAGAACATAAGTGGCCAAAGTGAAATCAGGAAATTTTACAACCGTATCAATCAGAGCCGAAGAACTTTCAAACCCCAGGCCAGTGCTTGCAAGGATACAGAGAGGAACTTAGTCACTGATAAGAACAAAATAATGAAGGAATGGAAATGCTATTTTCAAAGGCTCTTAAATGACAATATCCCTTGCTGTAGAGAGGAAAGGCAGGAATTACTGGTTGGCGACCTGGAGCCTCCCGTCATAGATAATTTGGAAGACACCATAGGATTCCTGAAAAACAATAAAGCCCGTGGGACGGATGGGATACCCTCGGAACTGTTCAAGTATGGAGAGCAAGAACTCACAAGATTTATTTATAATCTTATCATGGAAATATGAGCAGAAGAAATATTACCAGATGATTGGTACAAGACAATCATCTGCCTGATCCATAAGAAAGGTGATATCTTGGATTGTCACAACTATCGTGGAATATCTCTGGTATCATATGCGTATAAAATTCACTCAACAAGAATCCTCTTTCAGAAGTTACTTCCGTTCGCTGAGAGAGAAATAGGAATATATCAGGCTTGATTCATGCTAGGAAGATCTACGGTCGACCAGATATTTGCTATTAGAACAATCCTAGAGAGGGCAAGAGAGTATAATATATATATATATACGCACACTACCTCTTCGTAGACTTTGAGAGAGCTTATGATAGCATCCTAAGAGATGAGCTCTACCATGATATGTTGGGCCTGGGTATCCCACCTAAACTTATGCGACTGATACAAGTGACAATGAAGGAGGTGCAATGCACTGTCAAAATCAAAGGAGATATGTCGGACTACTTTGAAATGCAGAAAGGGCTGCACCAAGGAGATTGCTTAGCGTGTCTCCTATTTAACATTGCCCTCGAATGTGCCATTAGAAGATCCCAAATTCAGATTGGAGGAACGGTCTTTAGTCATACAGTGCAATTACTGGAGTTTGCCGATAACATTGCTTTGGTTGAAAGAACACGAACGGCTATAAAAGATGCTTTCTTAGTGCTACAAGGAGCAGCAGCGACAATTGGCTTAAAGGTCAATGAGAAGAAAATAAAGTTCATGCTGGCCGACCCAAAGGGTGGAGGCCACAGAGAGGCAAATGTAGAAATCGGAGGGGTGACTTTTGAAGATGTCTCGGAATTTATATATCTTGGCTCTCAAGTGAATGTAAATAACGACATGAATTCTGAAATACAGAGGCGCATCATGGCCGCAAATAGAGCTTATTTTGGTCTCCAGGGACATCTCAAAAGTAGAGTGATCTCTCGTAAAACCAAGCTGCTCCTGTACAAAACCCATCATCAGACCAGTACTAACATATGGGTCTGAGTGCTGGACAATGTCAAGAGCCCAAGAAACAGCTCTCCTTCCATTTGAACGTTGTATCCTAAGGAGAATATTCGGCCCAATAATAAATATTAATCAGGAGCGACCAATGCGATCTAACAATGAGCTGATGCAGCTATATAAAAAAGCCGATGTTGTGAATAAGGAAGTTGATAGATGAGTGGATCTTCACCACAAGGCATATAGGCAGACCGAGACTCAGATGGGCTGATGCTGTGGAAGCCGAAGCCCGAAGGATCCTTGGTGTCCACAACTGGAAGGCAGCTGCATTACTTGGAGAGGACTGGCGATTGAAATTGCGGGAGACCTTGACTCTGCAAGAGTTGTAGAGCCATCCATGATTATGATGATACAACCCATGAAGAGTCTTGGGTTCAGTACTATTTCGGGAAAGCACTGTTTCTTAGTCTACAGTTGTGCAAGGAGGTGATTTGACCGTGGTCACGCTCAACCACCAGGTTTTTCCCCATAATTCATTATTTTAATTAAGGATACTCACTTTATAGAAGCTGGGTGTGCCCCAGGAGGGTCTAACTGCCCAGGGTCCCAGCCCCACAACCAATGAAACAGAATAAATAAATTTTTTGCCATAAGCCAGGATTCGAACCTAGGACCTTTAGCATTGGAAGCCCAGTACCATACCACTGAGCTACCCCACTCCCGTAAAATTTTATAACTGCATCAAATCCCGAAATAATATTTTAAGTTTAAAAAAACAACTTTAAAGTTAATAATATTTAAAGTTTAAAAGCCTGGCTTTTAATAAAATAGTTTTGCCACTATTTAGCCTATCTATGACCGCCACCCCGGACCATCTCCTTTCTTTATGATGCAACGTCAACTATTAAATATTCAAATTTTAATTTGTTTTTAAAATACTAATATATTTTTAAAGAAATTGAAAGAAAAAAGAACTTGTACCACTAAAACCCATGAAGGATTTGTGTTTAATAATTTTTAAACCTCTGAGTACCTGAGGGATCTTTAATGACCATCATATATCTATATTGTGAAGAGTGCCTTTTCAAACACTTACAAATCTCTCAAAAACTAGGCTGGGACCTTCTTGGACCCCTGAAGTATCTGATATACAATTTTTTATATCTTTAGAATTAAATCTTTAGAATTAATTTACGAATAATTTCTTACTAAAATTTTTTTTTTATATATATCATAATACGTATTAACAAGTAATTGAATTTTTTTATTTAATTACTTGTTAAAACGTATTACGAATTGGGAAGCACACAAAGCACCTGGACAAAATTACATCAAACTAATTTATTATTAACAATACTGGCCTTAGGACCGGGCAATTGTCTGCCACTTGTTAGGAATATAAAAACATTCACAAAGTGTATGAGAATAATTAGTTTTAGTCTATTAATAAAGTAACTGAACATAATAAAATTTAATACAGAAGAATAAGAAATAAATTATTTTTTGGGGGAAGATGACATTGTCCAGAGCCAAATATCTAAGGCCGGCACTGATTATTAATTATTACCCGACTAAGTTTTATCAATGAGTTTGCAATCCAAGAAGAAACACAAAATACAATTTTTATTTATTTTTGGATGTCAGCAAATATAAAAGCAAACTCATTTTCAGCACCCAAAAACATAATTGTCTAGTTTTTAACTTCCTATCTTTAAATGCAAATTTGTTGAAAGTGGAAAAATATTTCGGGATCCCAAAAGCTCCTCCACAATACTCGGTGTTTATAGAAACTCTTTAAGTACAAGTTTAATTTTATGGAGGATTATGGAAGTGCTGCAAAGAGTAAATTCTATGATAGCCAGCAAAGTCCACTGTTGAATATTATCTGTTAACCCATTTTATCTTTTCTGTTATACAGGGCTGGGAAAGACGTTCATTGCCGCGGTTGTCATGTACAACTTTTATAGATGGTATCCAAATGGAAAAGTGGTTTTTATGGCCCCTACCCGACCACTTGTTGCGCAGCAAACAAAGGCATGTCATCATATAATGAATATTCCTGTGGATCATACAGCAGAATTAACAGGTCTGTTATGAAAGTACCTAATTTAATTAGAATTTTAGTTTAAGGACCTCTAGAAACTGGCAATCTATTTATAATAGGAAAATATGGTTGCATTCTTGTCTGTCATAATACTACTATGTTTGAATGATGAAAGTATTTGATTAATTGTTTTTATTCTTATCATAACAGATTGAGAGACCTGAAAGGTTTCAGAACACTATGGTTAGAATACATCAGTTATGCTTGTATAATAACACCCTCACTCCCCTTTCCAATGCCACAAATGGTAGAGAGAAAAAGAAAGAAAGAAAATACAACTGTAAATATTCAAAATATTATTGGCAATGGAACATTTTAAAAAAAGTTCCATTTTAACAGTTTTGAAGAAAGATTTTAATATAAAAGTTCTAAAGGACTTTTTTGTTATAAAGTTTTTAATTTATTATAAAATTTAAGCTTTTATTTATTTAAATACTAAAAACAAGTTACGTTAAATGAGTTAAGAATAAATAAGAGAGTAGAAATTAAGAATAAATGAGCTTGCAATATAGATATAATTATCTAGAATGATTCACATATTAAGAATCCACTGCACATTTACTATTTTTTAAATTTACTTTTTGGCATAATGAATTGCTTTAACAGAATGTTTAAATAAAGATTTTTGAAAATAAATCTTTTAAAACCTTTAATTGAAATTTTCCAAGGGAAAATGTTCCAATTGCAATTGCAATGTTCCAATTGTAAATTTTAAAAAAACATTCAAAAATAAAAATTATTCTTTTATTTAAAGTCGTATAAAATATTAATTGATATTGTATAAATATAGAACTCATTAAGGTAGGGCTTCTTAAAAAATTTTTGAATAGTGATGGGTGCAATCCATTGATGGGCGTAATCATAATCAATGATTACGATTACAGTAATCATGTTTACGTTATTACAGTGATTTGGTTTCTGATTAAAATTTTAATCAGGTGATTGTGTCACAATTTGCTATATTGAATCAAGTATAAAATTGGTAAGGTCATTTAGTTGTTTTTTTTTCCAGTTGTAATAATTGATTCCAATTTTTCCCATATCTGGTGTTATCAGATTAAATTATTAATAAATGAAAAGTATTTTGTCTATTAGTATAATGTATCTTGTAACATATATTTATATTTTGCACATATTATATGTGTATTATGAAATTGATATAAGCATTAATCATTTTACAGTAAATAAATAAAATTATATGAACAATATCTTAAATATTAATCATGTTGGTCTCATGTGATATGGCATAGTTTAAAAAGAAAGTATTTAGAAATTAACTCTAATTATAACTTTTAAAAAATCAACACATCGATAACATATAGCAACTATATTAGTTGACAACAAGTAATACAGTGACAAGTAATACCTACAAAAAAATACCAGTGCAGCAGGTTAAGCAAATATCTCACCAGCGATATTTTACAAACTGAAATAATCTTTTATTTATAGAATTATAAATTAAAACATTAAAGTTTAAATTTGTAATTGTTTAATTTATATAATGAATTATCTATTATTTCTTTACACTCTTCCATTGCTTTGAGATATATTCATTATATTTTTAGGGTTACAGATGATGTTATTAACTCCAAATGAAACACTTAATTTACACTTATAGAATTTTTTAAATATACTCCACTACACCATTTCAATAAACCATTAATTAAAAAATTCATTCAATTTTTTTTTAATTTTTAGGTATGCAAAATGCTGACTTAAGGGTAAAACTTTGGAAAGAAAAAAGGGTATTTTACTTAACTCCACAAGTTATGGTGAATGACTTAAAGTCAAAAACATGTCCCGCTTCTCTGATTAAATGTATCGTTATTGATGAAGCTCACAGAGCAACAAAGGATTATGCTTATTGTCAGGTGTCACTATTTACATATTTTAATAAATTCCATAGAAACATATTTATTATATAGTAATCACTATAATTAATTTTTACAGGTCCTGAAGCTCTTGTCTGAGGAACCCAATACATTATTTCGAGTTCTTGGACTTTCTGCCACTCCTGGAAATGACATTAATGCAGTACAGCAGGTATTAACAATAAAATAATCATCCATAAAGTAGTTGACCACAGTGACAATCCTGAACTCAGAAACAAAATAATAAGCAACGTAATAATGTATTATTGTGTTTTGGCCCACTTACTATCATACCTTACAGTTATATATAAAATAGAGAACAAAATATAAAGAAATACTATGGCAGTGGTCACATTAAATAAATATTTTGAAATACCCAACCTTGTATTTTTACTTTTTCTTAACTATATATGCAATATATAATAATGGTAAGTATTGCGATCGTGAAAATTTTCGAATCTGAGTTTTCAACAGAAATACATGTTTGAAGGTCTACCAAGTCCAAATAACCAAGTCCCGCAAAATGGTCTCTGTGTGTATGTATGTGATCAGCCTAGCTCAAAAGCGAAAAGTCTTATGAAAGTGAAATTGCATATTTAAGGTTTGTATATACCTTAGATGTGACAACTTTTTTCTTAAAATCGGCTAACCGGAAGTGCCACTTTATATCAATGGTGGAAGATTTTGAATGGCTTATTTTCAATATTAGCTCTAAAAAAAAAAAAACCTATACCACTTCAACCCATGAAGGGTCTTGGGTTCAGTACTATTTAGGGAAAGTACTGTTTCAAGGCCAGAGGTTGTGCAGAGAGGAGATCGGGCCAGGATCACGCTTAACCGCCAGGTTTTCTCCCTTAATCAATTATTTAATTAAGGGTACCCACTTTATAGAGTATGGGTGTGCCCCAAGAGGGTCTCCCTTTTCCAGGGTCCCCTCACGGCCAATGAAACAGAATAAATATTTTTTCTGCCATGAACCGGGATTCGAACCTGGGACTTTGACCATTGGAAACTTAGTGCCTTACCACTGAACTACCCAGATCCCGCTCCCCTAGCTTCCTCTAAGGTACCTTTAATGTTGAAATAATTAACCATTCCACATTAATCTTTGATATTAAAAATAGTTAAATATAAAATATGAAAGAATTTGATAATTAACTAAAGGAGAAATAAGATATTGTAACGGATAATAGTTGAAATGGATGAACCAAAGGAATATGAGCAGGACCGAGCTCATGGTAGCTTCATCTGTCCGAGCCTGCTCAAGGAAATCACTTTGAACAATATTTAATATGAATGTTAATGTTTACATTTAATTAATAAAGTAGTTAAAACAAATAAATAGGTTTTATTTATTTCATATAATGTAAATAATTCATAACAACGAAAATCTTTAGGTGTGAATATCTCCTAATCAGCGGACATACCTTCAGAAGAATTTGTTTTTCTTCTGAGGTTCTTAGTTCATATTTTCAGTTTGTCCACTTAACCCTGAAACACCCTGTATATGAGTGTTATTTTAAAATTATTTCCATTTTTTTTATTCTTTTATACTATCTGTATATTGTCACAATCGAATTTAAATAAAACAGCCATATTATTTTTTATCTGTTTTATAGTTTCAATTGAAAACTCTTCCTATAGCTATAAATCTAAAATACGTCCATGCTATTGATTTGGGCATCAACTGGAAATTATTAAACACTACCTTCCGTTTCTGCATCAGAAAAAGCATGAGACTGTCAGTCAATTCTTCAAAAACACAATTGAACGATAAAAGGTAAAAAAGGTGGATTGAAGACTTAAAACTGGTTCAGGTGCTTTAAAAGTTCATTTTGAAGCATGGGGAGTGTACGGAATATCTCCAGTGACATTCACTAGTGGGTCATAAAGTCTTCTTTTTTTTTTTTTTTCTTTGGCTTCGTATAAGGAAATTTATGACAAACGATGGGTGGGTAGATCTAAACTGCAATATATATACAGACCCTGATTTCTGATTCAAGCTAGGAATATGTTGTCCTGAGGTAACGGGGCCTCTTGGGCTGGACCAATAACCCGCCTGGGAGTATGACTGATTCAAAGAAACTTAGTGAATAGCCTCGGAATTTGACTGTCTAGAAGGAAACGACCTGCCATGGATAGGGATATACAACTGGGCACCTGGAATGTGAGATCAACACCCAAGAATGTCTTCAATACATCGATAGACTTTGCAAAGAAAGATGTAAAGATCCCCGTCAGACCAGGAATCTAGTAAGAAACAGAAAGGAGTGGAATTTGTGATTGCACTTCCCCTACACTGAGAAGCATAAAAGAGAGAATTGAAAGAAGAAGAAGTTAAATAATGAAATTTTATTTGGCATCATGGATGAAGTTGTAATTGTTTATCCCGAAAAGTGATTTGGAGCTATCTTTAAAACAAACAACCTGGTCTCATACGTTTTATAAAAGACTATTAAACTGCGGAATCAGTTGCTCTTACCATGTTTCATCATATGTGACCTCCACAACTTTAATTTTGATTTTCGAGAGTGCCTAAACCATTTATGAAAAATCTTAAGGTCCTCAGTGGTTAATGTTTTGGATTTAATGAACTGACTGATATTCTTTATAGTTGATCAAAGTCTGATTCATATATAGTTAATTTTAAAAATTTATCAATAAAACTCTTGTTTATTTAACCAACTAATACTCACTAAATTTTAAGAAATACTACTTTACTAAAATAAATAATTGGTTTGTTGTTATTTATATTGTTTTATATAGGTTGTGCGTAACCTAGGTATTTCAGCTCTGGAAATGAGAAGTGAAGATTCATTAGATGTTGCTCCGTATACACATTCACGATCTGTTGATACTATAGTTGTGGAACTTTCTGGCAATATACTTCGAGTTAAAGAAGATTTGCTTCAGGTATTTAAAAATATACTCAGTCCATTTGTAAATTATGAAATGTATATAATGATGAAATTGTTAAAAAAAAAAACAAGTATAAATGAAGCATATCAGAATAGAGGAAAATATAAATTTCATGGAATGATAAATGGACATAATGATTGATTTATTTTAACTTTCTATTATCAAATTATTTACAGTTTAATTGACAATTAAAATCATTCCCTGTGTTTTAGGTTTTTGAAAAATACGCTAAGCGGCTTAAAGATTTTAAAGCATTACCCAATAACATTGCTACAGTTTCGAAATTTCAAGTGAGCATTAATTTTCTTATTCTGTTCATTTTGCCTATTTGAGGTTTTCATTTTTCATAAATTAAAGTCATATTCCACAAATCTTTTATATTATCATTATTGAGAACATTTCAGCCAGCGCTATGCTCATTTTCAAGTCTGGAAATTTTGTTATTATTAGATTGTAATTTAATTTCTTTTACAATTAAAACATTAATTTCATACATCATGTAAGTAACTTTTCCACATTTCTTTTCATTTATTAGTAGATTAACAACTTATGTAAAAGAAAATGAATGTTTAATTGTAAAATAAATTAAATTGTAATCTAATAATAACAAAATTTCCAGACTTGAAAATAGCTATAGTGCTTGCCTAAGTATTGTCAATAGTGATAATATAAAAGAAATAAAGAAAAAATAAGATAAAAGAAATAATCTTCATGTATGTGAAACGTGGCCACTTACATTAAGGGATGAGTAACGTCTTAAGGTTTTTGAAAATAAAGTATTGTGTAGAATATTCGGACCGAAGAAGGATGAGTTAATCTGAGAGTTTAGACGGTTACACAATGCCGAATTGCGTGAACTTTATCCTGTTGATATAATTGAGGTGATAACATCGCTGCTAATCAAATGGGCTTGGTAATGAAAGATTTCGTTAAGGCTGATCTGAAGGGACTGGATTTGGAAGGCAAATGGTGGAGGGAGGTGTGTAATATGCGATTGGTGGTGTCGCCATCAAACCCGAAGGTTCGCTAAGCCTTTTATTAGTATTATAAAAGAAATAAAATATTGGTGGAATATGGCCTTAATTTATGAAAAATGATTAATTTTCATTTTTTTTTTTAATGTTATTAAAAGAATATAAATTTATTGTTTACAATTTTTTACTTTCTGTTTCACAGATTCTCAAAGCTTGTGAAAAGTTCAGAGCGAATCCTCCAAGAGGTGTTGCTCCTTCTGTTGTTGGAAATCTTATATCTGATTTTACAGTGTGTATGTCATTGGCCCATTCACTTGAATTACTTCAAACATACGGGCTCAGGGCTTTTTATACTTATCTTGCAGGTTATTATTATTTTCCCTTTACAATTTTTTTAATTCTTTTTTGGTAGCTTTGCCTGCAGTTTGTTGTGTTTGTGAAATTATAATACAAAGTGAATAAAGAATATCATGCCACAAATTGATACTTTTATTCAGTTCAGAATTAAGTTCATTCCTTGTAAATTTGTATTGTTTAACAAAATTAACATTTTACTATATTTTGTAAATAAAAATAATATAAACTTATAATTATTCATTATTTTAAACGGTTAAATAAAATATTTTTGTTGTAGATGACAATTCTGAGAAAACAAAAGCAGCTGCAACTAGGTTAAGAAATGATGATGACCTAAAGGAAATGCTTAAAAGACTTCATCTATGCCTGTTCCCTAAACTGGTTAGTCATAAAAGTTTGTAATTTGTTTTATTTTAATTTCATTTTTGTGAACTTTCTTCTGTTTAGTAATATGTAATGTAATTTTCAAAAGTATAATTAAATATTAGCAAAAGTTACTAGTAGGATGTATAAAAAAAAAATTACCATTTTTCCACCAAATATTTGAATATTATTTCTTTGATATGAAATAAAATAATTACTCAAAGTATAGTCCATTGTTATCTACCGTCCTTAGAAATGTTCTAGCTAATTGATCAATATCCTTGCAGCAATCAGAAAAGCTGTTTGACCACAATCTAGCCATTGCTCACAGATATTCGGATTTTGCCAATAAACCCACTTTTCATCCCAGGTGACAATATTCTGGATAATCTCATATCAGAAGGGATTTTCAATAAATTTTCACAAATTTCTAACCTCTTAGCTGATTGCTGAGGAGTAAGTTCGTGAGGTACCAGTTTACTGCTCTTTTTCACCTTCCCCATGGAGTTTAGATGGCGACTAACAATATCTTTCGACACACCACACTTCCTGGCAAGTTTGCGGGTACTTGTGGACGGATTTGATTCAACAGCTTCCTGCGGAACCTCATCAAAATCCATTAATGGTCGCTCAGAGCCCTTCTTCCTTTCCAACGTCGTATCTCCATGGCTAAATTTTTCAAACCCGCGCCACACAGTGCACTGCTCAATGACTCCTCCTTCATATTTAATAATTTCACGAGTTGCTTCAGCAGCTGAGAAATTTTTACTAATTAATAATTAGACCATTTTATGGTATACAACACAATAGTTTTACTTTTCTGGTTTTATTTATTTATTTTTTAGATTGATCCAGCTGCTTATACTTGGAGTCATCCTAAACTTAAAAATCTAGTTACATCATTGACTGAACATTTCAAAAAATTTCAGACTAATGGTGCCTCAACCAAAGCAATTGTGTTTTGTCAGGTAAATGTCCATTTTTTTACATTAGCTAATTTATGAATTTGTTTTATTAAAAGATGATTTTTTTTTTTTTTTTTTTTTTTTTTTACTTATGATTTTATTCATTCTTTGATTAATAAGAAATTGTATCCATTTCAATTTAGGTCATTTTACGTTAAGTTCATTGATTTTTTTTTTCTGTTTTAATAAAACTGTTTTACTTTAAATTATTTTAGTACAGAGTCGTGGTATCTGAGATTGTAGAATTATTAAGCAGATGCAAACCACTTATCAAAGCTACAGAATTTATTGGGCAATCGGGAGGAAAAGAAAAAGGAATGCCACAGGCTAAGCAACTTCAAGTAACTTTGTTTTCTTTCAACCAATATTTATTCAGATATTTATACTATATTAATTTTGGATGAGAATATAAGGGTGTTTTCTTATTAAATGGCCCAACTTATAACATGAATTTTGGATCTCAAAATAAAAACAATGTCCTCTAGAAATATGTTCACAAACTTTTCATTCAATGTTGAATATTTGTATATTCAACGAATGGGACATTAATAGTGTTACGATTGACTCTAGAAATAATTCTGATTTAATAGAGTTGGGCTAAATCATATTAATATTGGGAACAGTTCCTAAATTCATTGAATCACTGATAGTTCAACGGTTCTATCGGCTTTTGGAGTCGATGGATCCCCTGGATGTAACATCTTTATAACCTCAGTGTTATTATTTCTCAATTTACTTCACATATTTATATTTAGTTGTCTACACAAGTTGTTAAACTCAGCGCTGAGTCTAGGCTGGGCAAAACAATGTCATTAATGTGCTTAGTGCTTGGCAACTCACCTTATTTATATCTGTTTTGAAATTCAATAAAACTCAGCATAAATTTTTTTTCAATCATGGCCAGATTCAATTGATTGTTGGAATCCATCGATGGAATTAGCACTGAGTTTAAGAACTTGCCTTTTTTGTTATTAAGTAATGTTAATTCTAATTTTTGTAAACATGGTTTAATTTTCCTACTCGGTTTTACTTAGCTTATTTATGTTTTTCATGTTTAACAAAGTTTAAACTCTATGAATAATATTGTTTATTATATATATATTTTTTTAATAAATGGTTTTACATGGTGTAAAATCTTAAGATTTTTAGATCTAAAAATTGATTTTTACATTCTATTCCTTAGAAATTGAGATCTTCTGATCCAGGCCCTAGTCATCACTTCAAATTAATTATATTGTATAACAGAATAAACAAGAGTTCCGTGATAGAATTTATTTTATTATGTTTTGCTAGTAACTTTATTTAAAACTTTTATTATTGAAAGCTGATCCATGCTTACTCATTTTTTGGGTCTTCTCTCATATGTTTTCATATTTATTCCAGATCATGAAAGATTTTCGCTGTGGTATTGTGAACTGCCTTGTGGCAACATGTGTCGCCGAAGAAGGATTAGATATCGGAGAAGTTGACCTTATCATACTCATGGAGGCACACAAGTCTCCTGTGAGGCTGGTGCAAAGAATTGGCAGGACTGGTAGGAAGAGAAAAGGATGCTGTTTGGTTCTTCTTACCAAAGGTCGTGAAGAACAGGTACTTAGTACTTTAGGTATCTTAACGTTGTGGTGTATATTTTACAAAACACTGATAGTGAAAGGGATTATCTTTGTTTTACATTTATTGTGTATTAAATTTTTTTAGAAATTTCATGAGGCTATGGCCACTCGAAAATCTTATGTTGAAAATATAATGAAGTCTCCTGCTGTTGCGGCCAGTCTTTGTCAAGATTCGCCTCGTATGATTCCTGTCCGTAAGTCATTATTACTTTATTTTATTTTTTAGCAAACAAATTTATTAACAAAAAAAAGTATTATATACCAATAAATAAGGTATCAGCATAATAAAAGATAATGTATACTCTATGTAAGGAAGGCTGTTTACTATGACAATAGTCAGAATTAGGAACACATTAGTCTCATTTAAATATGAGAGCAATCGTAGCATATGATCATGTGTCTGTGATTATTGTATGTTATGTAATTATACACCTATGATGTGATAAATGGTTACTTCAGTTTGTCCATCTTATTAACATCTATTAACATCCCTTGGTTTGAATTAAGGATAACTTATAAGGTTATTCCTTTCCAGTTAAATATATACACTTGTATTGCATGTTTGTTTATTTAATCTATACACCTGGTTTTTAATCTTCCATGTGGTCTCCTGCTTACCGATGAGTCTTCATTATAGCATAGAGGCTTCATGACGGATTGCTCTAAACTACATGCCCTGCCCGTCTTAACCTCCTTGCCTTCATTTCATGAGATATTGATTGAGCAGTTCTGTATCGGTCCTTCTCCTCCATGTGTTAGTACACTGATCCCCGGTAGTTCCGGTTATCGTGCAGAGAATTTTTCTCTGGAATATTTTTGTTTTTGAATGATTCCATGTCATTCAATTTTTTAAAGATCTTAATCCTGCATGAGGAAACTATTGAATTGTTGATATTGAAAGATGAAGAACAATATGAAGTATAATAAAGCAAATTCAATTAATGTATTTTTTCTTTCTTAATATATTGGTTTTTAGTTTATTTCTTAGTTAACCCTTCCAATCAATCCTTTTATGACTCTGATTATTTAATTATTTTGTGGAATTTATGTTTTTTTTCATAGATTTTTATTGTCTTCATTATAATTACATAATAAACTTTGTAAAATGACAGTGTTATTCTCTACTCTTTAGATTTAATAGATTTGTTTCTGAAATTTCAACTGGTCTGATTTAATTTTTTTAGAATTCAATCCAGTTCAACAGTTTGTTCACATAAATGTAACCGATATAGTATCACCAGCTAGGCCGCAGATCAAAAAACAAGCTGACATAAGGAAATGTTTCACCGGGGCAGATTCTCCATTTTTATCAAATGAAGAATTACTGAAGGTAAAAATAATTCTTTTCATTGTGCAATAGTCACTTACGTTAACTTGAATATTATAGGGAGTATTATTTATGTTTTTCAAAATAATATTCAGAAAAGAGTACAGGAAACTTCCTCAGTTGTTTAAAATGGCAACCCATAAATGCCTTTCTTTATATATAATACAAGAGTTTTTCACAGTGTAGATCTTTTTATGGCTCTCCAGAGTGATTTATTTTTATATTGAGCTATCAAACAAAAGGTGTTTGCATGGAGAAGTTAAGAATTAGGTCACATCCTCCCGAAATTTTAGAAAAATAAAAATATGAAGGAAAAGAAACTTTATTTGAAAATAACTCAAAAAGTATACATTCTTTATTAATTGCTTCCATGATAATTTGAAAGATTATTAAATCCCCTACAAAAAAAAAAATCATCGAAATTGAGCATTTATTAGAAAGATAGATCCTATAGTATAGTGCATCTAAGTTAAGTTTGAGTGTAAAGGAAGGCAACTCGCACAGCTTTCCCTCTCTCAAGTTCCATCTCCCCTAGACCTCTCTCCAGCTCCAATTCCCCTCTTCACCATACCAACCTCCTTATACCGGAAAAGCATTGTTCCATTTTCTTCAAATTTCGCACAAATGTTTATTAAAGGTATGAAACAATGAAAAGGATGGTTAAATAATCAAATTGAAAAAAAAAATATATATATTTATATTCCCGAGGTCTAATGTTCACAGAACTTGATGTTATTACTAGGATCTGTTGATCAAAATTACCCAAGAAATAGATCATAAAAAAAAATCAAAAAATAGATGGAAAATATAGAACAGGAAAGAATCCGATACTACGATGTAGGATATTCAATGAGTGGGGAGGTAGGAGGGAAAATGTTTTGCCACTATGCATCTCTCTCCCCTTCTACCCATCCTCAAATATATATAAGATAACCTAATGTTTATATGTTTTTATTTATTATTATGAATGAAGTAATGTGATTCTACTGAGAAAAAGAAAATTATTTCCTCTATCTCATAATACATTCTACTAATTTATTTCTATATTATATTGTCAATTGTTCACTGACCAATATACTATACTAATTTTGTACTATTCTGTCATTCTAAAGGGACTTTGTCCCAGAGTAAAATTATTTTTTATTCTATTCTAATTATTCGCTCGGGCGACTAAAACGAGCAATGTTTACTTCAATAAAAATGAAAATATTCTGGAATACATATCCTAATAAGATAAATGTACTGTTGTTGCTATTTTTGTCTGGATGTATTAACATTTCACTTGTCAAGTGTTCAATCTGCTTCAAACAGATCAGAAAATTGAAAAAATAGCCTTTTAAATAAGTTTTTTCTTCGAGTTGAGGTGGAAGAATTAGAGGTGTTCAAAGTCGGCTTTAAACTTTAAAGTGTGCTTGAGTCAAATATCCAACTGCAGTGTTTCGGTTGTAAAGGTTCAGAATATTGCTATATACACCAGAAAATATTGCTTTCAAAAACTGGATAGAGCCATTTCTATTTAGTATACTAACTGGGGACTGAAGATAAATTGAATGAAACTGGTCATTAATTTCATATCCATTCATTTGCTAATCTCATGCCTGCTTGAATGTCTACCATATACAAGGCAACCAATAATTAAATCAGGAAAAAAGAGAAGAAACTAAGAGTTGGCAGGTTTTTAAAGACAGAGTATTTTCTGCCACTTTGTTATTTGGCAATGAGTGACTGCAAACACCTTCGTTTGCTACTAGAGTTAAACATAATGAAAATATATAATTAATTATTTTTTCTATGAATTCATGGTCTTCTGTTTGTTTTGTTTTTTAGGTCGTGGAAGAATTAGGACAACCTCATCTGACTTTTAATGGATTACCAAAACGTGAAGAAATTTGGCACCGAAGATTTGGTAGGTCTGTTCGAAAATTTTACTTTCCCAAAGTTTTTGTTAAGATTGAAAACAATAAGATTGACTACTCAAATTTTTCAATCTTTGTGGCTTAAGTTGTATTATTAATTATGTAAAAATGTATTTATATACATTATATTTATATATATATATATATATATGTGTTATATATATATATATATATATATATATATATATATATATATATATATATATATATATATATATATGAAGAAGAAGGTATTCCATATTTATAAGATGCCATAACAATCATTTTATGAGAAAAAGAACTATTTTCTGGAAAAAATAAACTGATTATATTTACTATGATGCTAAGTCCCCCATGATAGTCGAGTGCTCTAACCCGTGGGATTCTGGCAATTACATATATGTAACTAATGGCATACTGTGGTGCTTGCATATCTTTTTATGTATTCAAAAACTTTCTGTGTTTCAGATAAAAAAATTGGTATAGATGAACTACTTTCAAAAAGTATCAGTAAGGTTTCTGAGTGGAATGAATGGAACCACGACGAACAAGAAACATACCATATTGACCACACTCCAAACAGTAGATTATTGTGCCATCTGTTAAAAATGGCATCAAAAGAAATCACTCTGCCAGATTTGGAAACGAACATGATATTAGGTATTTTTATAACAAATATATTTCAATTTTTTTTTTATATATATATATATATCTATTTTGTAACAAAATAGTAATATGAATATTAGAATTATTTCAACTAAATTAATTTAAAGACATTTCAATTACTTCTTATGATATTTTTTAATGTACTTTTTATTTTCCTACTCCAACTAGGTATGGAAAGTATTGTAATCATATCGGTTTTTCAGTGTGCAGTTTTTAGAGCCCATTCAAGTCCAAAAAAACCCATTTTTGGCCATAGCTTTGCCAGTGTGCCGCGACAGTTTTAGCTCTTTCCCTCTTTTGCTTTAATAATAAATTGGGTACCATGTGAAAAATATGTTTTTCTACTGACTATAGTGCCAGAATGGCGTTATTAACTTCTCTTTTAATGTTCATATATATATCATTTATCACTAATAAAAAATAGAGAAAACATTTTTTGTTTTTTTATCGTTCTTACCTACCTCGTGTTTTAGGCTATACAGAAGTTTCCCGGGCCGGAGGGTGAGGGTGGGGAATTTAAAATCTCCTCCGGCACCGGACGCGAACTCGTATTTTTTTAATCTCATAACTTCGATTATCTGTTTGTCGGGGGACTTGTGGTGCTGTGCACACGGGTTAGCCCATTCAGCCACCTCACCCATAATAAAAATTAAAAAAAATTTCCCGAACATTTAAGATGCTCATTTAAAAGATTGTCAACAACACAACTTATTAGTGTCAATGGGATCAATATTAGTGGAGGGACAGCAGACTGCATTTGTTTTGGACTTGGCACCAATAAATTGTTTTTAAATATTTTTCTGATTAATAATATGTGTGTTATTATTTTTTTATTATTTTTTTTTTCAGATGAAATAGATTCTGAATCATCTCAGAAAAGAGGGAGCGACAAAGGGACAGAAAAATTCACATCTCCTAATAAAAGGAAAAGAATGAAAAAAGATCCCATCAAGAAAAATCATGGAATGGACATCAGAAATTGTATGGCAGGAAAATCGTCAGTGCAGAAACAAGTAATTGAAATCCTATCTGATGACGAAAATGAGATTGTTGAAAATGTCGCAGAACAAATATCCTTCACTAATAGTAAAGTGTTAAAGCCGAAAATTGAGCAGAAACAGGATGCTATTGCTAGCATTTATATGGATGAGAGCAGTACGTTTGGAAGTTTTGATAAATTTATCCCATCTGTTAATGTTTCTAAAACATGGTCATGTGAACGAAACTTACCAAAACTCGAAACATTTTTTGAAAAAATAACTATCCAAATTTTAAAAAGTATAACTTTTTCTGGTGCCATTGTTAAAAAAGAAATTGAACCTAAAATTTCCGTATCCTCTCCCAAAAGAATTTCACCAAGTGACTATGTTGAAGTAGACGATTTGTTCGATACTGAGAGTGACCATGATGATAACCTCACGGCTAACTGTTTGAACACTGCTATTTCAGAATTTCATGATACCGATGATATGTTTAATATTGGAAATGTCCAAACTCAATTAAAGACTGAAAATTATATTATGAAGAGTAAAGATGTTGATGAAGATATGGCATTATTCAATGGTATTGATTCTAAAATACTTAATCAATCATATCAAATAGGCACTACTTTCAATGAAACAAATGACATGTTTTCCAGCATAAATACTCCTTTTTGTGAATCAAAGGCTGTTAAACAGCCAGAAAACAACAATAAAGAATTTGAAAACAAATTTCAAAATGTAAAAAAAGACTTATCGACAAAAGAAACAAACACATCACTTTCAAATTTAAAAACAAGTATCATTGCTTCTACTCCTATCCCATCAGTTAAAACTTTCAAAAAAAATCAAATGATTGTAAAAAGTTCGTCTCAGCCCAAAATCATGGAAGATATACCAGAAGAATGTAAATCGCCGGTTTCCGATACTAGTGAAATGTGGAACTTGAGTGATCTTTTCGAGGAAGAAGAAATAAACATTGATTTTCAAAAGAAAAGTAAATTACCAGAAAATGAATGTAACAACGGTAGTAATCGGGATAGAAATTCAATATGTGATGAGGCTGATGTTCATAATAGTACTATGCTGGGGATAACTCAGTTGGTTAGTTTAATAGAAAAAGATAAAGATCAACAAAAATCAAATGATGCAGAAAGTAAAATATGTAATAATCAAGAAAGTAACTTGAACTCACAAAAGCAGAATGATGACACGCTTTTCGGCTATTTAGAATGTGATGTCGATATATTTACGCAAGTTAATGACCAACCAACATCATTGAAACATTCATCTCAAGTCTTAAAGGATCTTATTCCAAAACCTTCTGAAAAATCTTTCACACAATTAAATAATCCTTCACAAAACATTGAATCTTGCAAATCTTTACATCGTAATGAAACTAAACCTGATAAAAAAACAGAAAAACTGAATAATATTGAAGATGAAACCAATATCAACAATAGTACACAAATGTCACAAAGCCGCCCTGTTGTGAATTTCAAAAAGTTTTCTTCCAAAAAATTATTATTTTCAAAAGATATAAACTCTGAAAGTGCTTGCAGTCAAAACGCATCGAGCTCTCCTTCAATGAATAAATTACGCTTTGAAACCTTTTCTCAAAAACCATCTACATCTACGAAATTAAAACATGAAGAGCCTATTAAATTTAGAACATTATCTGAAACTTGGAACACTCCAAATCTACTTAAAAATAATGTAAATTTTAATAAACCTACATCTTCAGTCGCTAAAAAGAAATTATTATGGGATGACAAAATGACTGGTGAAATAAAAAAACCTGAAACAGTTACAGATCAGATGATAGCTGATAGAACCAAGGTTCCTGAAAAAGCTAAATTAAATAATATAAAAAGTTCTGAAATCAACAGAGGTATTGAAAAATCAGTCTTCGAAAGTAAACCTAACTTTGGTTCATTAAATAAGCCTATTTGGAATTTCTCAGACAGTGATGATTCGGATATTTTTATGCCTTTGTCTCCTAAGGAAAATAAGAGTAACATAGAAATAAAGAAAAATATTACAAGAAAAGAAGAATTTTGCAGCATTAAAAAAACTAAAACTAGAAAAAAGGTAATAATAATAATTAAAATTTTACTTTATCCCATTAATGTTTATTTTCATTTGTACGAATGTATTTTTACTGTATTTCAGGTATCAAATGAGTTTATAGAAAGAGAGGCAGATGTTGAAGGAACAATAATATCTGATGATGATTCTGATGGCAGCAGTTTAGATGATGTTGATAACAGCTTTATTAATGATAATACAGAATATATATCTAATGATACCCAAGCTATATATTTGAAATCTGTGAAGTAAGTCATTCAAATTTTTATTTATTTATTTCACATATATGCCAATTATACGATGGCTACTGCCTAATGACTTACTGTTGTCATCAGAGTAGGTCAACATACTTGCAATAACTTGAATTGAAAACTAAACTAAAAAAAGTGTATGTAATAATTCTTGCCTATCTTCAACATGTCCTATAAAAAGATTACAAATATTCGCTAAAATGGTCAAGAAATAATATACTTAATAATAAAAAGCTTAGCGAACCCGAAGGTTCAATGCCAACAACAACAATTTCGATCTACAGGTCTCCCTCCAAATTTAGCCCCGCGAGATCAGCTTTAACACATTCTTCTTATCTTTAGGTTTACCCCTTGGATGTTTACAAGTTAATACAGCACATATTAATCTTTTAGGAATTCTTTCCTTACTAAGTCCAACAATTTTACACTCCCATTTTACTTGCTGCATTGTAATTACATCAATTATATTAACTGGATACAGTTCCCACAATTCCTCTTCAATTTCGTTTTTTTTTTCTGGTTATCGTAGATCCTAAATACCTATACTTCTCTAGGTGTTAGGATATATTACCTTCTATATAGATATCACCGAAATTCTCAAATGTTTTAGCTAACCATTTATTTTGTCTTAACCGTATTTATTTTGAGCCCCACAGTTCTTTACAGGCTTTCATTAACGTTATCGTATTTAGTTTTATAGTTTCCATTTCTTCATTTAATAGGACTAAATCATCAGCATAACCAAGCATGAGTATCACCCAGATTTAAACTTATTCAATAGTTATTACAATCCCTTTTTGTGCATAGGAATAACAATAGATTCTTTCCATTCTTCAGGCAATTTCTCATTCTTCCAATCTTTTTAACAATAAATGTATTTTAACTACTCCATCATTATCACATGCTTTAATTAATTCACTAGGAATATTATCGGTCCTTGCTGCTTTATATGATTTTAATTTTGAGAGAGCTACTTCCACTTCCTCTTTATTCGGTTTTTCTATTAGTGGTTCAGTACTCTGGTACTCAGAAGAAGGGTACAGAATAAATAATATACTTTAGATTATTATAATATTGAGCTACAGAATAATTGACAAAATTATCAATTACAAGTGTATTACTGATTCTATAATTATACTCCTTATTTTCAAGTACCTTGTGATTTGTAGTGTTACAGTTCATACATACTAGACTAAGTTTTTATTGCCTACTGGGTCCTTTGGGAAACTGCAGAGAAGAATGCATTACGTACTTGATTTTTAAACATTTTCTGAGTGCTGATACAAGTAAAAATTGTATGAATGATTTAACAATAGGCGAGATCTTATTATTAACAACTTACTGATGAAAAGATTCTTTGTCAAGTTTCGGATTGTTGTAACTGAATTCTACGCTCCTATTCATTTTATAAAACACATGATATATTAAATATTTAATGAAAAATAAATAATACTACTAATCAAGTTAGCAGTGAAATAAATAACGCCCTATAAAGTGAAGTAATTAATGCCCTCTTGGGCAGAAAATATTAGTTGGTACTCAGAGGGTGGGAGGACCTGTACATTTTTTCCCCACTGTGCTCAATCTATTTTTTTTTTCTATACTCATTGCTTACTACTAGATCTGTACATTAAATTAAGTCTTCCTTAGAGTGGGCATACATTAAGACTTAATAACATTGTGATTTCTCTTATTGAAGGGGATAGCTCAAATAGCTTTAGGTGTAAATGTCTGTCCTTACTATAGCAATTTTGAATTTATTTTTTTTAATGCATTTTTAATTGATGCATTTAATTGCATTAATGCTCTCTTAATTGATAAATTCACAAATGTCTGGGTGTACTGACAATCAGCTAATGAAAGGTGAAGTATTATAATAAAAAAATATTACATTATAATTATTTAACCATTATTATTTTCATGATTTCTAAGATTATTGCTGATTTTACTATAAATATGAACACTAAATGTTGAAAATTTTACTGTGGAAAAAATGTTCAATTATGAAGACTTTTTCTTTTTATCTTTTTTTTATTACATTTATTTTATTTTTTAGGAGTCCGATAAACAAAGGAAACTTCAAGATTCCTACCAACAAGGTCTATTATGGAAATGTTTATTCCCAGCAAGTCGAAGCAGACTCCGAATACATTAATGTGAGTAATCCAATACTCTAGAAATGTAATGAGTTTTGGAATATAGTTATTGTATTTTTAAAATATTAATAGCATAGCACTTATCTTTTATCCATGACATAATTTTGTGTCTTATTACTATCTTCATTGAAATTTATTTTCTTGTGAAATGAAATGAAAATATTTTTTTATTATCCTGGGACTGTTGTTCCTTTAGGAAAAATTACATATCCAGAATAAATGCCTGTTTCGCCATACTTAAAATTAATTATTTACAATTCTCATTTACTTCCTCATTATCCGCTCCTACCTTACTGATAAATGCTTTAAAGTAAATCACAAAAACTCTTATTCATCCCTTTTTTCCAGTCTGCCAGTGTTCCTCAAGGTAGTATCCTTGGTCCTATCCTTTACACAGTGTATGCAGCTGACATCCCAACCCATCCTGACACTGTCATCACCATATATGCTGATAACACATGTATCCTATCTGTTAATAATGATCCATCAACTGCATCCCAAACTCTCCAATCACATATCACAAATCTTGAAGAATGGAGAATTAAAATAAATTCCAATAAATCCCATCAAATTACCTTTACCCTGCGTCGCAAACCCATGACCTCCTGTCCTACAATATCCTTTAATAATTCCCCACTTATCCCAGTTGAACAAATCCGTTACCTAGGACTCCACCTAGACAAACAACTCACATGGAATCCTTATACAAGACTGAAACGACAAGAAACCGCTCGAAGTTTCCGACTACTCCAGCACTTACTAGACAAACGCTCTAAGCTTTCAATCAATTACAAACGACTCATATATATGACAATAATAAGACCTATTTGAAATTATGGAATTGAGCTTTGGGGTTCCACTAAACCATCGAATTCCTATCGTATCCAATCCTTACAATCCAAAATCCTTCGTAAAATCCTCAACGCTCCTTACTTTGTCACAAATAAAATCATCCATAAAGACCTTAATGTTCCACATGTTTCCGATTTGGCCCAATCCAGATACCTATCCTTCCCTCACAGACTCCAGAACCATCTGAACCCTCTCGTTTCAAACCTTGCTTCCTCCTCGATCCCTGATAAGAGGAGGCGTCTAAAAAGAAGATGGCCTCATGATCTACTTATGTAAATGTATTATTAGAGTGCTACCAATGGGTTGTTTCTCAACAAGCGTTTTCATGTGATTATATTATTACTGTGTGCACATTTACTAGTTGTATTTTTTTATAATACAGTTGTAAATATCAATGAATAAACAATAAAAATAAACAATTCTCATTAAGATTGCCTTTATCTTAATAATTATTATCTTGTGCTGCTATAAGTTATAATTATTATCCATTTTATTAATTTTTAGGATTCGTTCTGTGTCGATTCAGAAGAAGAAGAGGCAGAAGAGTCAGCTAGAAGTTTATCTCTCTTAGAAATTGCTGAACAAAAACTAGAAAATAGGAAAAATGAAATTCCTGTAAAGAAAAGGCGTAGAATTTTAAATGTTCCAGAGGATGATTATACTCAACCCACTTTTATAACTATGAGCGAACCATCTCCCATTCGATCGCTCGCAAAAAGGAAAAGAAGAAGGATACAATCAGAATCTGAAGCTGAAGAGTCCCCAATAAGAAAAAAGAAGTCGCTGTCAGAAGCTAACAGAAGTGTAGATCCAGAGCTTGTTTTCAGTCAAAAACATGAACAAGGCAGGGCTGAACGGAACCTCAGAGATGTTAACTTAAGCAGTGATGAAGATGATTGCATTTTTGTGCCAACTCAAGATAAAGTTGTCGATTTAACATCAGACATCGATGAGAAAGATTTAGATTCTGAATTTGATAAAAAATTTCAAGAAGATTTGAATGAAGCTATACGAAGAAGTCAGGCAGATTTCGCTTCATCTCAGAGATCTCAAAACTCTTCTAAAATGTCTACTCCAAAGGCTGAAAAGAAAGTTTTAGATATGAAGAAATTAGATAAATCTTTACGAGAACTAAATCAGAAATTCAGTGAACGTCTTTCTAACATCAGGAATAAGTTTTGTTCATCTGATGACTCTCTTTAAAGGCTAATAAGTTAATATCATTCTTTAATTTTTAGTTATTTTTATATTTTATCTCCTTCCATAAATTATTTTTTAAATGATATTTCCTTGTTATATTTGACTTTTATTTATCAGTTATTAGTTACCTAGTTATTAGTTTGTTACTACTTCATCATTGAATCAAATTGACTGATTTGATATTATTTCTATTAAATTATAATATTAAGAGAAAATATTTTATAAATAGTAAACCGATAAACTTATTTATTATTATGAATGCTGCTATTTGTATATATTTTGTTGTTGTTATTAATTGTCCATATATTGAAGTTAAAATGATCCATAGTGACTTTTTTTTGTCATTATCAATGACAGATAATGATTATTAATAAAAAGTTGACACTTGTAATTGTAATCTCGATGAATATGTAAAATACTTATGTATATATTTATACTTTTGGTTAATATTAATATTGTAAATATGTAAACCTGTTAATAATTATATTTTTGTTATTTTTTTATGTTTTTTTTTTTTCTCGATAAATTCACAAATGTCTGGGTGTACTGACAATCAGCTAATGAAAGTAAAGTATTATAATAAAAAAATATTACATTATAATTATTTAACCATTATTATTTTCATGATTTCTAAGATTATTGTTGATTTTACTATAAATATGAACATCAACACTAAATGTTGAAAATTTTATTGTGGAAAAAAGAATTTAATTATGAAGAATACTAAGAAATGAATAATTTATATCTGAAGATATTAAACAACATTTACATTGAACGGGATGCAGTACAAAAACTAGTCCAAATTAACTCTAATGATGATTCATTTTAATTGGATATTTTTTAATTTAAAAAAAATAGTTCTGACAAATTGAAATCCTTTTATTTGAATATAATGATAAATCTGGTGTCAGATAAAGATGACACAGGCTTCCTTCAATGATTGACAACAGAACTGGAGGGAAATAATATTGCATGACTGCTCGACTGTATTGAGCTCATAAATCACACAACATACATATCAGTCAACAGATGTTATTTAAAAACAAAGCAAGAGAGTTAGGTGGGACCATTTTAATATATAGCAAATATATTAAGAACAGTGTACATAATCGAATCAGCAAAGGCTAATATTAATGTATGTGGTGATGGAGGATTTCCAATGAATCTTAAATAATAGTCGTCATGATCTGCATCTGCTCCCTTACAACACTGAGCCTCTGCAAGAAATTACTTGTTGTAAGAGGTATTGTTCCCCTACTTCCGAACACAGCCCTTAAACTGAGAATTTTCTCTCTCCAAATTCATTTCTATATTTTTCTTTTAGCCGGTATTCCTTATAAATTTCTTTTTTCTTTGTCTATACCTTAAATTCTTGTTCTTGATCGTTTCGTTTCAAACTATATCGTAGGATTCACTATTATTGCCTCCTTTTCTGTCACATTAAATCCTAAAATATCAATGAACCTTGTTGAGCCTTCTGTACCCAGGAAATGTACTTCGAGGAAATACTATAGTTATTTATTTTTAGGAGTTCGGATAATTGTTTCTTTAAATGTTGTGCTGGCAGTTTACTAGGAGCATGTTGCTAGAACATTTTCCCAATACATACAAGCTAGAGTTTCAAACTCTCGACCACATTTGCAGTAGAGGGATCCGACATTTATGTTACTCTCTCTTCCACAGAGAGGAGCGTGATTGCCATTCATTTTCATAGCATTATTCCATTCTGAGCCGGTAAGAACTTTTCTGTTGTATACAAACATATTAGCCCATGGGTTTGATTAAAAAGGGGATTTAATCTCACCAATTAGATTTGGTCTAATCATCTAAAGACTATTCTCACAGGGATTACCTATGTTACTCCTAATCCAAAATAAAAATTGCCTGTCACATTAGTCAATTTTTAGGAAAAGGATCAGTGCTAAAGAGGATCCTCGCACTGATCCGGTGCATATATCGTTACTGAGCATGTGTTAGCCAATAAACCTACCATCACCTTAACGCATCTTGTAGTATGGTATCTAAGCCTTCCAATAGCGATTAGGGCAATCTGAGGTCTTAATAACTTTTATTTTTACATTAATTATGCAATTTCTTATTAATTGAATAACATCTAAAATTTATATGGAAACATAAAAGGATTAACGATTACAAAAAAAAAAAAAATGAAACAAAGTTTTTTGTGAATAAATTTGGTATGTTTCAAACTATTTAAAAAAAAAAACTTATACAATGTCATATATTTAATTATTTTCTCTTGAATTAAGTGTGTACTGATTGTATCAGTAACCTGATCTACACTAGTTGATGCCCATATGCTTAAAAACTTTTTTTTTCACGACACCAATTTAAAAGTAAATTTGACTACAATACAATCTTTCTTAACTAATTGTTTTTTTTCTCACGCCTAAATTTCTCACAGCACACAGAGAAGAATCTGGTTAGATGGATTGACATGATAACATTTGAGGTCCAGGAACTTTATCAAGGGTCTGAGCCATTTGGAGGAAACTTAAACTCCTCACTGAGTTATGGCATCATAGTAATAATATTGATAGGTATGGTTATTGAAGAAGCTATTGGAGGGAATAGATATTGATCAATCTAGGTTTAGCCGAGATCTAAGCCATTGAATACTAAATAAAGAAAAGGATCCTTGTTCCTTGTAATACAAGGCAGAATATTGTAAGAAATAGAAAAGGAAATGAATTGAATTATGGTTAGAGGATTAATAGATTTTAACAAAATGTGAAATTTACATGAGAACAACCAATTTGATCTTGAAAGTGTAGAAGAATGATGAGAGGTTCAGTTTATTTCAATACCCATGATAGCTTTATCAAGATAACCCTATTTTACTCCTACATTGTTAATCCAATTCTTTGAAGGATTTTCAAAGAATTATTATTAAATTATTTAAAGTTATATAATTTATTGTTATGTGGATTAAATTCATGAATTTAAAAATTTGTTTATACTTGATAGTGGCTGTTTTTAACAAAGAAAGTATGTTATTCTTCCTTACCAAGTAATGCCTATTATGACTCCACACATACCTTTATAAACTTTACCTACATATTGAGAATCTCAACTTTTCAAAAAATTGATTTTTTTTCAGTGTTTACTTAGATCACTGTTGCTTTCAATGGCTTATAGAGGAAAAATGTTTTCAATAACATTGTCTGATAGTTACTTTCTCTCGTAAATATGTTGCATCTTTCAGGATTGGTGATGCAAAATCCAGTGTTTTAAAATTGAGTTTCATGGTTGTTACCTTAACACAGTCAATATGTAAAAATCTCAAACCAAAAACATTTGTTTCTTAATAGCATTAAATATTTACAAATAAAAACATGTGAGGTTTATATATACATTAATGTATTTTTCTTTTAAATATTTAAACATTATAAGGGAATAACTTATTAAATTCTAAGAAAAACAAATTTCTTTTTCTTTTGGTTCTTAATTATCAACTTTCTTATTTATGTTTTTATATCACAATATGTTACATTTTATAATGGCATCAAATCATTAATTTCTTCTTCCTTTTTTTTAGCATGGAACTGACTTTTTGTTTGTACAACAAAGTGGTTTATTGAACGTTAATCCAGTGTATAGATACTCACCATCACATACTTTACTGAATATAGAAATCTAAAAAATAATTCCACATCAGAATATATTGTATCCAGTTTCGTCAACTATGTAAAATAATATTTTATATTTTTAAAAACAAACTATGTAGTAATATGGTTGGTAATTATTTTAAAGCCAACTCTAGGCTACAGAGATTCTATATTGGAACAGAGTTTAAACAAAATTAAAAATAAAATAAAAGGACTACAATCTGTATGTGAGATTAGCTGAAAAGTTTATTGAGGAATAAGAGTATCAGAGTTTAGATGGTTTGGTCATATCTCAAGATGACAAAGGAAAGTGCGGGAGACCCTTAAATCAGATAAGACATGGAAGGAAGGAAAGGAGTCAAGGAGGTCTGCAAGAAGAGACACGTGGCCTGAAGAAAGTGGAGAGAACTGATCCATGCTAGGGAACTTTTGGACTATATTCTTCTATAAGGCTTCCCTCACTACAATGTGGTGGTAATAGCAATGTTCCAAACAATGTTGAGAAGAAATATGCCATAAAGCATAGAAATCAGCAAGGGAGGGAGAGGGCCAAAGCAGTTTCTGCTCCTTCTCTGTTAATTTTTTGAAGGGGCCCTGAGTATCTATGGCTTCCCAGCATTAGAATCATTTAATTTCATATAATTCATGAAAATTTCAATAAATTTTATAGGATGATTCAGGTACAAAACTATAAAGAATTTATACTTTTCTTAATAGCAGAGATATTTCATTCAAGAGATTCATTCCTTTTCATTTCTGTTAGACCTTCATACACGACAATTTAACATGGAGAAATTATTATTTTAAATCTCAGTTACAACAGCTGTTAGATATGGAATCGACTTCTGTCAGCCTTTAGTGGTAGTCCAAAAGTTTATCTACCATAACTCCCAAATATACAATAGGGTGGGAAGAGCACCAGATAAAATTTTGTCCTTGACATCTAAAACAAATGGGATGGCTCTACATACAAATAATAAATCTGTAAACTGGACCACGGGCGGATCTACGGGGGGGGCTTTCGGGCTGAAGCCCCCCCCCCAAAATGGTAAAATATAACCATGTTTTATCGGAAAAAATACTAAAAAATTATCTCTTAAAGTATAATTATTCGTGTAATTACATTTAAAAGGGCTTTAGGAATCACTTAAACACCAGTTCGTATAGGTACTTAGTTTCTTTCGTATTTTCCAAAGTAATTATCGTTACTTTTATGAAAAAAAAAGCTTTCGGGCTGAAGCCCCCCCCAAAATTAAATCCTGGATCCGCTAGTGAACTGGACTATTTCTTTATCTATTATGTTGTATACCTCTCAGCCTTACTATGCATTAAGTAATGTTATCATTTAACTGTGACCTTCTTACTAAAATAATTATTTTGAAAGATAAAATTAATATAAAAAGGTGAGCAATCACATTACTTACATGTATATTAGTAATATTTTTGTTAAGTTGTGCACAGAAACTCTTTCCTGCATTTGGATCATATTGCGCTAATGTTGCCTGAAACATTAATTTTTAATTAAAAATTGGGGATGCTATACCCAATTATGATGCTATAATAAAATGTGCATTGTAGTTTATTTCACAAATTATGTGTAGAATCAGCACTTGCCCATGAGCTAGAATTTCAAGGGCACTATATTTGGAGCAAAATTTTATTTTTATGTAAAATAAAAAAAAAAATGTCTCCCTTTTGATCTTAATTTAATTAAGATGATGATTCATTTTGATCGAAATACTAATATATTGTCCAATTTTAATGGAAAGGTTGGTCCCAAGAGTGGGGAAAGGTTGTTTCCCTCCTTGGGAAAATTCCAGTTCCAATCATGATTTGCTGACTGTTATAATCATATTTTACAGTTGCTAATTAATAATAGGGGGGTGGCTGAGCGGACTAACGCTTGTGTAAAATACGCGTTGCTCGGAAACCGAAGATTTAAGAGTTGGAATACCTGTGTTAAGGTGGCTTTTAACTTAAATTAATTTCCCGCCCTCCTCTCAGGCCCGGAAAAAAATCCGCATAGCCAAAAAGACCAGGTAGGGGAGAAAGAGAAAGAGACAAAAGGTACTAAATAATAATTTGAAGATAAAAAAAAATACAAGGATATTAAATATGATATCGAACTGAATTTTTTTCTCGAGTTGAATGGCTGATAAAATAAGAATTCGGGGAAAGAAGTTATAGTAAGACTGACAAAAGACAAAGTAGGAAACCGCTATTTTTCGATAATATCTCTTTGAATTTCCGATATTAGCAATTGAAATTATTAATATTACTTTAAAATGATTAATTTTTATGCGGATAGGCACTGGTGGATCCAAGGTGGCCTTTTTACGCCTTATTTTACTAGAATTTAAAATATGTTTCTTCCTTTTTTTCTTCTTAAAATCGTGATAGGTTAATGCAAACTCGATTCTCAATGTCCGCCATATTTGTTATTCAGGAAATATCTTTAACACTGAAATGTCTTGATATCCTGTTTCTTGTGCTTTTTGTTTTCGCCTGTTTAATTTTTGTCGTTTTTAAAATATATAAATATGGTTTTACATAATTACGTCAATATTTTCTAATGATCTTACAAAACTATTCTTATCTATAAATATTTGGTACTATACGCATATCGATTGAATTTTTATATTTATATATTTTTTATCAAACATATATCAAAGAAGCTGTAACAAAAGAAAACAAGATAACATTAGTTGTGCATTCGAAATACCGAAACATGACCTTAGTGTGCAGCTGTTTAAAAAAAAAAAAAAAAAAAAGAATTTGGATTGTTTTGGGATTCTACGCTTCAAATAATCTAGACCAGGAATCATGTGATCACTACAACTAAACATCAGCCAACATAAATAGGTTGGGTTTTAAAATAAATACAAAATTAAATAAATCCTGTAATTACTTACCAAGGATTTACACAACTGAAGGCAAACTTGTTCGGCTTCTTTACCGCAATCTTTCAGAACTTTCAATGGATGTTTTATCAGTGGTTCCGACTCTTTAGTAATGTTCTTACTGTCCATAGGAGCACAGAAACAACTTTCTGCCGCTTCGCTATAAATATTAATTCACATAAGCAAAAATAAAAAAGTAATATAATTAAAACTTATCTTAAATAAATTCCAGGAAAATATTTAAACCTTTTCCCAATTTGCTGAGCAAGGAACAGTACGGTTACTAGGCAGAAATAAAACATTATTTAAACCTAAAACAATACAGAAAATATTAGAGGAATCAGTAAATAAATAGTATAATGTATTATTTATGGAAAACTTTTCTTTTTCGTTTTTTTAAATAAAACTTACTTTTTTTAAAAAAAAAAAGTAAAGTGGTTACACGTTAACAGACTGCTGAGATTATAAAGAAGAGGAACTCTAAATCATATGTTTTCCTTATTGAATAAAATTATCAAGTTATCGTTGTTGTTTTTTTTCTGTAGGAAACCATAATTTAATTCTATTTTTAAATCAATATAATTATTTATCTTCACCGCTATCCTTATCGCTAAATTCATTAGCATTTTTTATGAGCATGTTTAAAGATTTCTATACTCTCCAGATATACTTCACTGAAAATAACGTACAGGCGGTGAAGGGCTGGAAAGGGTTGAGAATGTTGTTAACAAAATAACACATGTTAATTTGGCGTACTTAAATAAAATTTAGTCAATAATTCAAAACGGAAGGTTTCACATTCCAAAAATAAATACACATAATTTTACCATCTCTTTTACAATTAACGTAATATTGTCGTTTCCAAAACTGCATCAAAATATTTATATGAAAAATATGTTTGGTTTTAAGCTAATATCCTTATTTTTTCTTATATTTATACTTTATTTTTAAATATTTTGAAATACACAACCTAGTATTTTTACTTTCACTTAACTATATATGATATATAGTAAGGGAAAGTATTGCGATCGTGAAAATTTTCGAATCTCAGTTTTCAAGTCTCGTTAGTCGACATAACCAAGTCCCGCAAAATGGTCTGTGTGTGTTAACAGTCTAGCTTAAAAACGAAAAGTCGTGCGAAAGTGAAATTTCATATTTAAGGTTCTTATATGCTTGGGATGTTACAGCACTTTTACTACACTTACAGTACCTTTTCGTCAAAATCGGATAACCGGAAGTGGCACTTTATGTCATGGACTAAACACATTTTTACGATTTCTTCGAAAAAGTTCTAACGATTTTGATTAAATTCATTAAATCATTGTAAAATTAAGCAGTTTTAAATAAAATGTAGAATTTATTCTGATTGATGTTCTCTAGCAGGGCTTAAATGGCTAATTTTCAATATCAGCTGCCCCTAAAGTACTTTTAATTTTTTTATTTGAAACAATTGACCATTTCACACTAATCTATTATACAAAAGATATATAAATATGAAATATTAAAGAGTTTGATAATTAACTAAAGGAGATATTAGAGATCGTAACGGAGAATAGTTGTAATTCAGGAACCTAAGCACTCGCCGATCTCGCCTGAAAGATTATAACACGCTTCCATACGTAACATGGGCTTAATATATAAAAGACTGCAACAATATTATGTAAATATAGACATGCAGTTTTCATGCTATTGTTGGTATTATTTAATATTTAATTGTATAGATTACAGCTATATAAATATTAAAATTTGTATATATAAGGGTACTTAAACAAATAAAAATACCCACAATGAATTATAAATCAATACAGCAATTATAATTTTTACTTTCACTTCCCCTTTGTCTGAAAATAATTATTTCTGTTAAGAAGAGTGTGATAAGTGAAAGTCGTGTGATGCGCGCACGGCACCAGATTTTTTGTTCTGGTGCTGTATAAGAGCCAGTGTCAGGAGTTTAATTTCCTGACTAACAACTTGGATCGGGGGCTAGACATGCCTCATAGCAAGGGGGGAGGGGTATGATGTTCTATATATAAAATTTTATTTTAGGGCTTCATTAAAAAATTGTAAAAAACCCACACACGTATTAACAAATTGAATTCTAATCATTATTAACATTTTTTTAGGAAAAGCGGAAAACTTTATTTTCTGTTACATTTGTAATATCAAAACCAGTTTAAAAAAAAAATAAGAATGGGGTCCTTTTAGAGAAAAATAAACTTCAAGGCCCGTTTTTAACAAAAAAAGGTTGATTGAGGTTTGTTTCCAAGAGAGAAAATGGTGTATGATGCTGAGAGAAATGTTATAAAAATTGAATTATAAAATATTAACTTTTGTTTACAATAATGGTACAATAAAATAACTTTATTTTTCATTTTGGTGTAGAGATAGTTGATGGTGATATAATATGAGAAGTTGGTCGGGGGAGGAAGGGGAGGAGGGGGGTCAAATAAATACTAAATTTTAAAAATAATATCTTTATAGTTTCGCCAACGTTTCGATCCACTTTGTAGGTCTTCATCAGGGTGTGGTATAGGGCACTGCACACAGCAGTTGATAGACAGTCTAATGATTTATTTATTACAGTTAAAAATTTGTAATGCAATCATGAATTTGTCTTGAATTTTGGTTTCTTTCTCCTTTATTACATAATTCTTTTTACTTGCAGAACTTTTTTAATTCTTAGAAATGTTTTAAGGTAAGAGAAAAAAAAAATTAACCCTGTAGAGAATTGAGGCCTAGAAAATTTGCACCCTTAGCTCTAACATTCCTAGTTTCCTGATCCTAGCACTTCTCTTTCCAAATATATCTACAGACCACAATGGCTTATCGTAACTCACCACAATCTGACCGTTATTGTTGAGTATGAGTAGAGTACTAAGGTTGAATGGAGTCCCAACCCCTTTTCTTTGTCAACACAACAGATCTAATAGTTCAAGACAGTGTTCTGAATTCAATTGTTTGCCATTGTACTTCTGTCTTTAATAACACATGTAGATGCCTGAAGGCAGGTATCCATTGTTCTTTGAGGATTACACCTTCTCTCTAAATTTTGAAGGGTATATAATTCTTGGGTATCAAATACTTATTTTTAATCTTCTTTTTATCATTGAAAAAAGTGAAAATAAAAATAGTTAAAGTGATTACTTGCATGATGCACCATTTCTTGAGATAAAAGCAAAAAAACTGTAAACAGCAGAGCTATAAATCTCATTGCCCTCCATTAATCCGGATTTCCGGATCGGATTTCATTATACATTGTTCAAAATACCTATGCCTACACATTCCTGAAACTTTCACAACACTGTGTTTTAAAGTGTCTATTTTTCTGTTTTATGTGAACTAATCACGCCATATTGCACTGATACAATTTTTATCATTTATGACTGTCCATTTTTAAATCAATAAATATATCTATTATATCAACATAAAATAGTAGAATTGCTTTATTACAGTTTCATAATTTATTATCATACATATTGATTGGTTAAATTACATCATTGAGATACTGTTGGATAACCATTATTAACACCACAATTCTATAATCAAGATCGGATGAAGGAATAGACTTATTAACTTCTTCAGTTCTCCTAACCATAAGAACTTTATTATCTAAATTTTTATCTGTATAATTTAAAAGCCAAGGCAAATAGACACCAAGTCTGGTGTAGATATGAGGAGTGGGTTGTGAAGGCCCAAATGAGAGATATCCTGGAGCAGGGCTGAATATCCACTGGCTCACTCCAACGATCTTGTCACCACAGATTAGAGGAGCTCCGCTGTCACCCTAAAAAGAATTATTTATTCATAAAAATTTTGAAAATTATTAAACTATGATTTATTTGTCCCATATCTGGTTTAAATAAACCTAACTATAATAATAATATAACTATAATATAATCTCTGGTCAGCCATAATCTTGTTTCAAATTGGTGGCAAATCTAGTCTCATCCAGCAGCTTCAGTCAACCGTCATCATCCAGTTCTGAAGCTTCAAAGTATTCCTTGAATCGACAGTAACACCATCAGGAAATCCTTCTCTTTTCCTAGTATCATGGATTGGCTCCATCAAAACCAGTCTCTGGATGGATTCTTACAGCTCATCCTGCTGACATATCATATCCATCTCAGCCTTGCAATTCTCATTACTGGTACTATACTCAGCTTCTTAAACATTGTGTTCAGCACCGTGGTTTGTCCTAACTTCATTCTCCAAACCATTCTCCGTACCATAGATATGTCTGAGGATCATTTTTTCAAAGACAAGTTATTGTCCACTAGTACTCCAGGTCTATCACAACCAAACTGGTTAACTTATTCTCACAAAGATAGAGTTTCAATATTTTGGACAGAGATCCACTACAGAACTATCTTGCTACCGAGAAATAGCACCAATTTGTAAAATATTACTTTCTTTGGTCAACAACAAAAGAATTTAATTGTGATAGAATAAAGTTTCAAGGATCACTCTAGTATGATCTGTGACTAATGTGTAAATTATAAAATATCTAGAAGCAAGTTGAATCAGACAGACAAGTTTATTTATATTGTTGGGATCTACTTATCTTAAAATGTAGAACTTCAAATTGTCAATTAAAAAAATTCATTATTGCAAATAATAAAACCAAAATTAATCATTGACTTTAATTAGCTAAATTAGATTAATGATGAAAAATTGTATACAAATGTCTTGGCTATATTTCCATGGTTAAGACCTAGAGCATACCAACAATTATTAGTTGTTCGATGATTGGTTGGTAACCAAAAGGTCAAGGAGAATGGCAGAGCAGTGGCATAGCTAATAGCCCAATGCATCTCATCGGTTGTGTTGTTGTTATTTATGTCACCATGTTGATGTTTGTATACCTAAGCTAGTTAGAGAAGCCTGTTCCTAATTTTTTACCTCATCTTTCTCCATAACTCATCTTTCTCTAACTGGTCAAGTTTATTTAAGGATATAATTGTTCTATGAGAGAAAAAATAACATAAATAAAGAAACAAAACATATCTAATGTTTTGACTATCAAACAACTAAAAAACAACTCCAGTTAATCATTAATGTTATAAAAAGTAATAATACGAGAATATATTTACCTGAGAAAGAGGTGATCCATATCTATATTTCTTGTTATAAGAGCATACATAGTTGGTGGGGTCAGCATTGATTGTTACGTTATAAGTCTTCGATATGATTTGGCACATATTTGGAGCAAAAACTTCAACATCAATAATGCTTAACATTGGATGAGAGTATATCTGTTGAAAATATTAACAAATTAAAATGTAATTAAGGAGAGATACAACTAGAAAGGAACATGTAAATGACATAATCAAATAAATACATTGATAAAACACTATATCAATCATGTTCAGCAGCAATTACGTTAAATAAATAAGATGAGTCAGTCATAGAACATAATAGTAAAATTCTTACAGTTCTGTTTAATTTTAATGTGCCATACCCAGCAACGTGGCATAAAGTTGGCTCATCATCTTCCATAGATATAGGACCAATATTTGGTATTTTTAAACCAAAATCATTTGTCAGAGCATCAGCAACCTAAAAAATAATATTATTATGAAATTCCAAAATATATTAGAAGAGGGATGAAATTGTGCAAACATCAAAACTTTATTATTGTTAATTCCCCTATTTAAATACACTAATTTCATGTATTAAATATTTATTATCACATATATCTTATAAGTCTTAGACTTTTTAGACTGTATAACTATTTTTTTTTTATAATTGGCCAGTTAGATGTTAACATCAATGAAGAATATTGTCAACATTAAATCCAGCTACCTAATGGTAATTAAATTTTGATGTTTATTTTTTAATTTCTATTCACACTTAAGGCCAGTTTAATAACAATCAAAATTAGTTTTTGATAGTTATTTATTTTTTATTTTTTGATAGTTATGAATTAAATTATAGGTAAATTCTAATCCATAATTTGTATACCAACCAAATTAAATTATTTAATGTAATAAAAAAAACAGGGCAAAAATTATAATCTGTACATATATTATTACAGTAAGGCTCGAAATCGGTTTTTTACCAAATATAAGTTCCTGTCATGCTCAAATACCATGAATGGGGTACCGTTGGATTCAGAATTTTACGGGGGGTTAGCGAATCGTATTCTCCGCTTTTGTTATTCTTTCTAAAATAAATAAAGTTGATACAAACATTTTGCTAGGCTTCAATACTGGAACGGTGGTAGGTCTGTAGATCGATGCGGGACAAATTGGACCTTGAAGATTTTGATGCGTACAGCAAGACCCGGATAGTTCCTCCGGAACTATCGGATCCTGCCTTTTTAAGCCCAAAAACTTACTATTTTCGAGATAACGCAAGGCATGGGGTTCGCTTCCACACAACCTGACGTTAATGGTAGAACTGTCATTGGATACATGTCTCATTTCGTCGACTTGAGGTCTCTATGATCGAGACAGCAGGAATTTATTATTTATCGATGGTGTTTTTGATCGGCAAGCCATATCATCGTTAATTCTTCACCAAATTTCAAGATTGAGCCACCAATTTCGAAGGCTTCCTTCTCATTCAGGCAGGAAAAATATTCCAATCACCCTAAAAATTCAGGCAAACAAGTTATGAAAAAAAAAGAAACTTTATTTGCGAATAACTAAAAAATTACACACTTTTCCCTTGATTATTCCTATGATTGTATAAAACGTTACTAATTATCTACAAAAGGAAAAAAAAATCATTGAAATCGGACAATTTTTCGCAAAGATACAGCTTATTGAAATTTGTAAATATGTTGGTTCCAAACAAAAATGAAGATTTAAATTAGTTTTGTTTCCTTTGTGGATTATATTTATGGATAAAGTAACAATTGATTTCTTTATCTTTTGATACGTTGCATTATTTTATTTTCTTATTAATTTGGCATTTGATAACAATATGCTGTGCGAATTTTTCGCACGGGCCTACTAGTGAAAAAATAAATAAATAACTATCAAAAACTAATTTTGGTTGTTATTAAACTGACCTTAAGGCATACACTTAAGTGTGAATAGAAATTAAAAAAATAAACATCAAAATTAAAAAAAAATGTGAAATCAATCACACGATAAGCCTAATGGTATTGAATGGAATGAGGATGAATTAAATTATAGGGATATTTTAATCCATAATTTTTATACAAACCAAATGAAATTATTTAATGTAAAAATTATAATACACACACAAAAAAAAAAATCACTATCAAAAGCTAATTTTGATTGTTATTAAACTGACCTTAAGGCATACATCTAAGTGTGAGTAGAGAAAAATCAATTAAATTTTTTCCACTAACAACCCATGGAGAGTCTTGAATTAAATAATTGATAAATATCATAGAATTAATAATGTTTGTTAATTTATATCAATTATATTTATTGTTCAATTATTATTAATTGATATCACACATATTACCGTTTAATTGTTTATAATTTAATTACTATTTAGTGATGATCATGCAAATTACTATGAATTACTATTTAGTGATGATCATGCAAATTATTACGAATTATTATTTAGCGATGATCATGTGTTGGTGCCTCGAACTCTTAAGCTACAATTTTAACATAGTTTATAGACCAAGAAAGAAGAACGATGCTGCTGATGCCATTTCTACAGTCTGTAATTCAATCGATAACTCTTTAACACCCCTGAAAACTCTACATGAAAACTTATGTCATCCTGGAGAGACAATACTTTATCTCTGGGTAAGAAATAAGAATCTTCCACTTTCATTGTATAATTAAAGTTATATCAGCCTTTAATATATGTGCACAGATCAAACCATGTTTTCCTAAATATGAAGGACGGCTTGTGAAGACTACTCAACAAGTTTGAGAGACTAAACATGGATTTTAAGGGACCTTTACCTACTACACCATGAAATTGCTACCTTCTTATAATAGTGGAAGGGTATTGATGTTATCCTTTAGCTAACCCATGCGCTGATATGTCAGCCAGTACTGTGTCAAATTCATAGAACTTTTCTCTATCTTTGGGACACCAGTGTACATTCATAAAGACTATGGAACAAGTTTTATGTCACTAGAACTTAAAGCATTCTTAAATGAATTGGATGTGGCTACAAGCCGAACGATGGCATACAGTCTACAAAGAAATGGGCAAGGCAAGCGTTATGTTGATATCATATGGAGGACAATAGAATTAGCTCTTAAAAATAAACAACTAGACTACTCAAAATGGGAAGAGGTCTATCAAGAGACCCTTAGATCGATTCGCTCTCTTTTATGCACTCACACTAACGCAACTCCACATGAAAGGATGTTTGGCTTCTCAAGAAGATCATCGGTTGGTATTAAAATACTCTCATGGCGCATGAAACCAATTCTTATGAGATGACCAATTAGTCAATCAAAGTAAGGCCCACTAACTGAAGAAGGCTTCCTTTTAAGAGGAAACTCTGAGTATTCACACATCAGGTTTACAGATGGAAGAGAAGCTACTGTTTCTAACATACATCTTTCATCAACTGGGATCTGGAAGAAACTCTGGAAGAGGCTATCTTAAGTGATCCCTTGATGGCCCACACTGGCATGATATTGGGCCGAGACAGATGGAACAAGCATAGCGAACCCAATGGGTACCTGTACTTCCTAAAATACAACTGGGGATCTTCAGCCGTACTTCGGTACACGCCATCTTCCTAATGAGGAAGCCCAAATGCAACTTCAAAGAAATTTCAGAAATAGAAAAACTCCTCTGTATTTTAATTACTATATTTCCTCCTAGGAGAGGCAAATGTCAGAGAATTGATAATGTTTGTTAATTTATATCATTTATATTTACTGTTCAATTATTAATAATTAATATCATACATATTATCATTGCATTGTTTATAATTTAATTACTATTTAGTGACAAGATATTAAAGGCTGTGATCGTATGTTTAATCAAGAATGTTTAATTACATTGAGATGTTGTTTTGTTTTTGTGAAATATAGCTTTTCACAAGGTTTAGCATTATTTTATTAGAGTAAGAAAGGACTGTTACAAGGGCAATGATTGTGCAAGAAGGTGGCTTGGTCATGATTACGCTTGAAAGTCAGGTTTTCTCCTTTTAGAGAATGGGTGTGCCACTGGAGGGTCTACAAATCTTAGTATCAATTTATAGTTGATATAAAAGAATAAATAATAAACTATCTAAGTTTGCCTTGAACCTGGACACGGGATTTAGGAGTATAGTCCCTCACATATGAAATCATAATACCATAAGTTAACATAAAAAATACAGATCGTCTATGTAATACCATGTTTCATATTTAGTTAAAACGAAATGTAGAAAATTAAATTTTTTTATATATAAGATTTTGAAATCTTTACCAACTCTCCTCAAAACCAAATAGAACCAAAACCAAGTTTATTAGATCAAGTCTCCTAAAATCAATTCAATTCTTTCCTTGCTTTTATCTAAACTACTCTCCAACTAATACTACTCTGGGAAAAATCATGAAGTCATGTTCAATCGAATCCTTTTCTGAAAATAAAACCATCAAACTGTTGAATGCGACAAATCCTTCACACTGTCACCATGTAGCATTCTTTTCCACTGTGAGTCCACAATGTTCTCTCTCTTCCTACATTTAAATCTTCAATTCATTTAATATTAAATTTTATTTCTATAATAGTACAATATTTTTTCCTGTTAACTTTATAAACAGAAATATTATTTTTATTTTAAATAAGGAATACTGAATGATTACGAACCAATTTATAATTGTTCTGTAAATTATAAAAGCATACACTCTGTGATGAAAGTAAAAACATACTTTCGGTGATCTCCACATTTAGGACAAAGGTGATCAAAGTCTTTTTCAACGATAAGGTAAATGCGGAAGCATTCATGCTTTATAACTATATTGTAATACCAATCAGTCTGGAAAGACCCACCTCATGTAGTCATGACCAGGCAGCGGGAAATAACATCCTTTTAGTGTTTCTATCATGCTCAGGATACCTTGTGTTCAGTACCTGATAACAAGTTTATGATTTTTGACTAACAGTTGAAGAAATGTTGGTGGTCTGGTCAACATTCAAGCTCAACAGCAAGATGTCTCTCCTCCAATCTATTGGTGAGATACCCAACTTTAAGGAGTCACATCCACTATATATTCATAACAGCGACAAGAGTTGATCCCTATTGTGCTTTGAAACAACAATATTTGAGACGTTCGCAACAATAATTCATTGTATGGAGGCTTTTCCCATTTATTACTCATCTAGCAGACCTCAGGAGGCCTTAAGAAGCAGAAAGTGTTCTAGGAGAGCTTTCCAACCCCGGAGTCAATCTGAGACTAACAGAATTGAAAATATTTTTATCTCTTATAGCTAAACTTGAACCAGAGGGAGTTAATGGTCTAATGGCTTACCCATAGATAAAAAATATTAAAATATTTGCTTATGAAATCCGGCTCTTTTCAATGGAATAAAGAGTAGTTAGTATAAATAAGTATTTATATAAATATCAGCATAAATAATAGCTAATAAAAAATATTATTATAATGGAATAAATTAACTTTGTAGGAATTAATAAAGAAAATGAACTACAGTTACCTTCAATAGAGCGATTTCTGCATTGTGAGATATTGTTTCATAGCTGTTATGAATTACTATTTCACTACCAGTTCTAGCATATTCACTTTCACATGGTCTACAAAAGTCAATAAAGATATATATAAGAGCTAATAGTGTTTATATTTTATAGCTATTTTGGGTTTGTATGTGATTGTTTTATATGCACCTAGGGAGCATGGTCATTGTAATCCTTTTGTGATGATTAACATGATTAGGAATTCAATTATGTCATCAGGACTAAATTGATTAAACATCAAACAGTATTTATAAAAAAAAATCAAAAAATCTCCCAAGATGTTTTTTGCAATTGGTACAATCCAAAAAAAGAGAATGAATACCTTTAAGTATTTTGAGTTAGAATATGCACTCTGATTATTATTTCCATATCCATTCAGAATGGATGATCTATTTTACAACCCATAACGTTTCAAAACAATTTATCTCTAATATATATATCGGTATTTATATACGGTATATGTGGACCTCTCTGGGGATCTCGAGGCGAAACTAAAACGTTTGACAAATTGCTTTGTACGATTCATCTTCGGGATCCCAAAGGACGCCTCTGTTTCCCATTTTTATGCTGAGTTAAAGTGGCTTTATCCTTCCTACCGTCGTAAGTATTTCCTAGCATCCTTCCTCTTTCAAATCATCCAATTCCACCGTCCCTCATATATCTCCGAGCTCCTTCAATTCAAATCCTCTGTTCGTTCCCAGTCTTCTGATTTATACGTAAGGGCCCACCGAACCCCTGCTTTCGACAAATCGTTCATTATCCGATCCTCATCACTATGGAACTCCATCCCTTCTGACATCCGTCAATCAAATACCCTTCCTACCTTTAAATCCCGCCTGTTCAATCATTTCTTATCCATCCAGTCCCTATAAAATCGTATATAGATACTGCTGTAAATATGTACATAAAATATTAGTTCGTTCTTCATTATTTGTATTCCAATTTTTTTAACCTATTTTTTTATTTTTTGTATAATCAACTAATCAAAATTGGAAAGCAACTTATATGTATATATATATATATATATATATATATATTTTTTTTTTTTTTTTTTTTCACCAAGACTGTTCAATTTCTCTGTACTTTTATTTATGTATCTCTGAGGCTCCTTAGCCCACATTCCTATCTTCCTGTATTATTCTAAATTGACTCGTCCCAGAATAAATAAAGTATTATTATTATTATTATTATTATTTAGTAATTGAGAAGTATATGTATGCTGACTTCCATTGAAATTTTCTTGACAAAGTGTACCTTAAGGTGGAACAAAAAACATTTTTTTTTCAGCAGGCAGCAGTCTAATAGGAGTCAAAGGTTGCCTTTTTATGTTTAGAAAAACACTACAAAATTTTGTTGTTCTACACATTAGTTGATTACTGATTTTGCCAGAAAATCCACTAATGGTCAATTTTAGATTAGACAGATGTATAAATCATAAATTAAGTTAAAAAATACAGACAAAATGCTCAATTCTATTAAGCATGACTTGTCTGTTATTTGAAAATAACAAAGTATGAAATCTCATAGATTATTATTGTATACTAATGAGAATTAAAGTAAAAATATTTTTTTTTTATATTTCACACTTGGAGTAAGGAAAATTATGATAATAAAAAGATGGGAATAACATTTGTTCTATTATAACATATTTAAGAGTATTCAAGCCACTAAGTAGGGGAAGCAAATTCATCCTAAACAGACTACAAATAAAAATTTTCATAAACACAATACTTTTCCTAACTATACAGTTCATATAAAAATATCTAACAGTAAAAAGGAAGTTACCCTGATATACCAGTATTTCCACATTTAAAAAAATACAATTTTTTTTTCTATGAACAGAAAATTGTAAAGTATTTCACAGTCAAGGAGAACATAAAATCTGGTATTTGACTAATACATATAATTCTTTTCAAAACTAACATGTAAGTTTTGTCGAAAACAGTTAATACTACAACATTCTCTGCTTTGAGGGGTACAATTTTTTTAAGTTCTCTCAGTTCTTTCTTTGAATATTCTTTGGGTTTTACAGTTAATGAATCTTTGAGAGACAAACTACCATAAGGGTACTCGTCAACTTTCCGCTTCCTAAAATAAAAAGAGGAATAAGTGTTAATGCCATTTCTTAGGAGTTATATATTTTTTAATTTTTACCTAACTCTGAGTGTTTCTCTGTTTCTGAAAAAAACAAAACAATTTAATATTATTCTTTGATTATAACGTTAATAAAAAAATATATTATTTGAATTTAAGTTTACCGATAATAGTATATTGGTATATGGAAACAATTAGGGACAGATATTGTCCAGTATGGACTAATAAGAAAGCCACTGCAGAACAGTCTACCTGATTCTTTGTAATGATACGAAACCTTTGAAATTATTTGAAAAGAGTATTAAAAATAAATCCATCTGAAATACATTATTGAGAGTATATTTATTTAAAATGTCTTCAAATATTATAATACCAAGTATTAAAAATTATATTTTATTTCAAAATATAGTTATTAGTAAAACTAATAAAATAACAACCTTTATGTTAACTGGACTTCTGGATATTTAGAAAAAATGTAAGTGACAAAGATCAGTTTAAATAGGTACATTATTCCTAATGACCAACAAGATTTTTATATCTCTTGTTCAAAGAAATGTTTTGGATTAACAAACCCAATAAATATCCTAATGCATAAGAATATTAATCCCCCAAAACAAACATAATTCTTATAGTGAAATCTTTGAGCCTAAGTAAACAATTTTTCTTACATTAATTAATTATTCTATATCACCCTTAGAAATATAGTTTTCAAGTTATTATTTGCACTAATAAAATAAGTAGTCAATTTGTGGCTTGTATCAGTTTATATGGAATGGATATAAAAGAATTAATCCATTTATATAATTTTGTTTTACAGTTTCATAACAATACTTACTTAAAGAAATTTAAAAAGAAAAAAAATAGGTAATACTAAAACGCAATAACAGTCAGAGACAAATGTTATTTATTGTTACATTGTCTGCTAGAAAGTTCGGAAACTATGACCACTGTGTTCTGTAGTTTTCAGTCTTAAATTTGTAGTGAAATGATAGTAGAAGTTTATGTGATATATTTTATTTATTGACCACGTCCACTGCATTTTATGTATTTGTATGCATTTTATGAATTAGGTTAGCAAAAGAGAGGAGAAAATCTAGGGAATGAGAAAAATGTATAAGGGGAGAGAAGAAAGAGAAAGGGATATATAATGCTAATAAATGAATGAAATAGTAAAAAAAAAAAAAAAAAAAATAAGGAAAAAATTATAATAGTGATACATTTTTTTTCTTCTTTTTAGTCGTATTCTCCTCTGCTACTGAGCAGTGGGAGATGCCTTCTTGTCCTGAATAAACAAATTCTGTTCCTGTACCAACTGCCTCTTCCTCCAGTCAATTCTCTTTCGTTCTAGAGGCACAAACATTCTATTTTAACCCATATGGGAAGGTCAAGATTTACTCCACAAGTCCTCTGAGAAATAAATTTCAGTCTGCCCAGGGCGGATTTGAACTAGTGCTGCTAGACTTAAGATGTTGATGTGGGGCCACTAAGTGGGAAAAATCTCAACACACTCAGCCATCATGGCTTCAATGCCCAAAATGGGTAATAAAATACTGTTTTTAAATCAGAATCAGTCTCAACCACCAAGTTTTTCCTCCAATAAAGGCTTGATAGCTTAACTGTGGGATCAACTGTTAGCTAACACAACAGATTAAGTAATTATCTGCCACATCTGTGCTCAAGATATAAAGTACAGTGCTTTACTCACTGAGCAAACTCTAAATTAAGAAGTTATAAATTAAATATAACTCTCCCATCTCTTTACTTTTTTCAGACCAATTCTATAGTATTTATTGAACACAGTGCAGGCACAGCCAACTTCTAATTAATATATAGCCTTGCTCACAGATATCCCAAGATATCCAGTATAAACCAGGCACTGATACAGCTCACTTCTTCCAATTAGAGAAGAAATCTAGAAAGAGAAAACTATTGGAGGCTTTGATGTACCTTGCAGTATAATCTAAAAACTTTTCAAAAGGGCCAATTAAAAAATGATTTCATTGAAAAACAACTCGGCGTCAGATTTAGAAAAACTGTCATTCTTTAGTTTAAAAATAACAGAAATATTTTGTTATTAAATTTGTCCGTAAACATTTAATTAATTAATTACCTTCATTTGTTAATAGGTTTTGAATTGGGAATTATGGGATGATTTTCAGAAAAATGACAATTATATCTTTATTATGTATTAAATAGAAATTTTCCCACACTTCCATATAATATTTACACTAGTACTCATTTTACACTTATATTATAGTATTTGATTTTAATATTAAGTAAATGTCTAAAAATTAGACATTACTAAAAAAATTTGTAAGTGTAAATGTCTTCAAAATTAGTAATAGTTTTATATTTCATAGGTGTTTGTTTTTTTGGTGAATGTACGTTTGCCTTTTTGAAAAAAATATTGATACATTTACTGGGTATAAAACTTTTAAATTTTGGCTAATTATTTTTTTTTAATGTTTAATAAATTTTTTTTTTATTGGTTTATAAGTGTTCATTTCTGAATTTCATCATGAGGTAAAATGGCAAAAAGTAAAATCAATTCAGGTCCTATGAAATCAAAAATGCTATATACCCATGTGTGTTGTGTATTTATTGAAATTATGAAATTTACCTTTTTAAATTATTCCCCTTATTTGATTCATTCTTCAATCTGGCTTGTGTTCAACAACTGCCAACTCTAATTCACAGAATTGCCTAGATATTTGCAGAGCCTATACTGTGTTCAATACCTTTGCCCTTAACCTTTTATCAGTTTACTTATTCATAGTAATCCAAAATTACCATGGACTTGGTTGACTTAAAAATTTAGATACAACTAATTAATTTCAGATTCCCATAAACAAATTAGTAAGCATATATTTTTGAGTACAATAGGCCTACATGGCCGTAGTGCACTCATGCCGCAAAAAAAAAAAGCATATATTTAATAAGAAATCTCCAGTTAACACAAACCTCAAAACAATAGAGTGGAATTTTTGGCTAACTTATATTTATTCAAAGTACAAATACTTGGTATACTCTCATCTGAAACAGAGCATTTTTTTTTTTTTTTTAATCCAGTTTCCTTTGTCAGGTTTATTACAAATTAAAGACAAAATGCATGTGGTAACTGTGAGATTAATAGTTTTAAAATTAAGTATAGAAAAACTTATAGACAATCAAATAAAATAAGCTTCATGTTAAATAAAATTTCATTTGAAAACAATTTTTCAACCTCATACTGGAGTTCCTCCGAGTTTGTATGACAGAGAGAGAACTGTAGTATTATATTTCAACTCTACCTAAAGCAACGAACTGCAATGGTTTTGATAAAATTACATTAAATCAATAAAACATACTAAGTTGTCTTTGACACGATAGAGATGAATTTCCTTAGTATTGCAATTCTACATATAAATAACTTACAACGTAGGAGTAATCCATTAGTGATGCTAAATAGCCAGTAAGTGCAAACCCTTTCGATCCAGTTTTGGTTTGTAAAGCACTATTAGTGTCCTCATTTCTTCCCCCACTTCTACGCAAGGTGCCTTCAGTATTTAGAAACAAGCCAGTGAGGCAAAGAATAAAATCCGTCGCTTTTAATAATGAAAAATACATACTATAAAACTATTAAACATTGTATGACATTGCTATAGCAACAATTTAGGAATAAAATGACAGATGAAAAAAAAAAATACATATTGGGTTTTAAATCTTTTATTAGTTTTTTTTGTGCCTATTTGTACAAGTATACAATATGGTCAAAGTTATTTAATTTAAACTTGATGGAACCAAAACAATTAACAGATAGGAATAAAATATTACAAAATACTTCGATGAATAAAAGTATCACAAGAAATTGTACCAAATAAGTTTCATATTTATCATTTATACGTTAGTGCTGAACAAGTTCAGTTTATTACAGCTAATATCTTAGCGATGAGTATACACACAGAAATGAATGTATGCATACAGATTTTATTAAAAAAATAAAAAAAGAACACAGACACATGAAATCACTAAGCATGCCTCTCATAATATGAAAGCGCTTTAGTTTCATCAAACATCATATAATAATCTTATTAACATCAATCAATAATTTAAATTATCAATTGATAGCCGATAAAATTTTGAACAATTATTTTAATTAATTAATTTTGAATTAATATCTGAAATACTTACAGGACTAGAATTAAATTGTTTTATAAACTGTAAAGAGTATCAAACAAGCATATGTTATATTTTTCTCATTTTGCTTCAAGTAACGATCAATTTTTTTTGTTTCGAACAAATACTAGTAAGCTTAACAAATAAATGAAATATAATCTCTTAGAAGATAATATATTTATCTTATACAGCCCTAAGTATTTATTATTATTTTTTTTTTACACTCAAAGATGGTTCCATGGAATAGATATAAACTTAACAAAAGAAAGATACTTCTCATAAACAAACCACACATATATAAATGTGAAATTGTATCGGTCATCGATTAAATAAATATTAATGCCCTAACACTTGTTTAGTTTATATTTAAAATTTGTTTAACAAAGCAGTAATTTATGGACTAAGAATGACAATATTACTTAAAATTTTTTAACTGGCTTATCTTTCTGCACTAACAGTAACTTTAAAGCCTATTTGGAACATATAAAATAATATTTGATTAAAACAAATGAAAACTGCCAAACATCAAATTTATTACATAGTAATAGTCATAACATTTACTTTTATGGATTGTTATTACTTTTTTTTTTTTTTTTTTAATAAACAATGGGCTTATAGAAAACTCTCAATGCAATATTTAATAGTCTTTTGTTAAAAGAATTACTCATTTTATGATTTAAGTTCCTCTTCTTATTGTTTTAAAACATGACCATAGGCAACACTTACCTACTTTAATCATTTTCGACAATTCTGCTTTTATCACAGTTCATTTGACATTTAAAATTGTTTTATTATTCGTTTATATATCTTATGCCTGTTTTTTAAAAACAAAAACAATTTTTGAAATAAATATATAAATATATTTGTCACATTGATCAAACAAACTCGAAATATAATAAAATAAAACCTTCAAGTAAAAAGATATCTAAAAGAGGATAGTCAGTTTAAGATGATTTTTCTTCTCTCTTAGTTTTTTAATTATTATTATTTTAATTTAACAAATAAATCATCAAAAACATTAAATAACAAGAGTATTCCATAAATATTGCCTAGTTGTTATATTCCTTTGTTTATCCTTTATATGTGGTTATTATGAATACTAAAAGAATATTGAGCTCTCATTAGAGTGTAGTATGGTAGAAGGAGAGGATGGAGAATGTCCAAAGAGAATGGTCAAATCCCCCAACTCATTTATATGCCTACCTGAAACAAAAACAAAACAATAACATCCATGCAGAGAAACTGATAGTGATCAGAGCCAATTTGGCATATTCATAAAACATTACCCTTAACAGTACCTTCATAAACAGTACTTAATATTAATTAGCTTTTAAAGTTAAGATTTACATTTTTTATCTTTTTTTAAAAATGTTTAGTTTTTAATTTTCGATAGAAAATGATTACCACTCAGACTCATATTTTCTTTATAACAAAATGAACCCTTATAGAAAATTAAAAAAAAAAAAAAACGGAAAAGATAATAATAAAGTAGAAGTTAAATTATAAATTGTAACCCACCCTAGACTAATTCTTCCCCATTATCAGCAATATCATTATTTCAAGATTGGCACTACATAAAATTACACTTTTTGTGATAGGACATCCAGTTGATAGAATGAATATATTTTACTCTAAAAAATGATAAAAGATATTTTATCAATTTTTAATCAAATTGGAAAAATTAGGGTTCATATTCAGATAGTTAAGAGATTAAAAATTATAAGATTCATTGAAGACAAAAATGTTTTTATAAATAAAATTAATGATTAATGATGAGAACTTACCTTGGGAGAGTACTACCAAAAAGTATAACCTCCTTCAGATGCACCAGTTAGAAAACTACCTTTCTTCTGAGACAAGGTAAGATTGTGTCCAGCCATTGCTGCGAGTTGAGCTGGAGTGGGTGGGACTCCAGGAGGGGGGCCTGGTACCACTGGAGCAGCAATTCCATCAAATCTCGCGCCTCCATCATAGCCATTCTATAGTAATAGGTTAATAAGTAACAAAATATTTTATTAGAAATTAAATTATAACTAATTTAATTAAATTAAATCAACTATAAAGTTTAACTAACAGGTATCATAATTGTAGGCCTAAGCTGAGGCTGTGGATATGTATAGGCAAGTGGATAATAGGCCTGCATTGGAGTAAAAGCAGAGGTGTAGTATCCTGGAGTCGCAGTTTGGCTATACATAGCGGTACCAACACCAACGTGTGGATACATCTGAAATTAATAAGATAACACGGACTCATTATAAAAAAAAAAAATAAATAAAAAAAAAAAGGCTTAATAAATTATTTGTTTAATTTTAATAAAATTATCAATTGCTGCAGGAGATTTCAAGCCTTACAAGTTAAGGAAGCTATTTATATTTATAAATGTTTAAAAAGTTGATAAATAATCAGAACAAAAGTTTTTCATGTGTTTCATAGCATTCTACGAGAGTTGAGCAATAAGACCATTGTATTGAATGGACTAAAAGAAAAACAAGAATGGTTAATTAAATTATTAAATAACAACTATAACAAGCAAAATATGATATGAAAATATATCGAGCAAGAACGGTCATTATTATTATTATTTTTTAATCAGGGGTAGATCTATTTTTGTTTACCTCTTTACAAAAATTTAATAGGCCAATCAACGAATTGGATTCTTAAAATGAAACTAACATAACAGAATAAATGCAATAATAAATTACATTGAAAACAATGTCAAGGAATAGTAATCTCAGAAATACACATCGACAGCGGTACATTTACTACCAAAGATACTGAGGGTAAGAGATACTATAACAAAAAATTAATTTAAAAATATAAGTGATATAGAACAATATATATTGTAATTTTTTTTTGTTTAGAAAAATTAACTTGAGACAGAGAGGAGGGTAGTTAGCGCAAATAAAACCAAAACTATTATCTAAGCAGAAGTTGATACATGCTCAATGCTCATACGATTTAAAGGGCATGCTTTAAAACAGATAATGTTTTTTTTCTCCTCTTTATAGCAATAATTAAGAAACTTAAAATACAAAATGCAATCTAACTAATAAAAAACATTATAATGAAAAATTAAAATGGTATTAATAATAAATACATATTTCAAATTAAAATTTATCTTTTTTGTACCTGTTGAGCCATTATGGCAGGTAGTTGCTGGTCATAAGGAGGAGGAGCCTGCCCAGGATAAAGTTGCTGGTAAACCGCATAAGGTGATGCTGTGGCTGCTTCAATAACAAAAATGAATTAAAACTATTTGTTTAAAAATAAAACAAATCACAAGTGAAGTTTTGAGAGTATAAAACTTGAATTAAAATTGATAACTATAGTAAATACAAACTTATACATTATTTCTCAAATATATATATATATATATATATATATATATATATATATATATATATATATACCTTTTCCGGCTCTCAAGAGTGATGGATTTTGACGAATGAGGTATCAATAGAAAGGGAATATCAAGTAGAGTGTGTGAATCGTGATTTTGATTCCTTATTTATACCTGGACTTAAATAAAAGTGAATGTAAAAGTGGAAGGTTTCAAACCATATGATGGCGCAGTCTCAACGAATTGAGACATTACAAATGCATTCATAATTTGGGAATAACTCAAAAAAGACCCAATTTTTGGTTTATTATATGTATGAGTATTTGAAAGCTTACTAAATTCCTTACAAAACGTAAAAAAACAACATCAAAATCAGACAATTTGGTGCAGAGTTATAGCTTTCTGAATATTTATTATTTGTTACACTGCATAGATTCTGTAGCATCTGGGTAGTTATTTATCAAATTGAGAATTTGCCCTTGGTTTCCAGAGTACAGTATATTATGTACCAATTAGTAATTATTTTTTTAATTTCAAAACATTTTATTCTTTTTAATTAATACAAATATTAATTTTATTTTTATTTGTATAAATATGTCTTCCTTTAAACAGTGTATGTATTTTTTTCAATGTGCTTCGATTACAATAGCATTTACTATTAGATCTTTATTATTGTAGTTTATTATTTTTAAAATATACTTTCGATTTTTTTAATTATAAAGTAACATACATCCGGATTGGACTAACTATATAACTCCCTGAGAATTTGAGGCTTTTGTCATCATCAGATGTTTAAGGCAATGTTTAGAAGCTTTTGGTGATTTATGATAATGTAATGAGGAAAAAGCTAACATTTACATTATAAGTTTAAGGAAATCCTCCAATGGTTAAACCATGGGAAAATATAAATCCTATTCATAAATAGGCAACTTACAAAATATCGGTAATAAACATTTGTGTATCAAACATTATTGAATGGAAATTGTTCTCTTAATGCATTAAAATCAGATATAATTATTAGGTGTGTGAGGAGTATTCGCACTGGTCAGCTAGTAAAACTATAATAGTCATATTTTAAATCACCTCTAATTCAAATAAGTGGGAATATATATATATACCTAGTTCTGTCATAAATTTTGTTACAAGAAAATATATACAGATTTCAACAGAAAAATTAATTTTTTCTCATATCTGAGGCGGATATCTGTTATTCTTAGGAATTAAATAAAAACCTAATTTTTGTTTAAACCTTCAATTTAAAACAATTTTTTTTTCATAATTAACTTAAGTTATGTGATATATGTAATATCAACATAATCTAAACAGTTAGTCGAATTCATCTTTAATAATACAGTTGTCCATTTCTGACTTCTGAATCTCACTAATGAAGTTTAATATCAGCCTTAACTAGTATAAGGAACATTATTAAAGCTAACAATAAAAAAATGAAAATTTAAAATTTTTGATAACCAATTACTGCATAAAATTGACCAGATCCAACGAAAGGCCTATTAATTCTTTTATATTTGCATGAAAATTCCCTGGATTCTAAATCATAATTTCGGAAACCCACTTTCCATTTCAATCAAGACATGGGCAATAGTTTAACTAATATATTATATAATAGAATTTATAGAAAATTATTTTATTTTTTAAGTATATTAAATTATTACCCTATAAGTAAAATAATAATTACACAATTTATTTAAAATGTTTATATTTACATATAAAAACAAAATTAAAACAGGCTATTGTTATCTGTTTCATATGTAATGAGAAATATAACAGAAAATAGATATTTTATATTAAACTGCTTTACAGAAAGCTGCATACTTCACGTTATTCTAATTTTTTTGAATACATATAAATATTTCACAAATCAATACACATCAAGTTGTTAATTTGAACTCAAATATTTGAATAACAAAGAAAATAATCAAAATAATTTTTTCTTTTTAAAAAAGAGCATTATTTTTCCATAAAATGCAACCAGCTATCATGCAGACAAAAAAATATTAAATTATAAAAGTCTTACCCCTTCCCTTTTCTTGCCCAAGTTTCCTAATAAATAAAAAATTTCTTACCTTAATATGAACATAAGGTTTAAAAGACTGATGTGGCACCACTCATTTTTTGACAACTCCTCCTCAGCCAAGATATGAGAAGTATTTTACTTTATCATCTATCTGAGCTTAGTATTTTCATGACATTAAGACAATGAAATGAGAAGTATATGGTAACAATTTGACACAATTGAATAGAAGACATAGCTTGAAGATCGTATTATGTTAAAATTGGAAAATTCCAACTACACAGTCTTGTGTCACTAAAACGCAGGTCAAATTTATCGTTTTTAATTACATTAAACTAGCAATTGGATGTTATGGAGTGATGCGATCTTACCTTTCTTTTCTTTTCTGTCCTGAATTAGCGAAACCTTGACAGGTTTTTTTAAAAACATTTTACCTGCACTTTAGAGACAAGAGGCTTGTGAGATTGGAATTTTTTAATTTTAGCCTAACATGAATGTTTTGTCTCTTGGTAAGTTTTAACTCGTTTATTTAATAGGCTAAGTTCTTCTCTGATAATTTATTTACTATTTATATAGCATTACCTTAGTAAATACTAATGACTAATGGAAATGTGAGCTTATCGTAACCGTACCTTTACAATCCTCCAATTACAACTACTACTTTTGTGTCATACATCTTTTTTTCTCAAGTTTAATCCAACCTCAAATAAAAATAAGACTACACTATTTTTAATGATAAATATTTTTTTTTACAAATACACTGTACATTTTTAAATAAATGTACAGCAGTGGCATCAGATACGAACCTATTATAAATTATCCTAAATCTGTTTTTGTCAATTTCAAAGTTAAATTTGTATATAGAGCACAAATTTGAAAATCTTACATGAAACACAGTGCAAATAACAATATGCCAAAATAAACTTAAATATTAAAAAATAAATAAATAGTTACAATTAATCCAAAAACCATTTATAGCTGTTACACACGTACCACAGTCAAATAAGTCAATTAGTGTTACAAATAACTTTATTGGGATCTATAACATAACAGCAGGAGTCCTAAATACATAATAGCCTTCGACTAGAAAAACATATTAAGGACTCCTCCGCCACCAGAAACAGCTAATAAAGAAATGTTAGTACAGCATTTTTTTTTTTTATTTCAAATAACACTAACATATAATGAGCTTTTTTGTAACAAGTTTTTTAATCCTAATTTTCTTCTAGAGGAGATCCATTCTTCCATCATGATTCAGAAAATATTTCAACCATGAATATTATAAAAATAGGGAAAAAATTAGGTATTTTTTACATTTTGTTAATAATTTTCATGATGGATGAAACTTATTAATAGAATAAGGAAAAACAAATTAAACCCTTCCTCTTTAATTAGAGGCTTTACATTTGAAGCTCTTACAGAACATTGCTCCAGAAAAATACTGATATCTATGGTGTACCAGTCTACTTTTCTTAATGAAAACATTTGTTTGAAATATTTAATTTTGCACTATAAAGGGTTAAGAGTGAATTGCACCAGAAATATTAAGAATACTTTTCAGGTGAGCTCCTAGATAATTTGTTTTAATGTGAGATCTCTCATCAAAATGTCCACATTCAAAATGTGGGATTGAGAGTTTAGCCAAACCTACACAGTTGTCAAGATAGTATCAAAAACCAAACATTTTGAAAAAATAAATAAATAAATAACTTTTGGCATTAATAATCATGATTTTTTTACTAAAAAGAAATACGTTTAGTCCAACACCATGAACTTATTAGGAATTACAACTTAAAGAGTTACAGCAGTTGGAACTTTTTTCTGATTGAAAAATTAAAATAATATGTAACAAAATTCTTTGTGCAAAATAAATCAAAAATTATTTTATTATTCCAGTCTTCATCCCATAATGGCAGATTTGTCTCATGCTGCTCAACGAGTTGAATTATTTCATCTTTCCCTGCATTTTGTAATTTCAACATTCTCGAGTATAGCAAATTGTAAAAAAAACTAAATAAGTTCACATTTTGTGAGCAGCTCTTGGAACAGAGAAAGGATGCATCAACTATGGATTATATCCAATCCTACAAACTCACCAACGGTGAACCATATGTTTCTGGCAAGTATCCACTACTACACAGCTGTTGAAAGTGAACAAATCTGAAGTTTACATGCAATAAAATATAATCTTAGCCCAGAAGAACATCACCACTAAATAAGTCCAGTAGATATAATTATTGATGATAAAAACGAACTTAAATAAATTAAATATAATAATATCTGAATAAAATTTTTGTTACCGATAGAAAGTACTGAATCTTATTCTTGTACATCTACAAGGAATAAATATGATCATACGTGAAACCATATTAGCTGTGCATTATTATGATTATTAAAAAAAATATATATACACATTAAGAGTAACAGACTACAGAAAAAAAATTATGAGCTCTACAAAATAATAATAAAATATAAAATAATAACATACCAGCATAAGCAGCAGCCGCAGGAGTTGCGGGGTGAGGAGGGGCTGGCACATAGCCTGCTGGAGCTTGGGGGGCACTTGGGTATCCTAAAAAATATCAAAGAATTACACACTGAAGAAAAGGAACCATCAGGACACGAAACAACCAGTTCAAAAAAAAGCACCACATGCTTCAAAAACTAGATGGGATTTTTACTATTGTTTTATGAAAAATAATATTAATGTTCAAAAAAATAATAAATAAAAACAGCTTGATTAACAATTAATACAAATGCAATAAGTGTATTTTTTTAATACAAAATGCAACATGCATTATGTTAAAAAACGTTATTTATATGCCATGATAAAATAGAGGTGTTTTAGCTTACATGTGCTGATATGATAATAAAAGTCCCATCTTTTTGATTTAAAATTACAACAAAGCAAAATGGTTATTAGATTTATTAGCAATTTACTGGATTGCATTATAATTAAATCAGCAGTATCCTGGTTGTCTCGATACGGAACGGAACAAACACCATAAATGTATACAATAAAAACTACTGCAAACCACCACCCAAAACCACAGTTAACTTTTGATGTTTTTCAAAACTTTACTGTGGTCAATAATTAAATAGTTATTATCAGCAAACAGCAATTATGTATATACACTCAGTAGAAAAACAAATGATCAAATATACATTAATACAAATTGCTATCCAAACCCATACAGTCACACTTAAATGTATAAATGATGAATAAACACGCAGTAAAAATATAAAAGTGTAACCGAGTTAGTCGTATAGAGTAGATTTTCCACCACACAATGTGTTTAAAAATTAAATAAAATAAAAGGAAAACCAATAAGCACCTAAATAGATACTAAACAAGAAATATCTTACGATCCACATCAGTGGATCGAACGAGACTCAAAGTGGTGAGATGTGATGGTAACAACAGTGTAGCCCTAGAGGCCCGAGCCACTTGTCATCATCCTTTGTGAAGCAAATTAGCACCTGTGGGGTACAAACTAAAAATATGTAACCTACGTCAATGGCTCGAAACTTCGACACAGACTTTAAAAATTATAGCAACAAATCATTTGGGAGCTGAGAAAAAATATATGTAAAATAAAAAAAATCTGAAATATTGAATGGAATTATATAATTTTTTGTTTGTTTTCATTTAAATATATCAAAAACCCTTAATTTTGAGAGAAATTTTGAAGTGTTTGAGAATATTGTCCCGCCAATTTATGTTTTAAAAGATAAAACATTTGTGTGCCTATATATGTTTCATGCCATGCAACCCCTTATATCTAAACATGCTTTTTTTTTTAATAATTCAAAAAAACATACAAACTTAACTTAAACTCATTCCACAGCATGAAGACGCATATATTTCTTAAGTTACAGTTTATTATATTATATAAATTTTTCATTTGATTTCTAAAAAAAAATATCAGTAGCAAATGGTAAAGCTACAATGATTCTCAGAAAAATCTTAAAAGCACTTCAAAATATATCATATTCCAATTTTTTTACAGTTCATGTGTGGAGTTTAGGTTTTATAAAATAAAACAAAATAAAAATCTTAATTAGTGCATCCAGAAATAAAATTCAATTTATTTAATTAAATGTTAAAATGTTAACATACCAGATGAACTGACAAACATATTACAATTTATTAGTTTTTCATTAATTAAAAATTAAAACTAAAAGTGAAAAGCCTCTAAGCTAAAATTCAATTGATTATTATATTTAAAAAATAAATTTTAAAATTCTAATAATAAACAGTAATAATTGACAGAGAATGATTTTCATTTAAAGATAAAACTAGTGAGAACATATTGATCAACTTCAAGGTCAGTTCATCTGAGCAAGGGAAAAACAAAAAGAAAAGAAAAAAGAACAAAATGAGATAAAAATAACATGCAATTTTAATAACAGGCATGCTAAATGTCTATTGCAACAAAGAAATGAAAGGAACAAATAAGTAACTGAAATTTTGAAGTATCTGTATTGATTTTACAATATAGCAGATGAACCAATGAACAGATGACTGAGTGACCTAGATTCAGTATTGATTATCCTTAAAATCTGGATTTGCTCCTTCCAAAATCCTTTGTATCTCAATTCTACATTAAACAGTGCTGTACAACAAAGAGGCATTTCATATACTAATAAGTTATAGCAATAATGAAATGCCACTAAGTTATTTGTCTTAAAAATATTTAAAATTGAGCCAAAAAATATGAAAGCAATATATAAAATAGAGGTATTTAAAGCAAAAGCCTGAAAGTCCATAAAACATATCAACAAATTTAATTCCACAATTTAACAATTATTCCCAAAATAATGATTTTTTTAAAAGATTATATAGGTCTTTCAAACTTCTGGCTCAGTAATAAAAATCAATAACCACAAATTCAACATCATGCAAAACAAGCACCTACATGCAGCAAAAGTGAAGCCTGATGTTTCATTGTTAACCCACCCATCCAGCCTCCTAATAAAAAAGAAATTTTTTTTTACCTATCAAAATATTAAGGACATGTAGAAGTTATTTTTGCAGTTCAAATTTAGTTCCTCTCTGTAAATTCAATGTACAGATTATGAAAAATTCCTCCCAATTTTTAAAAAATAAATGGCGGATAAAATATAATAAATAAAAAATTAAGTTAAATGCCTCTAGATAAGTATTAAATTGAAAAATGAAGCAATCTTTTAAAACACATGAGTGTAAAAGTTCGAACCATTTTCGCAATAAAATTAAAAACATAAAATAAAATTGTATCCCCTTGGGATCAAATAAACCTTTTACTGGAACTATGGGAATAAAGATTATGGTTAGGTGCAAACCAGAAAGGAGGTAGCTAACTAAACAAGCAGAAATTCTCTTCTATTTTTGGTATTTACAAATAATACTAAAATTACTTATTTAAAAAGGAAATTTTAGGCCATAGCTAATAGCAAATCACATTTTATAAGGAACATCTGACAAAAGAAGAGAATTACTGATGCCTAATTCATGCAAGTTTTTGCTCATGGATTTGAACTTAAAATATTGCACACAAATTTCAATTAATAACAAAAATTAAAGATTCAATAAAAAATGAAAATTGAGCGTGAAAAAATGATTACCAATTCTTGCAAAAAGAAACAAGAAAATTAATCAATACCAATAATTCTATACAACATAATTCAAGTTATGATCCATGAGCAAAAAATTGGAAACATATGCACTCTTATACTACTTCTAGTGTCCTAAACGGGGAAACAATGAAAAGAAAAACACACAAGCACAATAGAGAATTATAGCAAAAAATAAAACACACAGAGAGTAGAGATAGATAGAGAGGTGTGAAAATACGTTTATAATTAGTATATACGAGAATCAGGCCCCATTGCGACGATCCGTGGGTATCAAAAAGCTGTAACGGATATAAGGTTAGTGAGATTACCAACACTAAAACACCATAGGTTGATGCCTCTGTTAAGATCACTAGCCAATCCCGCGTCGCCATTGAATCTCTGAAAATAGAACATACACATAGCAAATGCACAACATAAAAAGATGTGCCCTTTCAACTGTTTGGTTTAACAGGGAATGTAAGGAATTAATTCATATTAATTAACTTGAATAAATTAAGGAAATAAGAGATGTATACACGTCTTTCCTGAAGAATGGATGGAATTACAGTTTATAATATAAAATTTAATCATTTAAAATAAGATAATTAAAAAAAATTGTAAAATATTTAAAATTAAATTAAACCCAAATTAATAAAACATTTTAATAAATTAAATTCAGTAATCAAGATCTAAGTGGAATCATATTTAATAAACAATAAATAAATGAATAAAGTAGGATTATCAAAAGGATGTAAAAATTCATGAATTAGGAAATGCACATCAATATTTGTGGCTTTTGTGGGTGGAAAGGATTAGGGATGTGCGAGAAATCAGAAGCAACTTAAAAAGAATTAATCATAAATTAAAATCTAGAAATAATAATTAAAAAAACAAAACAATAAGTATATCTAAAAAATAACATGTATGATGCAAGTGGCTCCATTTTGTTCACCTTCTACTAGGTATTGATTTTACTCTTCTTTGTTATTCCTCAGTTTTTTGCACAAATATAAATATATATCGTCTTAAGACATTTGTATTCATATAATTAACAATGTAATATAAATAGCATAGAATACACAGTAAAACCAAATTCAACATTAAAATACACACTGAAGGGCGTAATCCTTTGTCTCTGCTATTGAAAAACATTTGATGAAATAATAGAAATGATAAGCATACCTTTCTTTTCAGACATGTTCGAAGTCAGTTAATAACAGTTTTATTTCAGTTTATGAAAGAGACAATTGCGTCAAAAACCTTAAGTTACTATTACTAGAATTTGGCGTCAAGTAAGAACTCTGAACATTGATCAGTGTGACAAACGAATCCACTGCCTGCATAACATCCGACGAAGATTACTACATCAGAAGACGAGAGGCGCTAAATTCGAATTTGAAATTGGAAGATTCGTATAACATATTATTCGATCGCGACCAAATGCATTAGTTTTAAGTTGTAAAATGTTTTATATTTAGGTAACTTAAAATAGTAAACACTCAGTGGATCCAGTGTTGTTTCTGATGAACTATCCCTGTTGTCAAGTTATTATTGAATAATAAAATTTTAAACATAAAATCTTAATTAATTATACACATTTTTGTTTATAGTTCATTTAGAAACTCAATTATTCGCTATTTACTGTCTCTTTTTCCATTTTATAAATATATTTTTATTTAATCTTAGAAAAAGCAAATATGTTAAAATACAGATCATACAACAAAATATTTAAAAAATGAATACATCGAAAACTACAATTACAGCAGAAAGGTATACAACTTGTTTAGTTTTTTAAAAGCACTTTAAAGACTTTCTATTCTCAGTACATCTATTCTCAGTACGCAGAACAAATGCATGTTCTATTTGAAAATCAATATAAAAAATATATATATATGTCCTTTTGGTTTAAATTATACAATGCTAACATAGAGAGAGCTACCACTAATTCAAAACTCTTTCAGGAAAACTATCTTATGAAATATCATTATTTTTTTATTTTAATTTTCCGTGGTGTAATGGCCTGAATTAAGTATGTTACAAAGAAAATTTAGAAATTTATTAGATTACGTATTTTATTCAATAAGTCATTTGTGTCCGGTTCCTTTTAGGCGAAGATGTTAATATTAAATTAACATATTACTCATTTGCTATGACAAAATCAGTATAACTCAAAAGTCATCATTTTTCATTACAAAATCACCGGGATGAATGCAATGTGAACTTTTTACTAGTTTCTTTAATTTACATTCGCATTTAATTGAGTGTCATTTCTGAACTTCCAAAACCAACTTATTGACCTTATTTTTTTTCGTATTAGTTTTACAGAAATTAATTCAGTATTTAAAACTTCAAACATATCAGTTGAAAAATTGTGAATTTTGAGTTATTAAAGCAAATGGAAAGATCTGTGAAGAAAATCAAAATTCCAATAATATTGGTTGATTACAGGCTCCTAGAGGGATCAATAATTTTTCTTCTCAGTTTTATTTTGTCAACTCAATTGGTATTAAAAAGTAGTTGGGCAATTTTTAAAAAGAAGTAGTCTTGTATAATTTGTAAGTAAAAATTTATTTCCTTTAGTAAATTATTCATAATTAATTCATAAGTCATTCTGAGATGGTGCTGAAATCCATCAAATCTGGCATCTCTCCTCCCAATTATATGCCTAATAGATTCTGAAAAACTACTAATAACGATTAAATGTTAAAATGGAAGATATGAAATGTTGAAAATATAATGAAACAAATTTAATTTGGATTTATAATGGAAATGCTAATTACAATTCCAAAAGGAGTGGCCTTGAATAAATAAGAAAAAAATCGTGGGAGTAATCCATTGTAAATTTGTTTTGACCTTTCTTCAGATGATGACTAAAATAATTTTACTCTCCAAATCTAACTATCCAATTTTCATCATTGCTTTTCTCTGAAAATTCTTTTAGATATTGTTAAGAAATTCTTATATGGAATTGAGATAATGATGATAAACATTATCTAAATTGAGATAAACAAAAATTTAAAATAATGATGGCAAATTAAAAATCTTCAGATAAAATATAAGTATTTATGTTAAAGGTTTTTTTCTTCCTTGTCTTAACAGAACAATTAAGAACTGCAGCTTAAAAGTTAATGACTTTTCTGAATTAAAAAGTTTAAAATTATTAAAATTGTTTATTAATTATTATTAGGAAATTAAATATCATTGAAAGAACCTTTAGCTATTTTAAGATAATGAAGGTAACAAATTTTCAGAAAATGTAAATGATTAAAGATTAAATACATTAATCCATATTCCAAGTCAGATGAATAGGTTAGGCACTTAATAATCTAACCCTTTAGCTATTTGCAATGATTCTCCAATGTATTTCAGGGTGTTTAGTCATATCATCAATGTTCTTTTTCTAACATTTTAGGAAGCACTGAATCAGTATGATGTAATTTTCCAGAAATAAAGAATTTCAAATATCTATATTTTTTCTAACTTAGTTACAATTAGAAAGTATTTTATTTAATTAATTAAAATGAAATTCAAGTATCAATAAATTTATTACCTATGAAATGTTCTTTATCTTTATTTGAATGAAAAATTGAAACCAACTGAATTTGTACATCATGGTATGAAAAAATATTTGGTAATATCTTTCAAGAAAGAAATCAAAATAATCAAATAAAACTTCAAATTGTTTGATTATTTCAGTTGAAATTGTGAACCTATCCATCTAGTAGAAACAAATTTGGGCATTAAATAAAACACTCTCCAATAATAATTTATTAATTAATTTGATTATGCTAAATTATCATTTTTATATTTTTTTTTTCTTAAGAGTAAAAAGCCTGTTGATGTCACCATGAAAGCTTTTTATTCAACGAGAAAAAAAAAATTGTAGAATAGTCATAATATAGATCATATACCATAACACTTGCTATGGTCTGTTCCATGGTTTTCTTTTCTCTGCTGGTTTGAATTTATAACCGAAAATTTATAACCCTGTCAAAATGTTCTCCATCAAAAATTCAAAACCCTACCAAAATGTGCTCCATCACCTTTTAAAATTAGAGAATCTGTTTATTTAATCTCAGTCAATGTTTCAAACAAGGTCCTCCAGATTCCTAGATTGGGTTCCCTCCCCTGTAATTATGTATGCCTATATATTATATATTTATAATAAATGCATATGGTACATGTTTTGTATTATATACACAATATAATATTTAAATATTTTCAATGGCTATTAAGCATTATTAATTCAGTACCATCGGTATGGTGATCTTAATTCTGTTTTATACAAATTTTGATGTTATTTTTTCTTGTTCATATACAAAAAATCAAGCTTTTAGCTAAATTATTATTTGAGTATATTATCAGTCTTGCTTATGATTCATTACCAATATGCCCGAACATTTTTATTCTGTTGTTATTTGTATAAGAAAAACAATTTTTTATGCATATAAAGTTTTTTTTTCTGTTTAGTGACATTATTCCTTAATGAAGAAATGAAAACACTGTGCTCTATGGAGCAATGCTTCCAGGATAGTGACAGTATGGGTTCATAAAATAATTTTCATAGTAACCAACTTTGTGATGTTAAGTTCTGTTCTTGTTAAGTCAGTGTACTGTATTAAATCAGAAAGCAGTTTCCAAATACTTGATGTTAAAAGGGCTAATTGTATGCACCTTCATTTTTAATTAAGGAATAAAGAATAATTAATTTATTATTAACAAGATTATTGATGTTAAAATAAATAATTGTCAAAAATCTTTCCACTTCAGTAGGGAGCAGGAGCACAATTAAAATGTGCACACAAGATGGTTAAAGCATACTCTACTATACTCCCTTCACCCTTGTTTAGCACCTGATAGGAATAAACAACTTCAGCAGTGCGAGTTGGATCTGTCAGGATGAAGACGTCCTGTTTCTGTTGGTTCACTCAATCTCAAATAAATGTTTTCAATTTCTATAAACTACTATAAAATAATTGTATCTTTCATTCATAAATCTAGTGGAATTATGTGTTCATATGAACTAATACTTTTATCTTTCAGTGAAGATGAGCAGGAAGAAAGGAGCAGCCTCACGAACAAGCATTAGCTGACAGTTCTCCGTACTCTGGGGACGGAATACTTTACCTCACCTCCAATCACCACTTTAGCCTTTTTATTTAGGGCATCCTTCCAAACTTTTCATCTAACTTTTATACAATTGATAGAAAGGCCATGAGATTTTACTTGTTGGTACGACAGGTTTGCTGGGCTAAGATTCTGTTTATTCGGGAATAATAGGTTGTTTGATCCTAAGACTAATGAACTTGCCAGTCCGACAAGCCTACTTCAGTTTATAGACTGCTGGTATAATGCTCTGATTAAGAGTGACAGTAATTAGCGCATACAATGGGCCTTCTGACCACGGTGCATTTTGCCACAAAAAAGACCACAAGATAGTTTGAAAATAGAATTCATCACTGAGTACAGCATCATTTAAAGAAAAAGAGCCTGATAGGCTTTCAAATTATAGGTCTACAATAGTGGATTAGTAATTGACTGTCGTAGATATACTGAAGAGAAGTTGGTTGGGATGTTTAGTCAAACAAACATAAAAGTAAAAATAGACCTGAAACTTCGGCAAAGATAAAAAAAAAAAAATTATTTATTTATTTTTACTTATTTCATTATTTGACTAAACACTCCAACCGACTTCTCTTCAACATATATGTTTACCGTCTCCTGGGTGCGATTACGTCTCGACTCATAAATGAGTACACTGTTGTTAAAGAGTTAATTAAATTTTTACTAAGATCAAAAATAAATAATGATATTAAATGAAAAGTAATATTTTCATTACCTTTGATTTGTTTTTTAATTTTTAATTTAAAATAAAATAATAAGAAATTGTAAACCTAATCAACAATAGCAGCTAATTGCTTACATCACTAAACATCTTTTACCAATCAACGAGTGGTTATTTTATGAAGATGGAGTTCATTGTGTATTAATTAGTTCTTGGCAAAGAAGAATGGAGACATTGATTAAATTAACGGGAAACCTAAGAACATGCTTTGACTTGAAATGGTTTCCAATAAGCTTTCAGAACATAATTCAGTAATTGAAGCAATTAAGAAGCAGTAGTCTGATTTTTTAAACTGCAATAAGCATGGGCAGTAATAAATAGAGAACAATCATAAATTGAGTGATTGAAGACATACAAAGGTGTTTCGGAATTGCACAGAAAAATTAAAAAGGATTTTAATGTTAAAAAAAAAAAATCATAAAAAAGTTGTGGACAAAATTTTTTTTTTTTAATAATAATTTAGCTATAAAATGTAGGTTGAAAGAAAAAATAAAATATCAGTTCAAATGAAATATGACCAAATATTCTAAATTTTCTCCATTATCTTCAATCAATAAGATCAGATGAACAATTTGATCATAATACTTGTTTTGTATTTAAATTAGATTTTTATTTGACTATTCTTGAATTTTACTTCTTAAGGTTTGGAGATTTCATTAAATCTTTTAAAGGATATTCTTCTGCAGATTCAATAAATAAATAATTTATATATAACAAAGCACCAACACATCCTTTGCAGCTCACATTTGAATTGCAATAAATAATGCATTGTGGTTTGTCAATCATCTCTTGATTTGTTATAAAGAATCATCTTCACACATGAAAAAACAAATCAAATCATTCAAACTTGTTTATATACTTTTAAAAAGATAATTGAAAATGGATAGGGTACACTTTGTGGAAAACAGATGAGGCCATTGAGAAAGAAGCCTTGCAATGGAATCCCTAAGGAACATCAAGAAGAGAAAGACCTAGAGAGACACGACAAATCTGTTCAAAATGAACAGGGCTGGTAAGACTTGGCCAGAGTAAAAATGATTGCTGCAAAAAGAGCGGAATGGAACACAATATGCTCCACTAGGAGTCAATAATGATAGTAATAATATATACTTTTATGAAAATTCAGGATATAATGAAATACAAATCAACTTAAATCAAATAAATGTCTGACTAAACAAAATTAATTTAATATTGAAGGGTGATTTCAGGTAAAAACAGTTAACTGTAGAATTGAGAAACATATAATCAATGAGAGAATTGAAAGGGAAAATTAATAATGGTTAGAACGGTAATACAGTTTAAATATATGGCAGTGAAATCATAATAAAAAGCAAATACTAAAATGTATAAAACAGATGAACAATTCCTAAAAAGTAACATGTTTAAATAAATACAATTTTTGTATCATTAACTTAGGATGAATAAATATAAATTCTAATCAGGAGCACAAATAATCATAAACTGTAGAGTATTATAATTTATTAGTAAACATATAATATACAAAAAATAACAAAGTCTATAGAGTAAGTACAATATAAATAATATTAGATAAGCTTGTTAATTAGGACGGTGCATTTGTTAATAATTTGGCAAATGATATTCCATTTACTGATCTTTTTCTTTTAAAGTTTCTGGTTGCAGATCATACCAAGCGGTGACAGCTGTGCTTAAATCTAATTCAGCTAAGTTTATAATAACCTTTAAAAAAAAAACACAACATTATACCTCAAACAATTATAAATATATTACATTAATTAACTATGTTAAAAGTACCTGTCCCATTACAGGACTTTTCCAAGTCTTCTGTGTTAGCACTGTTACTTCCAACTGTCTTGTGCTGAGTTCTCCTTGTGACATTACATACTCAAAGGTTTCGTCATACACTGGATTGCAATTGTCTTTAACAGTCTGAAAATGATTAATAAATTTAAGAGGAAAATATTTAATTTATTGAATGAAGCAGAAATATATATGTTACGAATGCAGATATATAATCCATAGAGAAACAGTTAAATTTTCACAAATACATTTGCAATTTCTCCTTCCCCCAAAAAACACTTTACAGGTTGTCCACCAAAATTTTGGAATTTTACATCATCAAAATAGCTGTAATTGGACATGATACTATATATACTATATATCGCATATACAGTATTGGATTAGTCCAAAAACAAGTTTAGTCAATGACCAATTTTTGGTCAATGAGATAGAAAAGCCTAGAACACCAAAATACACTTCTATAACATCAGCATAATTTGAAAATAAAATTTTAGCCTAACTTTATTTTAAGGGACTGAAGAGCTGAGCAAAACTTTAAATGTTGCGAAAAACAATTTGCATACGCCATAATTTTGATGCAATGCCCACACTTTAATCATATTGTGTGTAGAAAACAAACTAAATTAGTTTTTATGTTCCAAAGGAGGAAAATGCACTCCTCCCTCCGTAAATGAACACAATAAAAAATCATTAATTTGCAAAATAGTTAGAAATTACTGATCAATAATTCAAATAGAACTTTGATATCAGGCATGGGAAATCTCCTCTTCATGATAATTAGTAATTTCAGCAGAACCTTTAGCCTTAAAATATGGCGTCTCTCATATATTATTATAATTATTAAATTAAAATTAAAGTAAAAATTAAATTTGAATGAAATTAAATAGATAATAAAAATAAAATTACCTCTGTTTTTCTTTTTGAATCTTTAGATCTTTCTGGTAATAAATATAACTTAACATAAGGATCAGGAATGTTGCTTGGATCCTTGAGTGGTAAATTTCTAAAAAAAAAGAGATATAAATGTATGAGTACATTTATATATATATCGTATAGTGCACTGTTACCAGGAATTTTGCAAGTACATTTAGAAATAATATAGTTCTTGGCATTATTAATATATCTAACAACCTTTCCTACCAAAGTTTAACTTGACTTCTACATTATAAGGTTCTTTTTTTGTTTACTTCTTCCATTTAATTATTATACAGTTTTTTAAACTGAGCAGTTGTAACACATCTTCCACTTACACGGAAAAAATTCAAATATTAGACTGATCAATAGATCAAGTTTCTAGTCATAATTTTTCTGACTTGAAATTTAAAAAATAAGCTATTGACGTTGAACCTAAGTTGACTGTGGAATGAAAAGAAGTAGTAAGAGCTTAAAAATATTCAAACTAGTACTACATTACAACTACGATTTACTAGAATTTTCAGGGTTGTCATGAAATGAGTTTAATTGTTACTAAATAAAATTGTAATTAGTTTATTCAACAAATTTTCAGAAAGCACTTAAATACAAGAAATTAGTTATTAATTTTTATTCACTTCACCCAATGTCTACTTGCATTAAGTAAAGTTTAATATATATATATATATATATATATTTACAACTTTTCCTTAATCGACCTTTGAATATTAAATTTAAACTTAACTATTTAATTTGGAATAAGGTCACTTATTAATAATTTAATAAACTATTAAATGTTCATTTCTTCTGTTTATTGACGTTTCGATCCCCATATTTTCTTTTTATTAGTCAACGATGGGATCCTCTTAAAAGCTAGAATTTTAAAAAATAGAGCTTCGATCAGGCCAGGGACACACCGACAGTCTCAGCACCGTCCACTAGCACATATATTAAGCTACTTAATGTAATATATATATATATATATATATATATATATTTATATGTCATATAAATTATGTTGATGTTTATACATCTACTTACCCTATTTTGTGCACAAGAATAATCAGTCTTTGTCTCTGTACACTATAACGAAGGGTCAACTGAATTTTTCCAAGAGAACTGTCACCAACTGACCTACAAAAAAAAAATGAATTATACTTCATAATATCTTCCTTAGGGTTCATTAATTCCTTTTATTATTATCAAATTTTATAATTATAAAAAAAAAAATGAGACTTGTATGTTTAGAGATTCTTTTCCAAAACAAGACGATTCCTGATTAAGAAACATAATGTACTGCAGGCGATAATTTCATCGCTTTATAATGTCAGTTACCTAGAGAATCCTGGGCATCGTGGCTTACCAAGGAAAAGAGTCAATGCTTTGGGGCAGTCAACCATTAACTTACCACACTCAACATTGCTTAACTTTGATTACCTGTTGCAAGTAATAGATTTTTTCTAATTGTTTAAAAAAGTGAGATATGCTGTTACATTCAGTAATAGTTGATAATTATTGATAGTGAAATTAATAATAAAAAAGGAGGTATTTTTAATTGAACAAACTAAAGTACCTAGTTCGTCATAAATATTGTTAGAAGGAAATATATATAGATTTCAACAGAAAAATTAATTTTTTCAAAAACTTTATTAGAAAATAAAATGTATATCTACAGAGAGTAAAACAAAAAGAAATTACTCAAAATGTCCCCCTTTTGCCTTGACACAGGCATTTAATCTCCGTGGCCAGACATCAATAGCAACAGGCCTTGAGGATAGTGCTCAACTGCTCGGACCAGAGATAGTTTGAGGCATTCCAAGTTAGGGTGTGCTCTGTGGCATGCCATCCTCTCCAGCTTGGACCAAAGCTGATAATCTAGGGGGTTGAGATGAGGGCTTCCTGAGGGCCAATCCGAGGCAGAGATGAACTCTGGAATGTTGCTGAGTTGACCTGGTCTTGTGAGCTGGAGCGGAATCCTGCTGGAAAACACAATGACTTCCAGCAAACAGAGAATTATTAAGAGGCTTGACAACAGGTTCCAAAATATCGTCCAGATAGTTTTTAGCGGATGTTTTAACTCCTTTTTCACAAAAATGGAGCTTTGTGGTGCCATCAAAGCAAATTCCCAAATTATTTTTAGGAAAGTGGTTCACCTTTTTCCTATCATTCTTTGAAATGCAGCCATCCTAAGGTTACTTTTTATTAAACAAGACATTGATCTGACAGAGATTCCCATTTTCCAAGACATGATTTGTTGTTTTCGAATGGGATTTCTTCTGATTCGAGCAGCCACTGCTCTCATTGCATTTGCCGTCCTCACTGTGCAGGGACGGCCGAGGTCTGTCACTTGCAAATAGGTTCTCATTATATCTATTTATAGTGCAGTACACTACATACAGCTGATACCCAAAGGTTTCTAAGTGTTGAAAATCTTTGATCTACATTTTCCAGCTTTGTGTAAGGCGATCACAGCTATTCTGTTTTCTTTGTCACCCCACTCCATGTTAAATGAGCGAAAGAAAATAACCAGATAGAGGTAAGGATTATCTAAATAATACCCAGCTGATGGAGGACAGGCGAAGGCAGATATGCACCAACCCACATAACTTGGGACCAAGCTCTTCAGAAGTCTGGAGGACCTAAGGAGGACCACTAATTTTATATTTTTAATTCCCAACATAGCCATCTAAAGGGAAGATGGAAGAACAATGAAGAATAAAAAGAAATCCAAATCAGAGTGAAGAAAGTGAATCTTGAGTGACATGTTACAATCGAGATCTCTGTACTTCTCAAGGAGGGTTCGGACTAAGACAGCATAATTGTCCTCTCTTATGTCATCTAAGAAAAAATTAACTAAAGCTGTAAATGCTTCTCACACTGCTCTTTCTTTACACTGGAGAATACTCAAAAATTGCCCTTCATTTAGAAACTCACAGATTTGCCGACTAACAAATACACCCTCTTTAACCTTAGCTTCACGTAAGCGAAGAAATTTTCCTCTCAAGTACTTGAATGCCTCTTCTGGTTGGTCCATTCGTTTGAATAAATTTTTCATGAGCTTCAACTTTATATGTAGTGGAGGCAATATGATTTTTGCAGGACCCACAAGAGGGTTGTAAAGAACATTTTTTTGTCCAGGGGTTAGGACTTCTCTTAGAGACCATTCTTTCCTGATGGAATGAGATGCTCTGCCCCAACTGTCTGTCCCACTCACATAAGAAACAAAAGTACTTAGTATACCTTTGCTGCATGCCTAAAAGAATTGCCACCACTTTCAGGTTCCCACAGATTGCCACTGGTATTTAATGGATTTTAGAAGGGTTTCCATGTTTTGGTAAATTTCCTTCATGCGGACAGCATGGCCAATAGTGGTAGAGGGAAGTAAATTGTTATTGTGCAACAGAAGTGCCTTGAGGGATAGCTTTGACGAATCTATGAACAGCCTCCATGCAGAAGAGTTGTGATTGATATTCAATGCTGTCATCAGACCTGGGACATCACAACAGGCAACAAGGTTCTGATTCTTTTTGAAAAAGGGAATCAAGTCTTTTTGATGATTTCTGTACATTGTAATCTTTACACCAGGTTGTAAGAAGTTCCATTGCTTTAATCTTGAACCCAAAAGTTCTGCTTTCTCTTTGGCCAGATCCAGGTCCCAAATCAAGCCACTGAGTTCAGCTTGAGTAAGCAAGTGGGATTTTCGTTATTGTTCGAAAGAAAAATCAGAATCATCTGACAGGGTTCCTCCTAGGGAATTTTCCTCTTCATTATACTCATCCTCATTCAAATCATAGTGTTCAGGGGGCCTCGGAACACGCAATTCATCCCCATGTGATATTGGCCGTATAGAAGGAATGTCAGGGTACTTCACTTCAGATTTCTTTTTTTAAGAAATTCAATGATGAAGAGGAAGGTCATGCAAAAGTAGCAGTTTTCAGTGTGATTAGTAGGCTCCCTCCCAACCATGGGAACAGCAAAACCAATTGAACTACCTTTCTTGTTCAACCATTCTCTTAAGGTTACGCTACATGTGATGTAGAAGATGTGCAGGACCCACGGTTTATCTTGGTCACCAACCTTCACCCCAAAACACTTGTGGTATGCTGTTTTGATCATCTGGATGATAGGACGTTTTTGACTTCCAAAGGTTACTTTCCCACAAATGTAACAAAAGTTCTCAGGAGCATTCATACACACTTCCTGGGCCTTGTAACTTCACCAAAACTACTTGGTTATCACGACAATATCATTGAAAGAAATCCTGAAGCAAGAAAAATTACGTTAAGAATAACTTGAAATGTAAACACTGCATACAGCTGTCGGAAAAATGGTTCTGTGACACAGCTAGTCGTTTCCCATGATTCACAAACAGAAAGAAATCAATCCAACCAATCCAGAAGCAGGAAATTTCCCCATATTACGCAAAAAGTAACTATATCTCTGAAACTAGAGCTAACTGATAATTCTTATGTGGAAATTCAAATTTATCAAATTTACCAAAAAACATAGAGAGAGGCTCTTTTCAAGTGAGATACAATATCAATGTAGAGCATTGTTATTTATAAATTTTCATCTCTCTCCATTACCTTCTACGATTTTCTATATTAGATATTGTTTTTTCTGAAATTCTCCACTTCCTGATGTATTATACTTCTGACTAGTATTTCTGGAGATTCCTTTTTCAACTTAAATAAACATTTTCCCCTTTTTCTCTATTTTTCAATTATCAAATTCTTTCAAAAGTAATATTTAGCCTTTTTTCATAACTCCTAACAATGAGAGATCGTTAATTATTTAAAATAAACCAACTTAAATGTACTTTAGAGGAAGAAATGTTGAAGATTGGGCATTTGAGCCCTGTAAAGTGACATCAATGGGGATAAGCCTAAATTATATTTAAGATCCCTTAATTATACAATGATACACCGAGTTTGATCAAAATCGTTAGCCATTTTTGAGAAAATTGTAAAAATGTGTATAACCCTCGGTATAAAGTGGCACTTCCGGTCAGCTGATTTTAAGGAAAAATTTGCTGTGACATCCCAGCTATACAGAGTGAAACTATTCACATATACACCAACAGACCATTTTGCAGGACTTGGTTATTTGAATTAAGGGGACCTCAAAATGTGTATTTCTGTTGAAAACTCAGATTTGAAAATTTTCACGATCGCAATATTTTTCCTTACTATATATTATATATAGAGGTAAGAGAAAGATTTTTATTTTTATTAAACGCCTCTGCCGTTGACTATTAGCCCATTAGGCTCGGTAAGAGAAAGTAAAAACATGGATCCGTATTCAAAGTTAAGTTTTTAATAGAGATCATTACTCTTCAAAACAGTCTCTTATTTAGTTTATAGCTCTGGAAGCTTGTGGTGCTTTTTATTTTGTATTTTATTTTTCTACCCATTCACTTAGATGTAATCCCTACTGTCTATTAAAATTTTATCAATCATAGATTGTTGTTATTTTTTTAAACTATTAAAGGGGAGAGAGAGGACATTTGTCATTCATTCCACGTTGAGCTCTTAAATGTTCTCTCCCCTTTAACTGTTTAAAAAAATAACAATAATCTACGATTGATATAATTTTGATTGATTATATGAAGAAGACATCCAAGTGAATGGGTAGAAAAAACAAGATGATTATAGTACAAATCAGCAAAAGCATTTAGAACTACAAAATAAATAAAATAGACAGGCTACTTATACAGTAAATTTTCTCTGTGTGACAATGATTCCACACAAATAATCTAATATAATGAAATAGTATAAGATTAATAAATTATGTTAATTTTCACTCACGAAGTTGTGCTGGGCTGTCGGCGATGAACAGTTTCCATCGCAGGAGATGGACTTGTCATAATTTGAGATTCTTCAGAGGATTTGAAAGTGTCAGGTAAATTATCTTCTGAAAAAAATAAAAATCAACAGAATTTTTAGAATATAGAATTAAACAATTACTTCAAAAATAACTCATTCAACAATACTTATACATGCCATTTAAGAATTTATTTTTACTAACCATACAAAATAGGATAATGGGGTCTATTTTTTTTTTCTCTTAGTAAAGCAATAATTTAAAAGATTCTTAAAAAAAATCCCCACCATTAAATATATTTTCCATTTTAATTACTGTTTTTTATCAAATTGATAATCAATAAAAATTAATTCAAAATAATACATTGAATTTGAATGTTATAAATGGAGTTATAATATTTGAATTGAGCAGATAAAAAAATCAATAAAATTACCTGATTTTGTGGAGATTGTGGATACAGAGTCTTGTTTCTTGAGTGCAGAAATAGAATCTTGTTTCTTGATACTTGCACCTCTGGACAGCTGTGGAGACGGGTTGATTTCCCCTTTATATAAAGAAATTTCATCTTCATCTTTTATCGTGCCTCCAGGATGTCTTAAGACCTTAACAATTATATAATGATAAAGATTTTAAATCAATAGCAAGACATTTAAAAGGAAAACTATAATATTGATTTCTCAAAACTGTAAAACAGAAACAACAAAAAAATTAAAAAAAAAAATTATATTATATTTATATATTTATAGAGCAATTGAAGTAATGACTATAATGAAATTTATTACTTGAATAGCAATGGCTGTTATTAGTATGACCGTTTCTGAAATAAATATTATATAATTTTCTAGTCATATCTTTTAGGTTTGGTGACATTTTTTAAAAGTTTTTTTTTATAAAATATTAGGCCCAAGGTCACCAAATGTACAGTTTTTACATCATGTATGATTTATTCGACGTTTTGGCTTCAGAAGCCATTTTCAACATCTTGCAAACTAAATTTAATTCAATTGTTATTCTTAACACTCTATCCTTGTAAAACATTTTAATCATTGATTAATCATTGTTATTAATTAACAATAACAATAACAATCAGTTATATAAATAGTCCAAATTCTATTTTATAATTTATCTTTTTTAAAATGACTCCTGAAGCCGAAATTTCGAATAAATAATACATGATGTAAAAACTGTGTACATTTGGTGACCTTTGGCATAATATTTTATAAAAAACTTTTAATTATATATTTGTAATCAAATCATGAAAGAGAATGTTTTATTACATAATTAGTAGAATAAATCAGTACATTAATTTAAAGATGTTTTGAATTTTCATCTGAATAGCTTTACGCATTGGCTACCATAGTATTTTCCCACAATTTTGGTCTAAACTGCCAATTTAATTTTAACATGTTACGTTATTTAAACTATAATTTTAATACACACATTTTGACATATTTTCAGCAACAATGAAATTATAGTGCTTTTTGATATTTACTATAATTGTTAACTTTCAGAAATCATTTCCAACTGCCACTATCAGCAGTAGCAATCAAAGTTAATTCTCTTATTAACTCTTAAATCTAGCTCTTCCAACTTAAACATAATCCACTCTATTCTAATTGCAACAATTGATTGACATTTCTAAAAATATTTAACTCCATTCACCGTTTCAGAGTTTTAAGACATCGAGAAGTTTTTGGAAATACAGTGATTCTTTAACCTTGGGGGTTTGATATCCACAAATTTTGTTCATTAGCGAATACTAAAATGTGGAAGTGTTCCACATTTGCAAATCATGTATTTGATGAATCGTCATTAAAAAAAAAATCCCAGTACTTACCAAAGATGTATAGAAATAGAAAAATAACTTTATTCTGGGACACAGTCTCTTGAGAATAACAAAATAGAACAAAATTAATATATTACATCTGGCCAAAATAAAATCAATCGAAAAAAAGAAATAATGTAAAAAAAAATATAAGGTAAAAATTCTATATACAAAACAAACTAAACTATACACAAAACCATTAATAATATGACAAGATACTTAAAGCTGTTTGCTCTTATAGACCAGTATACACTTTTACGAAAAAAATAAAGAATTAAAAAATAAAAATGTATCAAATTCTCTATTAAAATCAGCTCGAATGGTGAGCAACTATCTGACTGTTTTTGGGATAGGAATTGGAATAGGAGGGTTTTGAATGTGGATATGGATGGGGAATGTCGAATTTTGATAGGGAGGGAATTCCAGAAATTGACAGAGCGAACAATAAAGGAATTTTGGAATGAGGCAGATCTGTGAGAAGGCATGTAAAGGTTAGAAGGTCGAGATCTTGTGGACAGGGAATGGACTGAGGATTTGAACTGGAGAAGGTTGTAGGCGTAAGAAGGACGATGGTTGTTGATGATTTGATAGAGGAACGTACCTAGGAAATATTGTCTTCGGAAGGAGGGGAAAAGCCACTTTAACTCAGCGTAGTGGTGAGAAACATCATACACCACACAGCTATAGTCAAAGTGGGGAAAAATGAGAGAGGAAACTAGGAGTCTACGCGTATGTTGAGGTAGGAGATGGCGGAAGCGATGGAATAGTTTGAGGGTGGAAATTGTCCGTTGAGTGATATGAGAAATATGGTGATTCCAAAAGAGGTTTTGATCAATGAAAAATCCTAAATTTTTAACAGAGGAGTAGAAGGAGATTGGCTGATCATTAAGGTGAAGGATGGGAAAGTCTGTATAGGATCTAAGGAGGGGCTTGGAACCAATGACAATGGCCTGAGTTTTGGCAGCATTTAACCTTAATCCATTTACATTTGCCCAGGCACTGATTCGATCTAGGTCTTCTTGGATCTTGGCAAATGCCCCCAGTAACTCAGGAGGGAAAAATGATAGGTACATCTGTGAATCGTCTGCATAAAGGTGATGGAAACAATGGAGAATTGATTTAGGTAGGTCGTTAATGTAGGAGCTGAAAAGGAAAGGAGATATGCTTGAACCCTGGGCAACTCCAGAGGATAAAGAAAGGAAAGCAGAAAATAGCTACTGTTACTACTAAAGGTTGTATGTAAAAATTTAGTATTTAACAGAAGAGTGACAATTAATTATTTCTTAATGATTTCTAAGTGTAATTTCATATTTTATTTTCTATAGTACCAGGCTACCTATATCAGTTCCCTACAACAAAATGTCATCTTCAGCACCGATAGAATAAAAATTAAAAATTTTTATATATGAATTTTGCACTAACATTAGTGATATATGTACTTAACAGGTATGTTTTCACTAGTAAAATGGATAGAACAAAATGAAAAATTAAACTTTTGTTTGTTCGGAGTAAATGAGACCAATATTTTCCCCTCAGTAAGAAAAGAAACTAATTTAAGCTCAATTATAAAAATATGACTGAAGTTCACACAATTTTGGTGATTAAGGAGGAAATAGCAACCATGACAAGCTGGTTGAAATTCTATAGAAACAAACAAAATCACAAACAAGACTTTTTCTTATAAACTCAGAGTCAAAATTAATTTAAATTTACTGAAAATTACATGAAATCTAAGTGAAGGCAGTAAGTGTCATGTGGCGGTAACATTTGGAGTGGATCGAACAATACAGTATAAATTAACTTTTTGAATAGAACCTAAAATTTTATAACCTCATAAAAATAATGTCTTAACCTAACTCCCACTGACTTTCACATTTCACAGCCACTATGTTGCTAACAGTTATTTATATTAATTTTAATTATTAAATGAAATTGGTACTAAACAATTTCTGAACTATTCTCCAAATTTCCTTGAAGTTAGGGTAAAATCGAACGAGCCATTTTCAAACTATAGGGATGTGTCAAATAATACATTTATGGATCCACAAGCAGAAGTATTTTATTTATAGTAGTGGATAGAATTTGATAAAATTAATACTAAATAAATTACCAATCCCTAACTTTCCTCCAATTTTGAACCAAATTGAATAAGTGGTTTTAGAAATACAGAGGTATCAAGGAAAAAACGTTTGCGAATATATGTGAGAAAGTATAGGACGGAATTCAATAAAATTGATACTACATTATTTTTTTAGAGCCAAATTGAAGGAACCGTTTCAGAAATATTTGCATATCTAAAAAATACGTGTGCACAAGCGTAAGCGAAATTGCTTGATGGAATTGGATAACATTGATGTGGGACCATCTAGACACTTTCCCACACAATCCCTGAAAATTTCAGGTGATATGTCCGTCACATCGATTTGACTACAGACAGACACTGAACCATATTTGATCCTTTATGTTTGAAACGTAAAACGGGAGTGAAAATTTTCGATTCTGAGCACACAATTATTTTTAACCTCTCGCATGAATAGAATACTTCCCTACCTTTGGTAGTGAGGAAGCAAAATCATTAAAATTTAAAATGTAGTAAAAATAACATTACCCTCAATCTCAAAGAAAGTTGAACTTTTGAATCAGGAACAGAGGTTTTCAGCTGAAGAGGCTGGTGTTGAAGTTCGAGACCAGGTTTATCAAGGAGGTTACTCAAGTTATATGAAAGTTTACCAATTTCAGTTTGAGTTTTAGTGTCTGTAAACTAAAAAAAAAAAAAAGGAAAAATAAATAAAATATAAATCATAATGATGATAGTAATATTAAAATATAGCAATAAATTTACTTTGATGTGCATTGTATCAGTTTCAGGATTATTAACGAGAAAGGTAAATTCTTTTTCAAAAACTGGATGTTCTGTTCTGTAAATGATCGGAGACTGTTTTGTAACTTTTCCAACACTGATGTGAAACACAGGATCAGGGGGAGCGTTTCCACTTTTTCCACCAGACCTCTGAAAATGGAAATAATGTTATTTCAAAATAGCTTGAAATATACAATAATATAAAGATAAAATGATTATAATACCTAATATTCTAATTTCATTTTTTTTTTTAAATTCTGTTTATTGGTAATTATTTTTAATAAAGTGTAATCAACTCTTCTTTTAATTTTTAATGATAAAAATTTTGTTGTTTAGCATAATGATCTATACTATGTTCCTTTAAACGTCCATCTCTCTTCATTTAAATATTTTTAACAATATTAGAAAATAAATATTTAAACACTTTAGATTCAAAAAGTCAAATATTTTTTTTTAAATACACAACATAACATTTTTTATTCTTCAAGTAAAAATTATTAAGTTATTTATTAAAATTTGATAATTTCGACTATTTCCCATCCTCAAATATTTTCTTTAGTAAATCCTTTATTTATTTTAAATAGTAAAATTTGTTTTGTTTCACTAGACATAAACATGTTTAATTAACAAGTAAAAAATTATAGTTTAAAATTGTGTTTCATTATTTATTTATCAAATGAAAATTTAATACTTCAAAACCTATAGGTCTACGATCAAACCTACCTACTTATTACCTGTAAAATAAAGTTGCCAATTGGAAATATATCAATAACTTGGATATGAACTATGACCTAAGAGATTTGACAATTACATTTTGTAATTTTCCAAAAACAACATATTTACTAATAATTATTTTTATCTTCACCAAAATCATGAAAAACTATATTCTTATCAGTTACAACAACATAGTAACTAGTGAATAAATACCCCACCAAACATACATATACTGATGATGAATGATTGACATATTTATTAGAAATAAAAATAATTTTTTATAATACCTTTTATATAATATGTTATAATATAATACCTTGAGGAACTACTTTCCTACGGTCTATTCAACGTTGGAAGCAAAATGAATCCTCCCTGATAACTGGGTGTCACAATTCCTGGCAGGGCATGCAGATTTTCGCGCCAAGCTTCATGGCTTTGGAAAAGAAATTAACCTCCTATGTCCCTGTTGTGGTGTTCCGGAAACTGCTGAGCATATAGTCATGATTTGCACCGCTTTTGAAGCAATAAGGGCCAAACTACTGAGAAAAACCGGACTCTACATCATCACTGAGGACGATTTCCCTCAGCTAATAAGTAAGCATAACTACCCGAACTACAAAGCATTTGTGTACGGGTGAAAGAAATTAGTGGGGGATGATCACTTCAACCTCCCCTAATAAAGACTGAAGAACCAGAAGATAAGTGGTAAAAGTATTACTAATGCTACCAAAAATCTATATTGCCAAGAGGCAAGGGAAGAAGAAAATAAAATAAAGTTAAACTAATTAAGCATTGTTCTGATTTCTTCCAAGTTCTGCAGGAAAATTCTTCCAATTATATATTGATTTAATTTTCTTATATGTTACTTAATGACAATGCAATAAACTGACTAGCATTTTGAACTAAAATTTCTAATTTTTTTAATTTTATGTTTCCAAAATACTAACAGGTAAATGTGATGCTGAATCAACATAAACCATTAAAACAGCAGTGCTCATGGTTGTCACCCGAAGCATTTGAGTCTCAGCAATGGCCTGTTAACAGAATTAAGATCATAATAAAAGGTTTCTAAATAATTCATGGCAAAATAAACAATAAACAAAAAAATAACTTACAGTTTTCAAATCTTCAATATTATCAGACAATTCCAGCCAAGACATTCGTACATGGACCATTCCAGTTTTGGCTTCTTCTAATGTTACCCACTAAAACACAATATACATAAAAAGTAGAACCAGTCAAAAAAAAAAAAAAATGTAGTGTTCATAAACAAAAACTGCACAGAAACAAATCAATTCTTAACTATGACCACTAGCGGATCTATGATTTTTTTTTTTTGTGGGGGAGGGCTTCAGCATGAAAGATTTTTTTAAAAACTATATAACCATAATTACTTAGGAAGAAAAAGAAAGAAAGTAACTACCTATATGAAATAGAGTTTAAGTGATTCTTTAAGTACTATAAAATGAAATCAAACGAACAATAATACTTTTAGAAGTAATTTTTAAATATTTTTTTCATAAGATATGGTTATATTTTAACATTTTGGAGAGAGGAGAGGGTGCTTCAGCCCGAAAGTCTCCCCTATAGATCCACCTGAGTCTATGACTAGATATAATTTATTAGAATTTTAGAAAAAATATATTTGTACTGCTTTAATACAATTATTACCTAAAAATCATGATACCATTTTTTGTTTTTATTAAACCAAATAAAATAAATTGAAAACAAGAACATTCACAATGCTTACTGTGTACTGCATGTATCAGTCCATCAAAGTGGATTATTTATTTTTTTCAAATTTAAATCAATCACTCATTTTTTTTTATGGAAATATATATATATCATATATTAAATAAAGATGGGATGCAAAATGGTACTTTATGAACAGTTAATTAACAAAGTTTTTATTCCCAAGATATGTAAAAAAATATTTTTTCTTTTATATTAATAATAAAAACCTTGTATTTAATTAAATCACATTTATTTGTAAAATTTCGGCCCCTGGCTATTTCCTATAATTTTTTTGTATATATTATTACCACTAGTCTAAATTTGTGTAAAACTATTTGCCAATATCTTCTCTTTTAGACAAATATTTTTCTTTTTTGCCAGTCAAAATTTTTATTGGATTTTATTTTTCATTCTTTTTTTACATACATACGTAGACCATTTAATAACTTGGATCTGCACTATTTTCAACATTTGTATTATACTCCACATTTCTTATGCAAATCTTAACACCAATTGTATCGAAAATGAAATTTCAAAACATATATCCACTATGTCTATAGAATAACAAAGTAAGACTGCTAGTGAAGAAATCTCATGACGTACTAAACTTATAACACCCGATCAAAACTACAAACTTCAGACTCCAAATATATATATATATATATATATATATATATATATATATATATATATATATATATATATATATATATATATATTAATGTAAAAATAAATAACAGTAAGATCAAAATACTACAAAAATACTGAAAAATACTTACAGCATCAGTTTGGCCTTTTTCACTGACTCCAAATACTTCAACAGATGCCCTATTTAAAAAAATAGATAAAAATAACAATTAAAAGTTTTTATAAAAAAATAAAGCTATTTCAAGGATTTACTTTTAATAATTATTTTTTAAATTACATTTTATTATAAATAATAAAATTGTCATTGTAGAAGCAGCATCAGATATATCAATTTTTAATGAAATAAGCACACCATTTTATTCAAAATTTCTGGCTGAATCCAAAGAGAATACTATTTGAATTAATTTAATGAATAAAAAAACTATAAACATTACATAAAGAGTTATATGCAAATTTACTCACTTTTTTTTTATTCTCCTGAAAAAATGACAAATCGAGAAACGTGATTTACTTCTACAATAGCGATATGTTACTTTGAAATAATTTTAAAATGTTAAAATTATTTAACAGCAAAGAAAAGTAGTAAAACTTTGCAAATAAATAAATTAAAGGCCCAAAAGCAATCAACATGCAAATTAATTTTAAGTTAGAAGAAACCTTCAAAACCAAAAGAAAACTTAATAATAATTTCATTTAAAATAATATCATCATTTTCATTGAAACAAAAGATGAGCCCAATATTTAACTTAAATTTACTGTAACAAGTCATCAAAATACCTTCCAAGAGGTTCATCTTTTCCAGTTTTATCTTTGTCAAAAATGAGAGTTCTCACTAGTTCACCTTTGGTAGATTCCAACAAAAACTATAATCAAATTTTTTTTTAGGTGAAGAAATAACAAGTAAAAAATAAAATGGCGAGGCAAAAAATAAATAAAATATAAGACAAGAGACATAAGACGTAAAACAAGAAAACATTTGCAAACAATTATTAAAAAACATGCAGTGTGAAAATTCATATGTTCCACATTACTTCAAGGCATAGATTTGTTAGTAATCCTTTTATCGGAACAATTAAAGTTCTAAGATCCTAACATGGGATTAAAAAAAAAAAAAAAAAAAATATCATCTGGTATTTCAAATAAGCATTTTATATAAATTCTCACACAGTTTGAGTAACAAAAAAAAAAAAATAAATAAAATAACTCTTCACTGAATTCTCAAATCTACCTTCCTAAAAAATCATGACTTTGAAAACCTGGATCCCAGTCCCAAACAGTCATTGATACTTCCTCAACTCGCCTTGAAGTTATTATAGCCTAAAATGGTTTTAACTATTGGTTAAATGAAAAACAGAAGATATAAATTAAAAAACAAAAAAGAAAGAAAGAAACTTGATTATATTTTAATTATACTTATTTCATGCAAAATTTAATTAGAATTCAGAATAGATTGGAAATACGAAATTAAATGAAACATATGAAATTCAGTTGTATGCACACTAAATCTCAAAACAACAATTCATATCAGAAAAAAATGTATTCATTCATAAACAATAAATTTATTGAAAATATATGAGCTAATTCCTTCAACAAACTCGGTGATTTCAAACGATGTACTGGTATTTCAAGACAATAATGTATGTGTCAATTTAAATCTAGTTAAATGAACAAAAAACAAACAACATGCAGAACATAAAAGTTATAACATTTAAATAGAAGACAATTTAGTAAAAAAGAATGATAAGAAAAAGAAGTGTGAACATGCAAAGCTTTGAAAAAGTGTCATGCTTAAAGCATTAATAAATATTGTTACATAGAGAGCATATACAGTAATATCTAATAAATAATTTAACTAAAGAAACTTTACTATTCAGTTATTTTAACAAATATTTAAATTTAGAAAACACTTTTATCTTTTAAATGAATGTTTATTTTAGTAACTTTTGGAGAAATGGTTTCTAGAAACAGTAACGAATTAGTCACTTACTTCCCTAAGTTAGAGTCCTTTTTCGAAAGATCATCTTCATCCATTAGTCTGAGGTTCAAAATTTGGCCAGAGATAGCATCAATCGGGAACTAAATAAAATTCCGCGAATAAAAAAAAAAATAAAAAAAATAGATCACTAAAATAAATAAAGGATTTTTTTTTAAAACAGTATTCCTATCATATTTGAAATAATTATTAGAGCTTGAAAAAAATGTTAATTAAAAATGAATTTAAATGTAGGAACCAGAAAATCATTAACAGAATCAAGAAGTAATAATTTTTGTTTTAAATATAATACCTAACACACTTTTTAAGACACGAATTCTTTTTTCTAAAGAGTAAAACTTTAAATTATTCATTTAAAAGAAAAACAATTTCAGACTAAAGCTTCTCATATTCTTTAAAACAAATACCTAAATAATAAGAAACAGTCCAATTTTTATACTTTTAATTTTTTTTTCATAATTTAATTTTAAATAATATCTGTAAACCAACGGGCTTTAAAATTATAGCCAAGAAATTCAATGAGCTATTTCTTAATTATATTTAGCTGATATAACTTCATTTTTTTTTCATTTTAATATTTTTAAAACCTCAAAATTAAAAACTTGCAGACATGCTTATTGCTCTCAAGCTTTAGAAAAAAAAAAAAGTTTCAAGACTTTTTCATACTACAAACATTTATTTCACTAAGTATCCCAAAAGAAAAAATTAGTTGACCACAAATATTTTTTATTTAAAAATTTTTAGTAACTACTGCTTTTTTACTAAATCATATTGCATCATTCAGAAATTACTAAATCATGCCAATTTTATTTCTAAAAATCACGTTAAAAATGTAATATTGTAATATTTTTCCAAGCTCTCAAATTTGTTATATTCATTGTGTTGCATAGGTTTCGCTCAATGGTGCAATATTTGAACATTTCATTTAAAACAGCCCCAAAACATAAAATGCATTTGAAATACATATACTAGGCATCAATTATCCAGATATATAAAATATTAATAAAAACATACAGTTAAGGAAAAAAAAAACAAGTTAGCACCACTGACAAATTTATATTAATAAATTATAGTATGTGTTTTTATGAGAAAAGGACATTGAATACATTTTAAAATGCACAGTCTTTGAAATGTTTCTGAGTCGACTAGACAATTAGGATAGAAATTAAGTCAACTTTAATTACCACAATGAAATACTACATAAATTACAATACTTCAATAATTATAGAAACACAAACATTTTAATGAAAATAAATAGAAATATACAGGTCATGTAAACTGTAATAAAATAAATTTTAATTAAAACAAAAAAAAAACATTAAATAAAATATGAAACAACTAACAAAACATAAAATAAATTATAATAATTAAATAAATATAAATTAAGTATATTAAATATGTTTAATCCTTTTATCCTTATCAATCATCATTAATATAAACTACCCCCACCCCCCCAAAAAAGGAATTGAAAGACCTCCAAAGTATACAATCGCAGTATAGTCTTGGGCCGACGAGAGAAAAAAAAAAACTTATACAATCAAAAAAGTTTTTATTTTTACTTTCACTTACCTATATATGAAATATATAGTAAGGGAAAATATTGTTTTACTTCAGTTTAAGTAAGAGAGCTATAAATTTCACTAAGGAATGATTAAAATTTTTTGATAATTTTTTTCATACTAATCTTTGCCCTCTGGTATTTAATAATAAATTTACATATTAAAAATTATTTAAAACAAAATATTATAGTTAGTTTATTGTAGAGAGATTTGAAAGTAAGCAAGTAAAGTAACTAGCCTAACTCTTGATATTCACCACTTTGGGAAACGATGTTCTAATAAAAAATAAAACAAACCTATAAAATGAAAAGCCATGTGAATAGAGAAGATAAGATGTTTTTATTTGTTCAATTATGAGAAAACTGAATTCACATCACTTTTATGCACCACTATAAAGCATATGTTTATCGTCAATGGGTACTCCTATCATTACAAACCAAATACTGAATTTATGCGAATGAAAGTAATGATGAAATAACTAACTTCACTCCTTTATCCTTGTAACAATTCAGTGTTTCCTAAAATGTCATTATCACTTTTATCCATTATCCATAATTAAATATAAAAAAATTAATGTTAATGACAAGATTATCAAAGGAAAGCTGACTAAATTGGAAAACAGCAATTACGAGACTTCACCACACCATTTCCCAAATATCATGGAATATATAAATTAAAATACTGCTTTAAAATGAATTACCTACTAGTTATACATGGATAGTCAGTATATTTTCTTTAAGTTCCAATGAAAAATAAATAAAAATCAATAAAACCTGTAAAATATATTAATATGAATGTAATAATATTATGAGATAAGCCAATGTCTAAACAAAGATTTAACAAGTAAAAATGTGAATAATTATAGAATATACCAACAGAATATTAATGCTATCAAATTAAGAATGTTCTAGATGGCATAAATGTACATATGGAAGAGTATGTATATACCAAAACATGTTTTGTGTGCAGTGGATAGGAAATCATAATACAAATTCAAAAGAAATAAATAGCAATCACATTTATGATGACCGGCAGAGTATAAACATACGAAATGAATTAATATGTGCAAAATAGAAAATAATTATATCATAACATGGAAGCAAACCACATTTCCAAAATATCAAAGCTTCTAATATAATTATAACATTTTATGTTGTTTTTTTTGGATCCTCTTTTGGAAGTCATGGATATACGTTAACAGAATGTCTCCTTTTTTGTTTTTGTTTTTAAAACCGGTGCATTTGTTACACAAAACAAATATTGCTAATTTATAAAGTCGCTAATACAAGAAAAATATAAATATAAAAACTCTAATTTCAAGTAACAATTTGATATTATTTTTCATAAAATACTGCAAAAAAGAAAAAAAAAAGGTAGAGCATATGTGTAAACATTTTTTTTATTAAAAAGTGGTTGATAATTATAAAATATAATTATTATGTAAAACTAATTATTTTTATCAAGATTTTTTTTCTCTTTTGAAGCTGAATAATTGATGCCTGTTAGTAAAATAACAAATATATAAATACCCAATCTAGCAAGACAAACACAATATGTTAAAAGCAAATGTTTCCAACAAATTTAAATGATAAATAATGTAATAAAATTAATGCAAACACCATTGAAATACAATTACGTTAAGTGATACAAGCGGGACACTTACAAATAAGGACTATCTTTTTGTATGGGTAGAGGTACTCTACTATTTTAGCTTTCATTCTATACGTGGAATACTATAATATTTTGATTAATAAAATAAAAAACTACTATATTTAAGAAAATAATAGCATGAAATATTTGTGATGAAAAGTAATGTAGGAAACAGTGAATGAAATGGGCAAAAATAACCAATTAAAGTCTATAAAACATACATATCATTATGTAATACAAGTGTACCAACATTAGTAATATTGAAATAATGGCAGAATGTGTTTAGCGAATCCAAAGAATGTTATTTGGGGATTGATTCACATAGATGTTAACAACATGTAAAAAGTTTTATTTTTTTTTACCAATTTAGCCAATAACCTAGTCTACTGATGATTCAACAAGGTTAGCAGAAATATACAAAGAAAACTAAAGATTATTATAGACAGATGTAAATAATAATGAATGTGGTATCAACTACTGAGATTGAATGAATAGAAGCTGTATGTAGTATGAATACTCAACTCCCTATTATCTATACTTGTCTTATGTTTTCTCACTTTTACATTGTATACAGAATATCAGAAAAATAAGTAAAGTAATATTATTATGACTTGTGTTTCATAAACACATCGATTAATACTTAAATAACATTCTGTGGATTAACAAAATATTAGTAGACACCATTCAATGATTTTTCAAACATTCACAAACATTGCAGCATAATGTCAATATAAGTGCCAATATGAATAAAAGTGATAGTTTATTTCTAATTTTATAGATGAAAAACATCATTAACTACATAGTTTAAACAAGTTACTACGTTGAGAGTAGATTACACTTCTACTGGTCTATGCAGCATCAATTAAATAAATAATTACTTTGCCAAAAATGGGTGTTGGCTAAATATCTCCATTCAGGTAATGTTAATAAATACATTTATCAGACATATAATAAAAATATGTAATTAGGTATTCTTGATATTTTGCTAATAGGAAAAAAAAAAAAAATGAAAGTGTTAATTTTGTAGATCTCTCTAGCAAATAATATACTGAATGGACTATAAACTGAAATTACATCATGGGATGGGAAAAATACTCCCAAATTTTTTTTTAGATGTATTTCTTTATTTGGGATGGAGCATAATAAATCATGCAAGATAAAAATATAAATGCATAAATTTTAACTAATATTTCTAATATTATATGATATAACATGATAAACTAATGCAAGACAATAATAATAATTTAAAAATAATTATTAGTAATTAACCATTAATAAACATTAGGACATGCCAAAACTAAAAAAAAATACAATAAAGTAAAGACAATTTATTAAGAAATTTATAGTTCCCAACAAAATTCTTAAAAAGGATTAAAGAGAATTTAAAAAGAAAAATCTTTATTCAATCATACAAAAATATATTACAAAACTGTAATTGTAAATTTTTTTAAAAATGTCATAAGCATCAATTATGAAGTAAAATTCATCATTTGTAAAGAATATTCAGAAAATTATTTGATTTGTATAAAAAAATTTAAAGTAGTTTTTCTAGAGATGATGCTTTGAAAAAACTATTTTTCTTCTTTGAACTGTTTAAGACAAGAACTGAAGAATCAATAAGGTGAAAAAAGAAAAATGGAAATTGAAAACATTATTTTATCATTCAATAGAGTTATTTGTTTAATTGTTTATACTGAAGTGTCATAAAACTCTTAAGAAAGTTATGTTTTTCTGTCCATTGCCATCCTATAGTAGTGTTTATTAGAAAGTGTACTGTAGTTCGTCATAAATAATTTATCACAATCTTAATTAATGATATTATAACAAACTTTTGTAGTAAATAACTATTATTTTATTTATACGTGGCAACTCATTTACCCTCATAGAACGAAATTCTGTTCCAGGCCTTATCCATGGCTCGAATTTAAAGACACTAATCACTAAGTTGCTGACTCTACTTAGTGCTAAAGTTAGAGGAATAAATCTTAATTTAATAACTTTTACTCATGATTCATCTTTAAGACTCTTCTTAATTCAGATCAGTTGCAGTACCAGCGTCTACAAGTATGAGTGAATAGAGCCCCATTAGTCAGCTAAAGGAAGGATCTGCGAAACTGACTTGCAGGGAGACTACTGTCTGTGTACATTTAACTACTGTCAAGATCTTTATTGCTGACAGCCAAGGAACAGAGAAAACAAAGTAAAAAAAAAACAACAGAAAGACAATAGTCTGTTACTTTGAAGTAATTGTATGATTGATTTATCTAATGTCCTAAAAATATTCAGTATGATTGCAAACCTTATGTATTTTCTAATAACTCTTACTTGGATTACCCCAATAAAATGAACTGATATGTCAAAATTAAGCATTTGGCAATTTAAAGTTACTATCACTGATGACTGAAAAAAAAACAACCTTTATGATGTATTAATTTCAAGATATTGATTTGATGAATTATAGTCATTATTATTAACAAATATTATGAATCATAGAATGAACGAATTACTTGCATATAGTAACTAAACAAAAATACCTCCTGAAAAAATAGATGATAGATATATAAAGTCAATGTCAAATATTTTGCCACAAAATGTAATCAAATCTATTAATTTTATATTAATCTCACTTTCTAACAAATAAATCTTTAGATAAATTAAAATTAAGTAAATAAAGAGGAAAATAAGCTTTGATATTAGGTTATTTTGAAAACCTAAAAGGTAGTTTTAAATTTGTTCAATTGAAAAAAAAAAATCAAAAATAAATAGAAAATTTTAACTAACTGAACAATACTATATATTATTCCATTTAATATAAATAGATTACTACTATACTTTTATGATTCTATCATTATTTTATGAAAATATTAAAAACTTCAATTTGAAATTAAACCATTATAAATATTGTAAATACAGTAATTAAGTTATAAGTTCAACATGATATACTTTTATGGTTGTCTAATAAATTAAATTACAACCATCGAAAAATCTAACAAACATGAATTAAACTTCGAGAAACAAAGACTTTACTTATGGGACTGATAATTTAAAAAACAATATATATTTCTATACTTAATCAAAAACTGGAATCAAAAAAGGATGAACATTAGTTTAAAAATATATAAACATGTATTACATACCTCGCACCAGTAGTCCCATTTAGGATCAACTGTGTTGTCAATTGTTTTTGTCCTGTAAGATTCGGCACCTAAAGTAATAATGGCATACGGATCTGACTTTCCTTTACCAAGCATACTGATATCTTTCTTCATTAGCTCTTTAGCTTCAATCAAGTGGACTCTCAGAACACCCTATAAGTATAAAGAAACTTTTTTAAGTATCAAGGATTTTAAGTAAATACTGTTTTATAATAATGTAACAAAGGAAAAACATGAAAGCACCTTTGATTATAAAAAGTTTAAAAAGCAGAAGATAAACTTGATGAAAAACATATATGAACAATGTAGTTATTTACATTAGTAATTTTAAAACTCATAACTTATATATTAAAAAAAAAAAAGATTAATATCTCTTTGGTTCTTTTCATGATTAACCATCACTTTGTGGAATAAATTGGATCTTTCTGTTAGTATTGTGTTTCAATCATAATAGTTTTTAAATTTTTTTTTTAATGAGAAAGATAACAACTGTATAAAGAAAATAAGATCAAGATCAATGTGTAAATACGTACTCATATCAAAACATAAATTCATTAAATATTGTTTATTTTGTAAAAATTTACATAAATGAAAATTATAATGTTAGAAGAAAAATAAAACAAGCCTATAATTCATCTCCCTTTGAACTAATGTTTTTTTTTAATAACTGATATTAATACTTTTTAATTTTTTTTTTTTTTTAAATTTAACAACAGATCCAACAACACACTTTAGCGTATTGTTGGAGCTGTTATTAAATTAATTAAAAATCTCATGTCAAGAGAGTGAAATAATTAATATCTAAATTTAGATGCCTATTTTTCTTCATTTGCATAGCAACCACTTTATTAATCAAGCAATTACTAGTGGATCTACATTTTAAAAATAATGAGGAAACAATGAAATAAGATGACAAAAAAAAAAAAAGAAATCATGATTAAAAAGAAATAATTTAAATATAAAACCAACAAAATATTTTTACTTCAATCTCAGCTCTGTTAAGAAACAAGTATCATTTATTAAAAAAATATTTTCTAAATTCAAAAATATATTTTTAAACTGTAGCACATTTTAAATCAAAAATTCAAAAAAGCATATAAATCTAAATAAAAAATATTAAATATATTTATAGAAAATAATAAAGTAATTATAATTAAGATAAAATTAAAATTATACCTTTATTATATAATTACACTTTAATTACAACTTTTAATTATGAATTACCTGTGGTTCAGGAAATTTAAGGTTGTGTGTAGAAACATCATTACTCAACACAATTGATAATTTATTGGGTAGAACCATCATTGCCGACACTTGCTCAACTATAATTCTTCGCAGCATATCACTGAGAATAATAATTAGTTTTATTAAATATTTCATTTCTGTAACCATAAAATTACTTTTTATTATATCAAAACCTTAGGCCTGGCATATCCAACAGATCAGCTACACCAACTAGATTAAAGTCCATAGTTGGATTGTTAAGAAAATAAATCTGTAAACCTCCGATCAAAGGCATGGTTCTAATCAATGGTTTCAGGACAATTCTGACCATCCCATGGATCTACAAAGATTTAATTTTATATTGAAACAATAATTGGATAATAATATGAATATGACAAAAAGTATTAAATTTCCTGATAGATACTAACCTGAAAATCTTTGATGCCACCAGAAAGCCCACTCAAGGTAAAAGAAATATCACAATCTCCAGCATAGCTAAAATAAACAAACAATCAGACATTAAATTGCAATTTAACTTAAAAATTAGAATATTTGGAAAAAAAGTAGTTTAAAAATTACAAAATGTCCAAATCCATAATTATTTCATCTCTGGCAATATGCTTGTCATATACTTTAACACCACCAACTCTGGGAGGCTGAAATCAAATATTTAAAATAATATGTATTAATAAAGAAATTTAAAAACATAATGAATATTATGTTATGTTAAATTAAAATGATTTTTCACAATTCTTAGACATCTAAATAAAAACTTTTTACATTTAAGTTATGGTTACTGACAAATCATAACATATGTATTAAGATTTATAAACATACAATGGATCCAAGGCGCATTTTCTGAAAGGAAAATCCCTTCATGTTGTACATAAGTAGGCTTTCTTGAACTGCTGGTTCAATTTTATCTTTTATGATGTCTTTCGCATAATGATTCACATTTGGCCATACTTGGCTGAGAATCTGCACAAAAAATACAATAAAACAGAACAATACATTTTAATTGGAGTCAAACTTTTTCATGAAAATTTAGGCAATTTGCAGACTTACCCGATTGACCCATTCTGCTCTTTCGATATCTGGGAAAAACACCTGAATAAACGATTTAAATGAGTCATTTTGTAAAGATAAAAAAAGTGAATATGAAAGAGTATTTGATTAACATGTAGTTGAATGTAAACAAACAAATATTGATCTCTTAGAGACAACACTACATTGATTACTCTTCCAAAGGGCAAATATTTAATTAAGATTACTGCTTACCCATGCAGGAAGATCATCAACTCTCGCCAGAATCACATCTTTTTCATTTGATAATGCAGCTGCTTTGGCAATATTCCTCTTCAATTGTTTTTCTTTCTTCCATTCTTCCCTTAGAACTGACAACACTAACGGACCCAAAAGCCATGCAGGGCTGATATTGAAGTAGCCGAAAAGGTAAACAATAGCAACTTTACTTAAGTGTTTACCAAATGTATACACTAAATGCAATATGCTGGTCTGAGCACCAGTTGGTTTCGACACCACTTGATTTTCACCGACCTGATCTATTGGTTTTTTATCAGGCAACTCGGACATGATTAAATAGACCGTCAAATAAACTACAACGCCCGAATCGAAAGGCGCTGCGAAGCAGACTGGAGGAGATAATAATATACCCTTGCGTCAGCTTGAGGTCGTCAGATTCGGACTGTAATTTCAAGATGATAACAGAGCCCAGTGTTATCACTGACACCGGCCTTAAGAGGGGAGAATCGATCCCAACCCTGCTTTTTAATTACAATTTATTTTTAACGTGCGTTTAGACATTTCACAAACTATCGGACAAACAAAAATATAAATGGCTATTTCACTATGCTAGTATTTTTGTTTATTGTTCTTGATATTGTCCACCTGCTGTAGACATCAAGAGTAGTAAAATAAATAGTTTACTTTAGCAATAATGTCGCTGTTAGTTAAGTTAGATAATTGTGTTTTCCATAGTTTGTGAAATGTCTAAACGCACCTTTAAATTATCGAATACGACTTGAAAATATGTTTTTTTTTTCTTCAAAATTATGATTCTGTACAAATAATTTTCAAAGGGTTGCAACAATTAACATGTTCAAGGCAACATTGTTTATATTCTATGAATTTCATCGAAAAAATAACAATGGAGTTATCTTTCTTATTTTACAGTTATTTAATTAATATCACAGAATAATAAAATGTGTATTAATCATGACCGAATTTAAGAGAATAAAGGTTTACAAAGTCTACACAGTTCAATTTCACTGATTCACATAAATTGATTCTGAACAGTAGCAGACCAGGATTCAGGGGGAGCCTTAAGTTTTTTTTTTTTTTTTTTTTTTTTTTTTTTTTTTTTTTTTTTTAATAATTTATTACTCTAGAATAAAAAGAAAAAAAAAAATAAAGTAATGTACGAGTGCTCCTTTTAGGCTTGTCAAAAGAAAAATTAAAAAACTGTTTATAGGGAAAATAATGCTTTAAGAGGAAAAATGTTGACGCGGGCTTACAGTTAAGTGAAATAAATAAAAACATTTGATCGTTTAAATATTTTACTCAAATATGGACCAATGAAAAAAACAATATTCCTCCATTTTGAGAGGAGGAAAGGACTTCAGTCCGAAATACCTTCGTTCACCAGTGAACCCGCCAGTGTTTTTTTATATGTGAAGGCTATTGAATTATTTATTCAAATATTAATTTTAAAAATTTCCAATTATTAAAGTTTAAATTACTCCGTAGCTCTGCCTTCCTCCATTTTATTTCGTAAATATATTTTTCCGTCTGCCAATAAATCGCGTTGAATTCTATTTGTATTTTGATTGTCAACCTCTGAATAGATTAATATTCAGTCTACTTACTCTCTTCTCACGTAAATCAGCTGGGATAATTTTTAATATAATTTCTCCTAACAATATTAAAGAGAAATTGGTATTCAAACTGCCTTGGAACACAAGAAATGTAGAAACACTATTTTCTCGTTTTTTTGTTTTATTAAGTGTCGTTGATAGATCCATTCATCGATATCTGCAAACGTCATCAAATTTTATCATCCTCTTATTAAGCGTCATCAAATTTTATCACCAACTTATTAGGTTTCGTAGGTCACAAACACGAAATATAGTACGTGATAGATTTAATGTAAATTTTAGGGATATAGTACAAAGTCATGCAATGGTTGCTTCTTATTTTTAACATGATATTTTTTCCAAAGTATAAATGATGTGGAGTACGATGCGGTTCTGATTTGTTGCTAAATAACTTGTTTCAATGTATACTAACATATTTGTCAACTTAACTTTGCTTGATGCTTGTATAGATTCTGACAAATCAGTATGTCCCATTTATTATTAGATTTGTTCAACGTCATATTCTAAAATTGTCGAGGTTGCCGAACTCGATCCTTGGCAGATCTATTTTTGGATCTACCGAGAAATTCTTACGATCCCGAGTGTCTTATTTAGAGTCATTTTAATTCTTTTAAGACCTGTGAACGTTTCTATGAAACATATTTTTATTTTTAACTTTAATTATAGACCTTTTCAATTTAACAAGAATAGATAATCCCAAGGCCGTAACTAGGGCGTCATAGAGGCATTTGCCCCAGACCACACTGGAACGAGCTAACGCTATGGCTGGACATTGGGAGAAACAACAAAAGTTAAAATTTGGAAGTTTTACTAAATTATTGACAAACTAGCATCATTTCTCCGTCATGTCCAGCAATTTTTAACATAATTGACGCATTAATAATGCCCTGGTGTGAGATAATAGAAGAATAAATAAAAACTCTTTTTTGTTTTTAGGACTGGTTTGTCATAATTTTTTGTTCAAACCTAAGCATGTTTGCTGAGCAGAAATAGATACTCCTAGTGATTCCTAAGACAGCTGAAACATCGGTTTTTATAAATAAACATAGTTGTTACGATGTTATAAACAATTACAAACAATTTTGGTACATTTCGCAAATCGCCTAAAATCGCTCGAAAAACTGGATAGATCCTATTGTTAACAAAGGTTTGAACTTCTTAAAACAGTTTTCAAACCTTGCCCCAGCTGGTCAACCTAGAAGTTATTGACGATTTATCAAGCGGGGAGAGTCTGAATTTAGAGTGACTACCATTAGTTTTTATTTATTTAACATTTTTTACTAGCGTATTCGAGTTACCATGGACCCAGTTTTTGACCAAATAACATATAATTGTCTATGCTAGCCAAATTATAAACATATCAGGAGTTTAATAGCTAAGTTTTAAAGAATAAAAATAAATATAAAAATATTTTTTATTATTAATTACATGTAAATTTATGTATTTATATTTTAGTATAATATGTCGCTATGAAATAGGTAATAAATTATGCAATATCTGAACAATGTAATGTTTACAATACAAACTACAAGACATGAATTTGAAACAATCTATTGGTATTTACCGCGAATAATTTTACATTATTTATTTTACGCCAAATATTTGCAATACGAATATTGTATAAAATAATTATTTTGCACGAAACATTTACAATAGCTGATATAAATAACAATCGATTGGTTAGATCAATAATTTACAAAAATATTTTTTTCATAGAATAATTGTTTTAAATAAATCAAAATGGAAAAAGTATTGTTTATCACGTTTTAAAATATTGCTAACATTTGAATAAATGCAATGTTTTACTTTTGATAGTCAAAGAAAAAAATTGAGTAAGTAAGTTGACAGGTTGAACTTTTCTGGTTCCTATAGATCTTTCTAGTCAATGATTGATAATAGCAGACATATTTATAAATCTATTAATCGATTCTGATTTCATCATATCAAGTTTAGGAACTGATTAAATATACAATATCACAGAAAGCGAAAAGTTTGCATTCTAAAAGTGAGTTGAAAATTATTTTTATGAAGTTCCACAGATATATACACATATACAAAAATTATTTTATTTTATACTAGAAGATTATAGTGGTACAACAGTAATGTTTCATATGTACTTACATAACTTTTAAACAGAAAAAATGTTTCTAAGATAAAATAAAAATTAATATTTTACCATTTTATTTTTAATGCATACATCTGGTCAACTAAATGGCTGTTTTGTTTTTGTTTGTGGCTAAATTGGACATGAACGGAAAAAAATTGAGCAATATACTGCAATTTCCGAGTAAGTGAGAGCCGATGTCCTAGAAACCTTACCCAGTGTGCGGGCGACAGAATTAGGAAGGGGCATATTTCGAGCCCAATTTTTTTAAATGTATTAAAACGTTATTTATTAACGTTAAAACGTTGTTTTATTTGGGGCGGCGCAAAGGTTTATAAAAGGGTAGCTAAATTAAACATGCATTCGAAAAAAAAAAACTTGTTCTGGCCATGGATAATATCTCTCTCCCTCAAAATTTAAAAGTTACATATCGAAGTATGTACTTAAAATCCAAAAATTGAGCATAGAAAAATCCATCCATGTGTCGTCTCGGTCCGTGGCTTCTCTCCGAGAAAACTAGCATTTTTTTTTTTTTTGGCACTTAAGTCATATGTCATACTAGAATGGTCCTTGGAACTTGATATTACCATGAAGCCTTGAACAACATTGAATAACAATACTACATAGCCATGATCAGAGGACTCATACGCCCATATTACATTAGTAGATACAAATAAATAAATATAATTTTATACATCATTATACAATGATACATGTTTTCATGAAACTATAATTTTAGTAAACAAAATTACTATATTTTATTTTATTCAATATTACAAAGTTTACCAAGTTCATAGTCAAAACTTGTTAAATAGACACTTATTATTAATGTGGTGTTCCTTATCCAAGCAAAATTATCCAAATTTCACCAGAACGTTACCTATCATTCGAAACCCTTAGCACAATCCCTATCCAGCTCCACCCATCCCTATAATCCTCCAAGAAGGTTTATCTATGCGGCTTAGAGTGTATGTGGATAAAGCACTCAAGCTCAATCTCTACTGTGTTTAGCCCATGTGACGCGGTTGAGAGAGAAGTGCAGGCAGGGACCTCCTGGAGTCATGCTTTTCCTTCCACAGTTGGAGGGACAAGTCTGGCTCGGAGTTCTCTCGCCTGATTGTAAATAGTGTATATAGGTATGTATGTGTTCTTTTTTATTTATTTATTTTTAGGTTATTTTATTCTTATTTATTGTATATCTTATTTTTCTGTATAATTTATTTTATTTATTGTACATAGAGTGAGTAGATTAGAGTGAATGTGATCTCTGAACACTATTATAAATGTCCTTTGAGACAGATTGTAATATTTTTTAATAATCAAGACAATACAATTAAAAAATATATTATTAATGAAAATTATATAAATTTTATACGTCATTGTGATATTAAATAAAAATTAGACCTACTCTTGCAGTCTTAAACAAATTTAAGAAAACTTAAAGGGCTTCAGGCAAGAAAGCAAAGATAAATACAAACTGTCATCCCAATTTATCATATACAATAAGAAGGTTTTTTTTTTATTATAAGGCCTTACTTATAACATAGCCTAAGCAGAAAGTTAACACCCATCTGCTAAAAGCGAGCTCATTAGCATATACTAATTAATTCAGCCTTCGCGACTGTCATCTTGACAACCGGCAGAGCTGACATCCTCTCGTCTTGGACTGCCTCAGAGGACCAAGATGAGTTAGGTAAAGAGGCTAGGGAATTAGCTGGAGGTATACGGTGGTGGAGGTCTTCTTCCTTTAGGGAAATGTGGTGAAGATAAAATATTTTTTCAGTTATAAAGTAACAAAATAAATGTATAGTAAATTTTTCATGGTTTAAATAGATACTATACCCGAACAGAGTATATCTAACATCTCCTCCATAAATCTATTCGAGATTTTATCAATGAGGATTCGTTTTTTGTCATTATGAGTCGAACGGATAAACGTGTGTGGTAATTAGAAGTTCGATGAAAACACATGAGAACTAACGATTTACAGGTTAAGATA